CAAAAATAGAGATCTGCCTTTTTCCTGGTGTCGGCCCCAAATTGTGTAATGAAGAAAACTGGGGATACATTTCTCTCTATATCTTTGAGATCTTTTAAGCCAATGTTTTCCCAATTTTATTCAAACTAGTTACAAGTGTCTGTTACTAAACTGTATTGATTCTATCTTTGCAGCTTAAACAAAACCCCATAATCTGGGATGTAAGAGATGTAACATGATAAAATAAGAATTATAACCCCCAAAAATGGAGTTTAAAGCGTATTTATTCATCACTGAGCTTTCAGCATAACTGGTGTGTGTCTCTGTGTGGCAATGCTGAATAAAATGTGCATTAGCAACAATTAAACATTATGTGTGCGCAGACATCATGAGCCCACAGACAAACACTGAACCCAAACTACATTGTTGTTGAGGTCTTTTTCCTCTAAGATCTAATGACATGCTGAATTTAAAACATATACACTTAAATTTGCTTGGGGTTTGTGGTACAACTAACCAGGAATATTATAGCCATTAATTTGCTCACTAAATATCTACAGACACAGTAAAAAAATATCCCACAAGTAAGTTAAGCAACAAAAATATTACTTTTTTTCTCTCAAATGTAGTTTTTCTCTCTAACATCTGCTCTGACTGACACATTTTCATATGTGGAATAAGGAATAATATTGAGTATATGAGGAGAGAATCGACAGATTTCTAACTATCCCTACCTCTTTCTATGAGGATCCTCTTTTTATTTTAAACCAGGGTTTTTCAAAGTCTAAGGCAGTGGGCCTCCCTTTTGACACAATTTATCCATTGGCGCCCCCCTCCTCCCAAACACACACTCATGCACGCACTCACACAAAATTTTGGAGGTTTTTCTGCCACCTCATCATGCTTGGTTTCAAGGTGTCGCCGAAGTTTAGCGGGTCTCGTGCTGTCATTAGCCAAAATATCTTGACAAACCACTCATAAAGGTCGTGGTTCATCAGCTGGTCCTGTACACAAAATCCTAAATTCACATACTGACCATCATATCGTCGTCTTTTGGGTTTAAGCCCTGAACTTGAAGGCTTTGAATCAGGGGGTCTCAAAAACCGATCCATTGTTTTAGCAGCATGATTAGCAGGCATATACCTGTATTGGCGGGCTTGCCAAACAGAAGCGAATTCACAGCTATGGCCTTCTGGGTAAAAACGGTTTTATTATTTTTGACGTATTATTTTTTTAGCTTTGTTTAATTAAAACGTTTAAAAATAATAAAAAATACACATAATAATTAAACTTAAGTATATTTTTTTTCATATAATATTTTTTCCCGCGCCTCCCCTGACATGCTCTGGCGCCCCCCTGGGGAGGCGCGCCTCACACTTTGAAAACCCCTGTTTTAAACGAATCCTTGTTCAAGGGGAAACTAAAACTTTACCTTTAAAGGTTGATTTTTCTCAGTGGCTAGCACTATCGCCTTACAGCAAGAAAGCCGCTAGAAGAAGTCCCAGCTGGAGGCATTTCTGTGTGGAGTTTGCATGTTTTTCCTGTATGTTCCGGTTTACCCCTTAGTCCAAAGACATCTGGTATAGGTGAATTGAAAAAACTAAATTGGCTATAGTGTATGAATGTGTGTGTGTGAATGTGAGAGTGTATGTTTTCCAGTGCTGGGTTGTGGCTGGAAAGACATCTGTCTCAAATAAACAAATGCCAAAGTGGCGGGGTATTCTGCTGTGATGCCTCCTGAAAGATCAGGGATTAGGCTGTAGTATAGTGAGTGAGTGAGTGAGTGAGTGAAGAATATGAAATGATACTGCTCACATGATTGGATGCTTGTATGTGGATGGTCCCATCAATCAAGTCTACTATTAGTTTAATAATTTCCCAGTCTATACAATTATAGCTACTCCTATCAAAATAAGATGTTTAAAACTTACAGTATATATGTAAATTGTGGTCAAAACAGGTAGTACCTTGTTAAAAGCTGTCCTTATATTAAATAAAATCAAATATAATATATTATTCAATTCAATTCAGCTTAATTTGTATAGCGCTTTTACAATGTAGATTGTGTCAAAGCAGCTTCACATAAATGGTCATAGTAACTGGAACAGTGTAGTTCAGTTTTTAGTGTCTAAGTTCAGTTCAGTTCAGTTCAGTTCAGCTCAGTTCAGTGTGATTTAAAATCATTACTGAGAGTTCAAACACTGAAGAGCAAATAAACACTGAAGATAATAATATGAATTGCTCTGTGTGTAGTGGCACATAGAAATATGAGTATGAATATGAGTGTGCCAATCATGTGTTCCCTATCAAGGAAACTCATGCTTTAACAATGCTTTTTAAAGCACAGGTAAAATCAGTCCAATGAAATTCATAGGTGGTCACTGCATGCATGATGTTGAACCAGGAAGCAACAAAGACCACTATTCAACTATAACATTTACCTTCAAGAAGCATACAATAGGCTCATTTGCATACTATTCTCAAACTGATTCTCAAACCGATTGTTGCAAAGCATTGTCATTATGGCAGAAGAAAGAATTAAGCTGTGTCTCAGTGCCCTCATTTCATCACTGCCGAAGACAAACACGAGCTGTGTGTTGAGAGTCTCAGTGCGAAGCAAACACAGTCACCCCTTGAGCAGTGTGGCTGTGCACTCTGCGGCCACCTGGAGGTTCTTTTGAGAAGGACCCGATGGCACGTTGAGGCAGAACAGCAATAAAGGTCAAGGGAAATGCAGATGGATGGCTCCAGGGCCGAAGTGGGACTCCGTTTCAGCCCTGGAGTTTCAAGCCTTAGACCGGCCCACTTCAGTTCACGACTGACTATATTAAAATAAGGTCATTTCCAATTACACTATAACGTCTTTTTCAAGAAAACTGCTGCTTTAGAACTTCAAATGTTCAACAACCTTACAGTTTTATATGTCTTAACAATAAAAAATAAAAATAAAAAAAATTACTCAGGTGAGGATCAAACACGGATCGATGGAGTCGTAATGCGATGTGTTGACCACTGGACCACAATGGCGCTGATACACTTGTGTGGCCGGAATGATTAGACTATGGTCAAATAAATAAATAAATAAATGAAAAAAGTGTGACTGCTGAGACTGCAAGCAGCTAGAAACACCGGCCCTCGCGGGCAAATTATTTTTTTATTTTCATCAACAATTTCATAGTAGAACAGTTTCTCAAGCAGTTTGTGATGCATTTTGAAAACAGGAGATAAGCCCCTGGTCTAATGCGCCACCTGGCTTGAGAAACCCGTTCTCAAAGACTTATATTTATAATAACTACACACTATAAATCATTTATTAAGCATTAGTAAATAGTGAATTCATTATCTGTTAGGCATTAACTCTACATTAATAAACGTTAGTAAGCAGTTTATAACTGCAGCTAAAAATCCTCCATTCTTGACTTATAAGCACCTATATAATGTGGTTAATGATTGTATTTTCATACTTAGTTAATGATTTATTTTTCATTACTAAATTAAGTATTGAATTATTTACAAACGGTTTGTATTTAAAAGTAGTTGAGGGTTTTTAGGATCATTCAGAATGAGTTAGTAAATAAGGAATAAACTATTGAAATCAATGTTTATATGTCTTATTATTCAGGCATATATTAATGGTTACTATATATATTAATAAATGCTTTATTAACTCAACTTCATGCAGTTTTGTGACCTAATCTAAAGTAAGGACTACTCATGCTTTATAAATCCCTTATAAATGACAAATAAAGGCTCGGTTAAATTCTAAACAGGAAAAAAAGACATTATTCATTTCTCTTCATTTAAAGATACACAAATGAAACTGTACTTCAAATGAAAAATAAATCTTTGCAACCGGATCTAAAATAAAATCACTGTAGAGTTTAAACATTACATCTCATTATAATGTAAAATTATTATATTGTTGTTTTATCCAGTTGGATGTCATATTTTGACACTCCTGTTATTTTGCAATGTTTAAACTTTACAGTAATTTTACTTTTTAGAAAGATTGCACAGATTATCGTTCATTTGATACTGAGCCTTTAATAGTCATTTATAAGGCATTTACAAAGCATGAATAGTCCTCACTTTAGATAAGGTCACAAAACTGCATGAAGTTGAGTTAATAAAGCATTTATTAACATATTAGTTAACTATTAGTATATGCCCGAATAATAAGACATTTAAACGTTGATTTTAATAGTTTATTAATCATTTACTAACTCATTCTGAATATTCCTAAAAACCCTCAACTACTCTTAAATACAAGCGGTTTGTAAATAATTCGATACTTAATTTAGTAATGAAAAATAAATCATTCATTCAAAATACAATAATTAACCACATTATATAGGTGCTTATAAGTCAAGAATAGAGCATTTGTAGCTGCAGTTATAAACTGCTTACTAACGTTTATTAATGTAGAGTTAATGCTTAACAGATAATGAATTCACAATTTGCTAAGGCTTAATAAATGATTTATAGTGTGTAGTTATTATAAAGTGTTACCACTTTTATTTAGTAATTATTTGGATAGCTTACATATTCTGAATGCCTTCGGCAGAATTCAAATGAGCCATTTGAGATTAATACCAAGATTAAAAAAATTGTATCTATGTTCACCTATAATATATATATATATATATATATATATTTATTTATTTATTTATTTATATATAATCTGTGTGCAACAACTGGTATAGATTGTTAGCTATTTTTAATGACGAGGAAAGAAGCCTTAAGAGAGATTGTTAAACTTTTTTCATTGTAATTAGCATGAGACCAGTGTCCATATATAGCACACCAAGTTCAAGCTTTTGAAAAGCACACCGGGAAGCATGCAAACAGGGAACTTGGTAAGATTTCAATACAACAGTTTTGTAATTGAAAGAGTTTTGAGGGCTTTACATTTGCTTTGCTGGTGATGTTTTACACACTGCGATAAATCAAATTAATATCATGTCCAATTTTCTCATCATTTCCTATAACAAAACATACACAGTAACTGCATTTCTTTCAAGATGCAGCCAGCACTGAAGAATGAGTCCAGCGTCTTAATATTTACACTCTCTGCTCTGAATGAAACAACAGAGAACAGATATGTCTTGTTTTCTTTAACTGCACTGTACTATCCTTTGATTGTCTTTTGTAATGTAACCGTGATTTTCACTATAATCTCACATAAGAAGCTCCATGAGCCAATGTATGTGTTTATATGTAGTTTGTGTGTAAATGGACTTTTTGGCACTGTTGGCTTCTACCCTAAATTCTTGTATGATTTATTATCCCAAGATCAAGTGATTTCCTATGTTGGGTGTCTGATTCAGATCTTTGTCATTTATTCATCTCTTCTGTGTGATTTTTCAACACTAACAGTCATGGCGTATGACAGGTATGTGGCAATATGTAGACCACTGGAGTATCATTCTGTAATGACTGCTCGCATGGTTTTCAAATGCATCCTTTTTTGTTGGCTTCCTCCCATGTCTTGCTTGTGCCTTCTAGTTACATTAACATCAAGATTAACCTTATGTGGCTCTAGTATTGAAAAGCTATATTGTGAAAATTGGTCAGTTGTTAAACTGTCCTGTTTTTCCACGACGGTAAATAATGTGATTGGGTTTGTCATCATTATTATTTATTTTACACATGCAGTATTGGTGTTTTGCTCATACATGTACTTAATCAGAAAATGTAGGAAGTCGATAGAGGGCAGGCACAAATTCATACAAACGTGTGTGCCGCATCTGCTTTCATTAATCAATGTGACAACTGCTTTTTTGTTTGATGTACTGTTCAGTCGTTATGGCTCGAAGAGTGTGCCTCAAAGTCTGCGTAATTTTATGGCGCTTGAATTTTTACTCCTACCACCCATTTTAAATCCTCTCATTTATGGGTTAAAACTGACAGCAGTGCGCCAGGAAGTTATGAGACTGTTTTCCAAGAGACAAATGTGAAAGGTTTTTAGAAAGATTGTGACGATGGGGAAAATAATAATTGTGTTGGAATAACCCAGCATGTTTTAGAGTGTAGAAAATGTTTTAATTATATCTTACTGAATATTTTAGTAGATATTTGATCAGGGCACGGGATCTTATGCTGAAAATGAGCTCTAAAATATATTTTTGATATATAAAGACGATTCACATAATGGGTAGTAATCTAATTTATGAGTGGATGTACAAGGAAATAGTTTATCAAGTCAAAGAATCCCATGAGTTATGTGTTTTACCATGATTGAAATACTAATAAAAGTCTAAAGGAATCATATTTATGGATGTTTATAAGATTTATATCGGTAACAGTTTACAGTAAGGTTCATTAGTTAATGTATTTACTAACATGAACTAATCATGAACAACACTTGTACAGCATTTAATCATAATTGAACATTTACAAATGCATTATTAACATTCATGGGTTGCAGCTGGAAGGGCATCCGCTGCGTAAAAACTTGCTGGATAAGTTGGCGGTTCATTCCGCTGTGGCGACCCCGGATTAATTAAGGGACTAAGCCGACAAGAAAATGAATGAATAATTAACATTCAAGTCCGTGCTTGTTAACATTAGTTAATGAACCATGAGTTAACATGAACTAACAATGAACAACTGTATTTTCATTAACTAACCTTTACTAACATGAATAAATACTGTAGTAAATGTATTGTTCATCGTTTGTTCATGTTAGTAAATGCATTACTTAATGAACCTTATTGTAAAGTGTGACCTTTATATCATGGTAAATGTTTAAGTGAATATTACATCGTCTAAATATCCTGTTTTCTGCATCTTAGAATGACTGGAATAAATGTGTAAAGATATATCATGGCAGTTATTCTTTTAGATTAAATAAATTAATACAATAATATACAAGAGATTTTTATGTTACAATAATTAGGTATGAAATGAGGTTGAGGGCCTTAGACAAAAAAGTCTGTACCACACAGTTGTATGTACACAATGGTATTTTGGATCAACCAAATATTCTGAATGTTTATGAATGCTCTCTCTCTCTCTCTCTCTCTCTCTCTCTCTTTTTTTTTTTTGTGATTGTGTAAAATACAGCTCTCTAATATAATTAATATTTTAATAAAAGGCTGTTGAGTTATTTTATTGTCTGTGTGATGGTGGCAACCTGTGTTGGTAAATAGTGACGTGCGATACCACTGGTATCTCGATCTGATGCCAAGTAAAATGAAGGCGAGTATCGGGGATACCGATCTGATGCCGATACTGCCCAAAATGACTGTTTGGGAAATTAAAGTAACAGGTAGTGTACTTAAAGTGTCACTTCATACTGAATACGAGACATATTACGTGTTATTCTAAGTTGATTGATGAAGAATTGTCATACAAAAATAGAGCCAACTTATATATTTATTGATGGCGGTTCCACTTTATATTAAGTGTCCTTAACTACTATGTACTTACATCAAAAAATAAATACAATGTACTTACTGTGTTTATAATGTATTTGAGAACACTTGTGGTGCTTTTGAGTTGGGATAGAGGTTGGGTTATGGACAAGTTTGGTGGTATGGGTAGGTTTAAGGGTGGGTTAAGGTGTAAGGGATGGTCAACAGTGTATTTACAAATGTAATTACAAAAGATAGTTACAGATGTAATTAAATACATGTATTTAATCAAGCACAAGTACACAGTAAATACATGTATTTACCAATAAGTACATTGTAACAAACTATTAGTTTGTAAGTACATATTAGTTAAGGCAACTTAATATAAAGTGGGACCGTGACATGTTAATCCGGTGCCCTTGAAGATTTTGAATGTTTTTCCGTTGTTTCCGTTGTCCTGGAAAAGTTCAACGGATACTTTTTTCCGAGGAGGAATGTCATTCGGTGACACAGTGGCGCAGTAGGTAGTGCTGTCGCCTCACAGCAAGAAGGTTGCTGGTTCAAGCCTCGGCTGGGTCGGTTGCCGTTTCTTTGTGGAGTTTGCATGTTCTCCCCACATTCACGTGGGTTTCCTCCGGATGCTACAGTCTACCCCACAATCCAAAGACATGGAGTACAGGTGAATTGGGTAGGCTGTTTATGGATGTTTCCCAGAGATGGGTTATCCCCCCGGGCTTCAGTTTGCGCAATCATAACTCACCTCAGCCTTAACACCGCCTCCAAATAACTCACTCACCTTTGCATGATTATAAGCACCTCCCCCGCTGTCTTTACTTCATGCAGTCATAAGCATTTATCCCCATAAAGTTGACAGCTGAGTTGGCATAGCAGGTTTAGAGACCACAGGTTGACACCATCACATGGTGGCCACAGTAGATAGGCTCACTTTTAGTCCCACATATGTGGAACTGGCTTACATGGTCAGTAGGATATGCTCAGCAGAATATATCTGACTATAATTCTCAGATTTTCAACCTGGGCTCATTGTGGAAACGTAGCCCCGTAGACGGTTCTGTGGACCGCGAGATAGGTCCCGGGAGGTACGTGTTCGAGCATTTTTTGTTTTCGCGGATCCGCGAGAGGCCGCTACGCGCGCTTTTTCACGTCTCGGGCACCTCTCGGGAGCGCGCGCTGTTCTCGCGCGAAAAGCCGCCGAATCGGCCCGGCCGCCCTCCTCTTCCTCCTCCTCCTTCCCTAAACCCGAGCGACGGTTTGCAAAAGCCGTCCAGAAAAAAAAAAAAGAGCAAAAGCCCTTGTCTTCAATTTCGACCGCGTTTTCGGATCCCGCCGCGTTCTCGCCCTTATTTTTCGGATTCTGTTTTTCATCTTACCTGATTTCTGGAACCGCTGTTCCCCGGACTCGATCCTGGTCGTCGTCCCCGCGGCCGGCTCCTCCTCCTCCTCCTCCTCCTCCGGGGCCTCCGCTCCTCCCTCGCAACGCTGCTACATGACTTTTAGCACTACATGATAAGCCATAATCAAGCTTTACTTCCAAAGATTGAAAAGCTCTTTTTACACCCAATCAAAAAGCCCTAATTTACATGAATTCTGCGTATTGCCATCTCTTTTTTAAATTGACATGTACTGCTCACACAGACGCAGTGCTGAGGAAGGCACAACAACGCCTCTTCTTCCTCAGGCATCTCAGGAGGTTTGGAATGAACCCCCACATCCTCCGCTCATTCTACACATGCCCTGTGGAGAGCATCCTGTCTGGCTCAGGGGGAGGGAGGGGGGTGGAGAGATCTGAAACTGAAGAGCGAGGGAGGGGTTGGGGGGGAAGGGTTGGAAGGTACCACTGGCTGCATCACCACCTGGTATGGAAATAGCACAAGCAGCTACCGCAAAGGCCTACATAGGATTGTGCAAACTGCTGGACGCATAGTAGGAGGTGAGCTTCCCTCCCACCAAGACATCTACACCAGGCGGTGCATGAGGAAAGCCAAGACAATCATCAGCGACTCCAGCCACCAAAGCTATAGACTATTCTCTACTACCCTCAGGCAGACAGTTCTGCTGCATCCGGTCACGCACCAGCCCACAGAAGGAAAGCTTCTTCCCTCAGACTATCAGGCTAATGAACATTTAACACACCCCACACAGACACTTCCATACCCCTCACTGCACACCATCAATATGTAGAATGCACCGCACTTTAAAGAGCCCATATTATACATGAAATAGGGTCATATCCTGGTTGTAAGGGTCTCCAACAACAGTCTAATATGCATGCAAGGTCAAAAAACACTTTCATGGTCTTATAATCTGCATTTATTTTTACCTAATTATCCCAGCGACTCCTGTATGAATCGTCCAGTGATTCATTTGTTCCCAAACCCCTCCTTAGCGCGAAGCTAATCTGCGCTGATTGGACCGATGACAGTCTGTCGCGATTGGTCGACTGCCTTCAGTCAGAGAGGGAAATGGCCAATAGCTAATCAGCAATTTAAAAAGTAATCACAGTTCATACACGCTCGATGGTGTAGGCGTGGATTTTAGCTGCCACACTATGGCGAGTGGATAGTGCCACGGATAACCGAACGAAGGAGACAGTCGTGTACTCGCCATACCACACACACACAAAAACACACACACACCTCCGGATGACAACGCTCCCGCTTCAGCCCGCACCCGCCAGGTTTTAGCCTGAGAACCCGCTCCGTTTTCTGCCCGCCGCGCCCGATCCCGCTAGAGCGGAGAACACAACCAAAAATCACCCAGTATACAGTCCAGACAGCCAAGCTGTCTGTATAAAAACACACACACAGCACAAAGTACACAAAGCTCGTTCGTTCGTTCGTTCGTTCGCTCTCTCTCGCTCTCTCTCTCTCTCTCCCCGCGCCAGATTTCTGCGGCGCGGGAATACATTTCTGAATAAATCGCGGGAGCAGAACTCTAGCACGGAGCTCCATAAACAAACAGCACGCGTCGCGTTTTTAACGTGACTTTGCACGCGATAAGATAATATATCCAGTTAACCTGATACAGTACACGCGGTTACAAGTAACAAATCACAACTAAATACATTTGCAAGCTAGAGTAAACGAGGCAACAACTTTAACCGCACGTACTTACACTTGAGAAATGGAAGAAACCCATCCTGACGTCCATCAGTTACTCTTTACTGATCCTTCCTTTAACAAACTCAGATGAAGTATTCTTTGTAGCATGTAGCTTCCAGAAGTTTCCAACTGCTTGGTTATAATGCTGATGTTTCATCTTTGGGTAGAGACTCAATATATCCATCTGCAGTGTGACTTCAATCGACCGGCATGTTTGTGTGCGTGTGTTTGTGGGTGTGCGTGTGTTTGTGGGTGTGTGTGTGTCTGGGTTTCTGCGTCAGAGGGCGGGGCCTCAGGTTTGAAATCTCCCGGGTTTGCGCGTGCACGTGAATAACTTGGTTTCGTTCGTACATCATGGCGAAACACCTAATGAATTGGTATCAAGGTGACTCGTTTGAAGCACTATGAGTCGACTCTTTTATAGATGAATCAACCGTTTTAAACACTGTATTCTTACAGATTTAAGCCTTAGCTGGATACTTCACTTCACTTAGAGCTGTGTTACACACTACATGGAGGGGAATTTTCAAAAACCCATAATATGGGCTCTTTAACCAATCCATACTTGAAACAATACTGCTGACAACTATGTGTTCACCTATTCATTGTACATATCGCTGTCAATCTCACATTGTCCTGTTTTTTTGGGAGTATGCTGTTGTATTTTGCACTGTCTGTATTTTGCACTGTCTGGAGCCACCATCTAAGCTTTTCCCACATCGTGCTGCTGATGATGTGACAATAAAAGTGATTTTATTTGATTTCTTTCTAAATGGTTTAATTCAGATATGAACCTTTTTACTTTGATTTTGCATCAGAAAAACTGGCGGAAATATTTTATTTTCTACTCTTTGTCAATTAAATCAAATTTAAAGAGGAATAACTAATCGCAGATTCTTGATTTTACAAAATGTCTCAACTTTTTTAGGAATTGGTGACTGGGAATAACTGAATTCCATAAATTTTCAGTTCCATTTTGTGTGTTCGCAATTAACGCATGTCATTTCAAATTCAATAGTTATCCCGAAATATTTAAAGAAAATAACAAAATATTCTGAAATAAGAGTAACATTACAGTTCATCTGGTATATATGTGTTGATGTACAGTTTACGGTGACGCGGTGGTGAAGTGGGTAGCGCTCTCGCCTCACAGCATGTAGGTCGCTGGTTCGAGCTGTGGTTTCTGTGTGGAGTTTGCATCTTCTGCCGGTGTTTACGTGGGTTTCCTCCGAGTGCTCCAGTTTCCCCAACAAGTCCAAAGACATGTGCTATAGGTGAATTGGGTAAGCTAAATTGTCCGTAGTGTATGTGTGTGAATGAGAATGTTTGGGTGTTTTTCAGTGATAGGTTGCAGCTGAAAGCAAATGCGCTGCATAAAACATATGCTGGATAAGTTGGTGGTTCATTCCGCTGTGGCAATCCCTGATTAATATAGGGGCTAAGCCAAAAAAGAAAAAGAATGAATAAATTAACAATTTTTAAATTCACTTTCAGAGCGCATTAGATCAGCTCGCACCATGATGACAAGACTGCACATATAACTGCAATAAACAGCACCAAAATACACTTGCATGGGTGTATTCAGGCACAAAAAAAGGTTATTTATAAATCAAAGTAAGTTATTATTTATTACATATATTTTTTCATGAAGTTCAAGTCAGGAATATGACTGGCATAGAAAAGGCAGTTACAGTATTTTAAATTCAGAGAAAGAAGTCTTTGGAGAGCTTGTTAGACTGTTTTCAGTATTTGTGGTCAAGGCAATTAGCATGAGACCAGTGCTCATATAAAGCAAACCAAATCTATCCTTTGCAATTCATTTCAGATTTGCACAGGACATGGTGAGATTCCAACTGTTTTGTAACTTTGTAAATCATTGTATGCTGCTGATAGTTGATGTTTTTGTCGGTATTTGTTGTTCATCTACAGATTTCCAACCGTGGCATTTCAGACTAACGCAAGCTTCATTGTCTAATCAGTTTTCTAATAACTTTAATTACGAATTAACTTCAGATAACAACTGCATATTTTGAAACATGCAGTCACCATTGAAGAATGAATCAAATGTATTTGTATTTGCACTCTCTGGTCTGAATGAAACAATGGAGAACAGATATGTTTTGTTATCTTTCACGGCATTGTTTTATCCTGTGGTTATCTTTTGTAATGTAACAGTGATTTTGACTATTTTCTTACATAAGAAGCTCCATGAGCCAATGTATATCTTTTTATGTAATCTTTGTATAAATGGAATTTTCGGCACTTCAGGCTTCTACCCTAAGTTCATGTATGATTTATTAGCCCCTGAGCATGTGATTTCTTACGCTGGCTGTCTGATTCAAATATTTGTCATTTATTCATCGGTTTTTTGTGACTTTTCCACACTAACCGTGATGGCGTATGATAGGTATGTGGCAATATGTAGACCACTGGAGTATCATTCAATGATGACCAATCAAAAAATACTTAAATGTGTTCTTTTCTGTTGGCTGTCTCCATTTTTCTGCATGGCTGTTCTCATTCTGTTAATAGCTAGACTCACTTTATGTGGCTTTCGAATTGAAAAGTTATACTGTGAGATTTGGGGAGTTGCAAAGCTTTCATGTTTTTCCACGACTCTAAATAACGTGTTTGGGTACATCGTTATCATTGCATATGTTGGACATGCAATATTGATATTTTGTTCATACATTTACTTGATTAGAAAGTGTCAGAAGTCAATAGAGAGCAGGCACAAGTTCATGCAGACATGTGTGCCACATATGATTTCGTTGCTCAACGTGACTGTTGCTTTTTTGTTTGATGTACTCTTCAGTCGTTATGGGTCAAAGAATGTGTCTCAAAATCTACGCAATTTCATGGCTCTTGAATTCATACTCATTCCACCCTTTTTAAATCCTCTCATTTATGGGTTAAATCTCACCGCAGTACGCCAGGAAGTTATACGATTGTTTTCCAGAAAACAACTGGAGATATCTAAGTGAATATTCAAAAGGAAAGTCTTGTATGCTTTTATATTGTATGCTTGTTCTTTATCAAAAATAATAATAGTAAATGAATTACTGAGAACACAAAACATTGAGGAACAAAGGACTGAATATTACAAAGATTTTACTGTGATGAAGATGTATTCAAGGACATGAATTTAAGCAGTTAAACTCTGCTGTTATTTTGGGATTTTTGCCAACCCAAATTTAAAAGCTTCCCAAACCCACATGCAGAGGTGTAAATGCAAAAAAAATTGTATAATTTTAAAGAAAACCCTTTAAATTTTCATAAAACACTATTGAAAGTGTGTAAAATAACTGTGTATGTTGTCTATGTTATAATAAACACCTAAAAAGAGGCTCTTTTTGTATTTTTTTTTATAAACTCAAATTTGAAAGTGTACCCTGTTAGGTTCTGTGTGGTCTAGCGTGCTGTAATTATTTTTGGTGGTTCCTGCACATGTCTGTAATCATAGAAAAAAAGAAAAATGTCTGTCTCCACCATAATCTATGCAAAAGTTATTGTATTCCAACTGATGAAAGGTGCTATACAAGCCACAGGGAGCGATCATTGTTTTCATATTTCACTATTCTTTTGTTTGATCAAACATAATTCACTGTGTTTGGACCACGTCAGACATATAAAAGGATTACTTATGCACATCACCTCAAAAACAGAGGAGAAACGGCCCTGAAGCACACAGCATAAGGTAAGAGATAGCAGCTGTCTGTGCTATCTGGGGCTGCTTAGTGATCATGAATGTATTGTTTTCATTTCTGCGCCATAGAAACACCACAATTCATTCAGCAACTGTTTGACACGTGAATATAATTCAGTAAAAAGAATGCAAGAACCGTATGAGCACCGGCAAGAGCTTTCATTTGAGCTATAACTTGTACATGTGTCATTTGAAAAATACGAAAATGAACCAATGTAAAATACCTAACTCGGGTATAAATATCGGATGGGCGTAAATAACTTTTGAACAGAAGAATAAAAACCAAAGTAATGCATATGTGCATAAAATATTCTACATAAAATATATTCTACATAAAATATTCTACACTTTCAAATGAATCCACTTAAGGGGGTCTGGTGCAATGCTAGCTCTTTAAATCTTAAAGCGAAAGTCGATGACGTACCAGGTCCGCGGAGTTTAATTGCATGTTACTTTAATATAAAATAAAATATCTTTACAACACATTCTTATCAACATGTGTTCACAACATTTCTCTGTTGGTGAACAAAACTTGTATTCACATACTTGCAGTCCTTTTTGTGTGTTTATGTAAAGTAAAAACTCTTATATAATACGTATGCTTTTTTGACAACACTGTTTGGTATTAGTATTGTTTTAACTATTATTAGTGAATTCCCACATAGCAAAATTTCTCTGGCCCAGATCTAAGTGAATATTTAAAATGAAAGTCTTGTATGCTGTTAGATTGTATGCTTGTTCTTTATCACAAATAATAATAGTAAATGAATTACTGAGAACACCCAACAATGAGGCACAAAGGACTGAATATTACAAAGATTTTACTATGATAAAGGTGTATTCAAGGACATGAATAAAGCAAGTTACCTTCAAAAAATAAAAATATCTTTACAACACATTCTTATCAACGTGTTCAGAACAATTTTCTATTGGTGAACAATACTTGTATTTAGATGCTGGCAGTCATTTTTGTATGTTTATGTAAAGTAAAAACTCTAATAATAACTCTAATATAATATGTATACTTTTTTTTTGAGAACACTGTTTGGTATTAGTAGTGTATTGCTTTAACTATGTAGTAGTGTATTCCCACATAGCAAAATTTCTCTGGCCCAGATCTAGCCCACACAATCAGTTTTTGCTTGGCGTACATGCCCCAGTGGTTTACGGTACATGACTAGACAAAGTCTGATCTGGGAAATATAGAGGTCAGGGCAACCCTTATTCATTTTCTTCATATCACAACTGACATGCGCAGTGTGGCAGAGAGCATTATTCTGCTGCACAAAGGCCACTTCTTCCAGGCAACAGCATTGTCGTGAAGCATAGTGTATCATTATTATGATGATGAACATTGCTATAATTATTACTTCAGGTGTTCTTGCAATTGTTGTTGTCTGTTGAATCCAGAGCCAACCTCGCTGTAATCTAATTACATTCATTTTTTTGATGGTCAACATATTTTGATGGCACCTATTGCACATTTTGTTGACTAAAACGTTGCCACTACATGCAAATTAGTTCTCATTTTAATATTAGTAGACTGTCTGCTTAATATCTACTGATACTGCTCCTTCAACAGACATTTAACTGACTATAAGAAACTTTGCAAGTACACGTCAACTTATACTAACCCTAACCCCAACCTAGCAGTCTACTTATAATCTGATTAGAATTAGTTGGCATGTCACGGAACCCCGAAAGGCACGTAGTGAAGGAGAAAAAAATTGGCTGGGTGAAAAACAAAAAATGGGTGAAAGAAAAAAATGGGTGGGAGGAAAATATATATTTCTAAGTTTTTGCGTTCTCTCGCAAAGTTTTGCGTTCCCTCGCAAATATGTTTTGCGTTCCCTCGCAAAATAAACCCTCCTGTTTTTGCTGAAATTCTCCCATATTTCACCATTCTACCCCACTTTCTTTACATTACTGTGCGCTGATCGTCGACTTTCATATGCTACCTCTGAACCAGTGAATGCATGTATAAGCGCTGACTGACAGACGTGCTTCGTACAATAAATTGATCCCAGATCAGCGTCTGTACGCACCATTTAAAGGGACACTTCTGTTATCAAACAAGTGAGCAGCAAATGAACCTCATGTTTTGTTTAGTTTGATAACAGAGGTGTCTCTGTAAGAATGCACAGATCTATAATGAAAGCAGTCCATTACTTTAGAAACTGTTTGTGCTCATTTAAGAGAAAATAAGCTGTTTAAAATAAAACATGCAGGACAAAGATGTTTCATATTATTAGTGTATTTGTCTGTTTAAACATACACCCACTCCTCTGTAAATGGCGTGTACAGACGCTGATCTGGGATCAGTTTATTGTATGGAGCGCGTCTGTCAGTCAGCGCTTATACATGCATTCACTGGTTCAGAGGTTGCATATGAAAGTCGACGATCGACGCACAGTAATGTAAAGAAAGTGGGATAGAATGGTAAAATACGGGAGAATTTCGGCATAAACGGGAGGGTTTACATGAGTGAAGTGAACAGGAAGTGTTTGTGGAGAAACAGTTTTGCGAGGGAACGCAAAACATCTTTGCGAGGGAATGCAAAAACTTAGAAATATATATTTTCCTCCCACCCATTTTTTTCTTTCACCCATTATTTTTTTTCACCCAGCCAATTTTTTTCTCCTCCCCTACATCCCTTCTGGGGTTCCGTAGCATGTAGATGCAATCTTAAATCCCAGGAAAAAAAGTGCACTAAAATACACTTTATTTAAGTATACTTAGTACACTTCTTAGTAATGTACTAAAAGTGCTTTATTTTCGCACACTAATTTTGTACTTAATGTAATAAAAGAGGCGATGGAGTGGCGCAGTGGGTAGCACGTTCGCCTCACAGCAAGAAGGTTGCTGGGTCGCTGGTTCGAACCTCGGCTCAGTGGCATTTCTGTGTGGAGTTTGCATGTTCTCCCTGCCTTCGCGTGGGTTTCCTCCGTGGTACAGGTGAATTGGGTAGGCTAAATTGTCCGTAGTGTGTGTGTGGATGTTTCACAGAGATTGGTTGTGGCTGGAACGGCATCCGCTGCGTAAAAACTTGCTGGATAAGTTGGCGGTTCATTCAACTGTGGCGACCCCAGATTAATAAAGGGACTAAGCTGACAAGAAAATGAATGAACTTATTCATTGTTGCTCTTATAGTTGTGTAAATTGCTTCCTTGTCCTCATTTGTAAGTCGCTTTGGCTAAAAGCGTCTGCTAAATGACTAAATGTAAATGTTATTTTTGCTTGATCTACTCATGTGGTTATAAAGAGGCAGTTTCAGCATTTTAACTTAAGAGAATATAGTCTTTAGAGAGCTTGTTAAAACTGCTTTCAATGTTTGTGGTCAAGGCAATTAGCATGAGACCAGTGCCCATATAAAGCAAACCAAGTTGAAGCATAACGAAACCCAACAGGAAACATGCAAACAGTGAACACGGTGAGGCTTATGTTATACTGATACAACTATGTATGCTACTGTTTGAGAATTTCTTGTCATTGATGGTGCTTCTTCATCTACAGATTCCTACTGTGGCTATTCAAATTAATTGATGTTTACGAATAATTTGTTTTCTAATTAGTTTTCAAGCAAACAGTCCATATAATAGTGGCATATTATTCAAGATGCAGTCACTGTGGAAGAATGAGTCCAGCGTCTCAGTCTTTACACTCTCTGCTCTGAGTGAAACAATGGAGAACAGATATGTTTTGTTAACTTTCACCGCATTGTTTTATCCTCTGGTTGTCTTCTGTAATGTAACTGTGATCCTGACTATTTTCTTACATAAGAAGCTTCATGAACCAATGTATGTGTTTATATGCAATCTATGTGTAAATGGGGTTTATGGCACTTCTGGATTCTACCCTAAGTTCATGTATGATTTGTTAGCCCAGGATCAAGTGATTTCTTATGCTGGATGTATGATACAGATACTTGTCATTTATTCATATCTTATTTGTGACTTCTCAACACTAACCGTGATGGCGTATGACAGGTACGTGGCAATATGTAGACCACTGGAGTATCATTCAATAATGACTAATCAGAAAATTTTTAAATGTATTCTTTTCTGTTGGCTGCCTGCGATATTTTCCATCTCTTTTCTGATTTTATTGCTAGTTAGGCTGCCTTTATGTGGCTCTACTATCGAAAAGTTATATTGTGAGATTTGGGCAGTGGCGAAACTTTCATGTGTTTCTACAACTGTAAATAACGTGTTTGGGTTCATTGTTATTCTTACTTATTTTGGGCATGCGGTGTTGGTGTTTTGCTCGTACATCTACTTAATGAGAAAGTGCAGGAAATCAATAGAGGACAAGAACAAATTCATACAAACATGTGTGCCGCACATTCTCGCATTGATGAATGTGACAATTGCCATGTTGTTTGATGTACTGTTTACTCGCTATGGCACAAAGAATGTGCCACAAAGTCTGCGTAACTTCATGGCCATGGAATTCCTACTAGTACCACCCATTTTAAACCCTCTCATTTATGGGCTAAAAATGAAAACAGTACGCCAGGAAATTATTAACATGTTTTTCAGGAAAACAACAGAGAATATCTAAGTAAAAGTGAAAAGATCCTGTGCTTCGGGAAAAGATCCGGGAAAATAATTCTAATTGTGAACAAGTTAGCCACAAATGGCTGCATAATACAATGATTTTACCATGAATAAAGCATGTTGTTAGGCAGAAAAATTAAGCAACGTTTGATCAGCTTTCACTTAATAAGAATGTTTCTGGACGTTTTTGGATGGACTTTGTGCATTTAAGCTTAAGCATTCATGTTCATGTAAAATTGTATTTTGCTATAACATCCTTTTATTTTATTTTCGGCTTTATTAATCCTGGGTCATCGCAGCGGAATGAACCGCCAAATTATCCAACATATGTTTTATGCAGCGGATGCCCTCAATCACATACATACACTACGGACAATTTAGCTTATCCAATTCACCTGTACCACATGTATTTGGACTTGTGAAGGAAACCGGAGCACCCAGAGGAAACCCACACGAACAAGGGGAGAACATAAAGAGAAACTTTACACAGAAACGTTAACTGACCCAGCCGAGGCTCTAACCTTGCTGTGAGGCGTTTGTACCACCCACTGTGCCACTGCGTTGCCCAAATAAGAACTTTTCTGTCATAAACGATAGTAAAACAACTTGTCAAAAATAATACAATATAATGAAACCCTGTGAACAGATTAAATACAGAAAAGGAGAAAAGGGCGCTATTTTGTTATCAGCTGTCAGTCAGCACCTGCTCTTTTGCCCAGGGTATCAATTTTTCACAGATATCAATTCATCTGAGCAGCTGCGGGATGTGATGGACTAAATGGTATGTTATGGTGGCTAAACCTTTAAATTAAAAGGACTTGAATCCTCCCATGTTATAGCTGCCACACCAAAGTCTGCTCAAATCATTTTTCTCAGCCTTAAGACCAATTGTCCTGGAGGTAATTTTCTGTCCAGCGTTGTCCTGGTAAAGGCCTTAGCTGAGCAAAGTTCTTGAGAAGTGTCAGCATTCAGGACAACCTTTGGTCTGCCGAGGCCACCTAAATTATGGACTGTTAAATATTGAATTACAATAAATAATAATAACCAGTGTTGGGCAGTAGCATCGCAACAAGTAGTGACGCTACTAGTTTAACTACATTTCTCAGTAGCGTGGCGGTAGCGTCACTACTTTCTCAATCAAATAGCTTTTCTGTAGCGAACCCTGCTGAAAGATCAAGCTTAAACCAGCCTAGGGGGGTTGGCTGGTTTTAGCTGTTTGACCAGCCTGGTTTTAGAGGGTTTTTCGGCCATTTCCAGGCTGGTTTCCAGCCATTTCCAGCCTGGTCATTAGGAAAATGACCAGCCAAATCCACCTAAAACCAGCTTGACATAGCTGGACATAGCTGGTTTTGGCTGGGCTACAAACCTGGCTAGGCTGGTTAAGCTGGGTTTAGCTGGTCATCTCCCAGCCTGACCAGCTAAGACCAGGCTGGAAAAGGCTGGAAATGACCAAAAAACCCTAAAACCAGCTAACCAGCCTAGGCTGGTTTAAGCTGTTTTTTTTTTTAGTAGGGAACCTATTACTTTAAGCAAGTAGCGCAGTAGCATCCACACAAGCTACATTTACAGATTGTGGATCAATAAGTGACGGCACCGACATTCATGGAGCTGTGAGGCCGGTGTATAGCCGATGAAAGTAAATCCATATGATGGCATTAGGCTAAGGTTGGCATTAATCTTTTAATATTTAGCTTCACCGTCACATTAATGCCAGATTGTGAAAAAAAGTGGCAAAACAAATCCCACAGAGCCTTTATCTTAATTTCATTATACACGTCATAATTTACTATTTATTTTAATTGAATTTGTTAGTTTAACGGAGGCCAGCTAGTGAAGTGCTGTGCAGGTAAACCTCACTTCTCTGACCTCTAAAGATGCTTTAGCGACAGACACTGGAGGCCATGGTCTTCAGTCTCCTTGTTAGAGCAACTGACTCCCATGTGGAAGGTCACCAGTTCGATACCAGCTTGCAGCGGGTTGGGTGGCGTAGGACTGGCGGGGTTACATTAGGAAAGACTTAATTGGTGTGATGGCCAATTTAAAGGCTAAGTGTATGCACCTCTAAGTCTCTAGGCCTACTTAGAGACTTTGATGTTACAATGTTACAGAGGACTTATTTCTTTGTTTTAACTTCCAAGTGGCCAATAGCCTACGTTTGTTACGAATAAATTATGTTTAAACACATATAAACGACTCATTCTTGAAAAAAGGCAAAAGAGCTGTGTGCATGTGCATGTTTGAATAATGTCGGGCTATAAACGGGTTTAGGCTTTTAAAAAACTGCCAATCAAAATGTACTTGTCGGTCTCTGGCCGAATTCTGTCGCGTTAGGGCCTAACTTTTATGGCCCAATTACACCTCTATTTCACAACACTGAGTGTTTTGTACCAGGTTTTCGAATCTGCTGGTAAAACACATGCCAGAGTAATTGAGTTAGTGAGATTAATAGCATTCCTATTAGCATACTATCTGTGATATGCCCTAATTGTTAGGCCCACATGGAATCTGCGTGCGCAGAATTCCACAGATTTCTAGCTCATGATTAATTCTGTTTATTTAATGGATTAAATGCGTGTAAATCTATATTTATTCAGTTTTTAAATTAATTACTGAAAATATTATTGATTAATATTAAAATGTTCATCTGATTTATATGAAGTTTAATTTTAAACTCATTTTGAGAGGAGCATGTGCTCATGATTGACCCAGCTGTCCACATTCGCTAATCACGATCCTCCAATCAAAGGATCCCAAGTCACTATATATATATATATATATATATATATATATATATATATATATATATATATATATATATATATATATATATACCCTCATTTCCTTTCTACAACTATCAACTATATTTGTCTGTAAGAAACCCCCTTCATCTCCTTGTTTCACCTTTATCAAGAATGGGCGGCACAGTGGCTCAGTGACTAGCACTGATGCCTCACAGCAAGAATACCAATGGCGTTGGGTCCTCACTGGGCCATCTGGTATTTCTGTGTGGAGTTTGCATGTTCCCCCGGGTTCACCGGTTTCCTCCCACCATCCAAATGTGGTCCATATTATAAATAAAATAAGCCTAAAACTTTTTCCTAATGTCTTACTCTTAGGACGTTTGCCTTGGCCTCAACAGCGGAGGAGTTTGAGATCGACCTGAGCTCAATCTCCCCTTGCACTGCGAAAGGAGGGAGCCCTGGGCTCGAGGATCCCTTGAGCTCAGGGCTCTCTCCCGGGACAGCACGCCAAACAAGCTATGTATAAATCGTAAGCTAAGTGTGAAGTACAATAAATTTAAATGTTACTGTTTCTACAGTAATACTTTCTGTCTTTTAGTAGATTTAGTATATAGAAGACTTGCTTTGTTTACCAAATAAAGTTAATCTAATTGGATTTGCATTTTAAACATTAAATAAAAGTTAAAAAGATATTTTTTTTTTATTTTACATATTAATGGCTCTATTTTGACGGTCCATGCGCAAAACGCAGGGCGCAAATGCTTTCAGGGCGTGTCAGGACGCGTTTTTTGCTAATTTAAGGACGGGAAATCTGCCTTGCGCTTCGGCGCATGGTCTAAAAGGGTTGAGTTTATTTTCTTAATGAGTTATAGGTGTGTTTTAAGAATAAACCAATTAGTCTCATCTCCCATTCCCTTTAAGAGCCAGCTGCGTCGCGCCAAGAGCGCATTCGCTATTTACTGGACGCAAAGTAGAAAGTGGAAAAAATGAGCATTTCACAAGCAAACAGTTTACTGTTTACAGAAACAGAAAACTGTTAAACAGAGCATCTACTGCGTGAGAATGAGAGATAATGGATCACTTTCACTTTCGCTCTTGGATAGGGAAACCTTTACGCACAGACATCAATTAGTCTATAAATAAATACTTTTGTTTGTTAAGCGCAAATATTCGTTTCAAAACTATTTCTAAATTCAGTTTTAATTCCCAGCAAACGAATAAATGAATAATAATAACAAAATGTGCTCAAGAACCTGAGTTATATCCTAAAACACTGACATCTAAAACCTGACAGGTGGGCAAATCTAAGCTTGTTTTTAATAAAACAAATATACATTTGGATATAATAAATAATACTGCTAATAATAATGACATTATACAAAAGCAAATTGTTAGGAATGAACTGAAAAAGCCTCCCGAGATGAAGACATAAAAGCAGTGATTTTTCATATTTATGTAGGCTAGAAAATAATGTTTTGTAATATTTTAATCCTTTATATTTATATTCTATATCTATTCTTATTATATCCTTTATATATCCTTAATATTTAAATGTTCTCATATGTAAAGATATTTGCCTATTGCTCTCTTGTGCGTATTAAACAGTGCGCAAGCGAGGCGCAACTCTGCGCCGGAGTTTAGACCGGGCTAGTTTTGGTCTAATGAAAAATCTATTATAGTTTCTCAAAATAGCAACGCGCCAGCGGTCCGCCTCAGAACGCCTTTCTTTTTAGACCAGAACGCCTATGGGCGCACAAATGAGCGCTAATGCATTTGCTATTCAAACAGAGTAGCGCAACGCCTCAAAACGACTCTTGCGCCAAGCTGAAACTACCAAAAGACTACTGCGTCACGCCTTGCGCCACACTGCGCCGGGTGTATGATAGGGCCCTACGGTTTTAGTTATGATACTTCCAAAATAATTCCGCAGATTTTTTTACCAAAATTCTCAGAAATAGCAAAAACCGTCCGTGGATTCAACGCAATCTCACGGCAATTCATAACTTTTTGATTTAGTGGCTAATTCGTATGAATTCATAAGATCTAATTCATACTATTTAGTACGATTTGCGCATCACCCAATGACATATCATATCATCATGATAATCATACATTTTCGTACATCTGAACTCGTACTGATTCGTATGAATTAGCCACTAAACTGACAAAACAAGGTCAAGGTCAAGGTAAAATTTATTGTCTCCCGTAGGAGAAATTTGTTTTAGAAAAAAGGTTCTGCTGTACATCGTCACCAACAAGACAACATGTAACATACATACACATTAAAATTTAATCCTAAAATACCTCCTAATATAAATATGATTCCATAAAATCAGTAATTTTAATAAAATTTTTATAAAAACAATAAAAAATAATTAAAGTACCATATGCCCCACTGCCCTCTGTTGTGCAAACCAATCCTGTTATCTTAGTTTTTTTTTTTAAATACTTACGTTTTCCTCGTGAGATCAGGCTGGCAGATTCCATCTGGCCCTACTAGTAACCGATTTATGCACTATATAGTAAGTGAATTTGTGAAAAAATTGGCAGCTCTCAATACAATAACTGTAAAAAAATAGATTATTAATTACTAGTTTCAAATGTGGTGGGAAAACTGGTGGCAGAAATATGGTTGAAAAGGTTATTATTCCTGACAATGCAAATCTTTTTTTTCTTTTTTCATCCTTAGATGGGTAGAGACTGACGTTTTATTTTATCTTCAGCGTAAAGAATCCTTTAGAGAACTTGTCAACACTGTTTTTAATACGTGTGGTCAAGGCAATTAGCATGAGACCAGTGTCCATATATAGCAATCCAAGTTGAAGCTTTTCAAACGCCACAGGAAGCATGCCAACAGAGAACATGGTAAGATTTCAAGTGTGTTGGTGCTGAAAAAGCTTATTCATGGTAACATTTTACAAATGACATTTAATTCCAGATGCAGCAACAGCTGGAGAATGAATCCAGCGTCTCAGTATTTAAACTCTCCGGTCTGAATGAAACCATGGAGAACAGAATTGTGTTTTTTTCTTTCACCGCACTCTTTTATCCTCTGATGGTGTTTTGTAACGTCACTGTAATGTTCACTATAATGTCAAATAAGAAGCTCCATGAGCCAATGTACATGTTTATATGTAATCTTTGTGTAAATGGGCTTTTTGGTACTTCTGGCTTCTATCCTAAATTCTTGTATGATTTATTAGCCCATGATCACGTGATTTCTTATGTTGGGTGTCTGATTCAGATATTTGTCATTTATTCGTCTGCTTTGTGTGACTTTTCAACACTAACGGTGATGGCGTATGACAGGTATGTGGCAATATGTAGACCGCTGGAGTATCATTCAATAATGACAAGCCGTATGATTCTTAAGTGCATCCTTTTCTGTTGGCTGGCTCCATTTGTTTGCATGTCTGTTCTCATCGTGTTAATAGCTAGGCTCACTTTATGTGCCTCCACTATTGAAAAGTTATACTGTGAGATTTGGGCAGTGGCAAAACTTTCATGTTTTTCTACAACTATTAATAACGTGTTTGGGTACATTGTTATTCTTACATATTTTGGACATGCAGTATTGATATTTTGCTCATACATTCACCTGATTAAAAAGTGTATGAAGTCAATAGAAGTCAGACACAAATTTATACAAACGTGTGTGCCGCATCTGCTTTCACTGATTAATGTTACTGCTGCGTTGTTGTTTGATGTGTTGTACAGTCGTTATGGTTCAAGGAATCTGCCACAAAGTGTGCGCAATTTCATGGCTCTTGAATTTCTTCTTGTACCACCTATTTTAAACCCCCTGATTTATGGATTGAATCTGACAGCTGTGCGCCAACAAGTTATAAGACTCTTTTACAAAAAACAAGTGGTAATATCTGACTGAATATTTTTATCATCTACAAGCTATGCTTTTTTTGAACTTTTAAAAGTTGTACACACACACACAAAATACATCATTTGAAGAATGTTGGAAACCTGTAACCATTGACCAGCATAGTGTTTGTTTTGCCTTCTATGGATGTCTATGGTTACAGGATTCCAGCATTCTAAAAAATATCTTTTCAACAGGACAAAAAAAAAACTGTTTTAGAACATTTTAAGAGTTTGTAAATGATGGCAATTTTTATTTTTTGGCTGTCTAAACTCGGTCCTGTAGGGTCGGTGTCCTTGGGTGCGTTTCCGAAAACCATCGTTAGCAAGGTCGCAAGTTCCGTCGTTACAAACATAGTTCGTTGATTTCGTGTTTCCCAAATCCATCGTTCCAACGAACATTCGCACACTGTGTCGCAAACTTATATGCATGCAACTACATCTCTAGAGCTGGAGTTAGAAGCATAGTTCCTGGCTGTCTAATCCCAGTTATTCTAAATATGCCCTATTCCTTTAAAGGGTCACGAAACACCAAAACACATTTTTTGAGCTGTTGACAGTCGTATATGTGTCACACACTGCTAAAAACACTATTAGGACACCTATATTTCACTAAAAAGTTTAAATTGGCTGTTTTTGCGTTATTTCAAGCAAATTCGTACTTCCGGTTTGAAACGAAGTTTTGAAGCTGCGTCACGGCTATAAGATAATAGCGTGTATTGCAGCGTGCAGACTGGACGTCTGTGCTAGAGTGTGTCTTATTATGTCTTACAGTGTGATGCATTAATGCATGAGTATGGCTTGGTTCAAACCAATCAGCACGCTTTATTGTGCAACTTCATTAATATTCTTTACGGTCACAGTGTTTAGACGACAGAGACGCCACGTTGTGTTGGCAAAACAAGCGTGAAGTGTTGCTTTTATAGTTTGCTGCAGTTAAGTTTTGTTTTCATTTTCTCTCTGAGCTCAGCTGGACTCACGTGTGGATTAACAGTGTACGCGACGCGGGACAACAATAACTTACGTGTCTAAGGAGGCACATTGTTTACCTGAGAGCTGTTCTCATCTGCAAACGCTGAGATCCGGATTCGCTTGTAGTCTCCTCTTAATAAAGACGCGGCTCTAGTTGCTGGTGATTGTCCTGTCTCTACAAATTTGGTAAGTGAGCGTCCAGTGCTCTTTGTTTATTCAGTTTGTTCGTATCGAACAAACTATTGCACCGAATGTAAACATGTTAGCACTACAACCAAACTTTAACCTCGTGTAGGGTTTTCACCGCATTTTGTGACCGGGATAACACACGCGGCTTTCTGACGCTACCTGCCGAGTGCATCTAAGTTTCCGGGAAATGCTGAGGTTGTTTTTTTCTCTCATTCGCCGTGCGGTATCAAACATTGCATAAAAAAATACACGCTTAGAGCAGTTTCTCGAATCAAATATCTCGTTTGTCGCGAGGGGCATGAATGAATTCCCTGAATGAAAGAGCCAAACTGCAGTTAAAGTCCACTATTTAATAATTTGGCAAATAATTCGACTACAGATGTCCATGTAAACACAGTCCCTTTCTCCCCTGTGTGTGTTTGTGTGTGTGTGTGTGTTTTGACTCTGAAACTCAGCGTGCCCAAATAGACACTCCCACTTTAGTTCCTCCGACACTCCCCCCTAAACAGAGCTGGACACGCCCACTTTTCAGACTTTTTCCAAAGTAGAGTTGTGAAAACACTCTGCTGAAATGAGGGGTTTCATGGCCCTTTAAAACATTCTAACGTTTAAACTTGGAATGATTTTTTTTAAAAGCATAAAAGTCATCTCTCTTTGGTGTAATTTGCTTTCAAAGTATTTTTACAGTTCAGTTTTAGCGATTTTCATGTTTACAATTGTGCTCTCTTTGCAGTGCACTTTGAAAATATTGATGTCATTTCAAACACAGCCGTGGCTCATGACGAAAGTTATAGGTGACTTATTTAAAAGCAGAATTTATGTTCATCTCTAAAGCTTGTGAGAGCAAAAAACATAGCATATGTTAATGCTTTGAAATTATAGTAGGTCATTTATTAAGTATCTGTACTGTATATGACATGGGCCTGTTGGTTAGAACATTTCTGCAGTGGTTTACATGTGTCAAATTGTAAAAGTAGACCTTTCAAAAAATAAAAAATAAATACACAATATCCTCCTTGATAATCATCATCCTCATTATTATTAATATTATTATTAAAGCAGGATTTTTTTCATTTTCTAATAAAAAATAAATATTAAATTTCATTTTTTAATAAATCGCTTCATTATTGATTTATTTATGATTTATAAATGATATTAGAATACGTGTAAGCTTTTGTAATTGATTTTATGTTTTAGAATAGAATATGTAATGTTCTCAATAATATTTGTAAAGGAAACTTTGGTCCTATATGACCCATTTACATATATTTCAATTAATAAAAAAAATGAGTGCATGTTTTTACCAAAACTAATTTTGGATTTTTTTGCGTATGCATACAAAAACGATATAATTTGCACAAATAAAAATGGGGTTCTCCCAGCCTGATCTCACAAGGAAACATAAGTATTTTACAATTTGACAGTTTAGTGGCTAATTTGAGTTCAGTCATTTGAAAATGTACGATTTTAAAAAGGAGGTGTGGCACCCAACCCCACCCTTAACCGTCATTGGGTGATGAGCAAATCTTAGTAAACTGTACGAATTAGATCGTACAAATTCATATGAATTAGCCACTGAATCAAAAAGTTACAAATTGCTGTGAGATTGCATTGGTTCTTCTCTAAAGAAGTTGTAACTCCACCCCGTTTAGAGCACCATTATGAGCATTTTACGTTATAACTTACGTGGTTCAAATGATGGATCTGCAACAGAGAGACTACAGGTTTTGGGAAACACTTGTCACTACATCGTTCTTTTCGCAAACGATGCATCGTACTATGATTATCCGCGAATTAAGCTGCGGTCACATTAGAGTTTGAGCATGCCATATTCTGTGAATCATGCTTAAAGGGGCGGGATTAAACAAGCTTATTAGATATTTTAAAAAGCGAGCGATTGCTCCATATTTTAAATTGTTGTCCAGAGAAGTCATGTTTTGATCCTCGACTGGTCTCACACAGTCAATGATGCGATTTCGCAGGTCAGAGTTCATCAAGTTGGAACTTTGCACCGCAGCAACCTGCGAAACTTGACGCATGATGCTGCGTTTCCGGTCTGATGCATTTTCTTGCGTATGAGTGGAAGTCTATGGGGAGAAAAGCCCAGTGTGACCGCAGCTTTATGTCATTGTTTGGGAAACGCACCCCAGGAGAGTTTAGCTTTAACTCTAATCAAACACACCTGAACCAGCTATTTAAGCCATTACTAGATATAATAGAAACTTCCTGGCAGGTGTGTTGAAGCAAAATGGAGCTAAACTATGCAGGACACCGGCCCTCCATCACCGAGTTTGGACACCCCTCCTTTAAGGCATGGCTCTTGAGCATGAAATAAAGTATGATCATATTTGTTCATATTCATATTTGTGAATTTGTTCATATCAAATAAACCAGTGCTCTGGTGTATTTCATGTTTTAATAAAATGCTTTTGAAAAACAATCTGCATCTATGTTTTAACAGCAATGTGTGTTTTTAAAACTACATGTAAGATTGATAAATCAAGGCAGAACTAGGTATTGTAGTACAAATGTAAAATATTGGAATGTTTTTTCATCCATCCCCTCTCCAAACGTGACGCACAAGCAGGTTGCCTTTTTGACCACACCAATACGAATTAGCGCAATGGACAATGAGAGTCTCAAGCTCTATACTGTTAGCTAATAAGCTAATGTAGGCATTTACAATATTTGTATTTCTGTGTGGAGTTTGCAAGTTCTCCCTGTGTTGGTGTGGGTTTTCTCTGGGTGACGTGCTATAGGTCAATTGGGTGAGATAAATTGTACGTGGTGTGTTTGAATGAGAGTGTATGGATGTTTCTCAGTGATGAAAGAGCATCCGCTGCATAAAACATATGCTGGATAAGTTGGCGGTTCATTCCGCTGTGGCGACCCCTGATTAATAAAGGGACTAAGCTGAATGAATGAATGAAGAGTCAAAAATGTACATAGGCCCACAGCAGCTTTAACATAATCGAGCTATAATGAGCTCAAAAGTGAGTACCAAACAGCCAATCACGTGCACTAACACATACCTGTAACAACATTGTACCTGACTTCTCACGAGAGTGTGTAATTTAAAGACAAAAACTCAAAGATTTTAAAAACACACATCACATTACAGAGTCTGCTCTTATAAAGATAATCAATGATATACGCCTAAATACAGATTCAAGCAAACTAACAGTGCTGGTACTGCTCGATCTCAGTGCTGCATTTGACACTGTCGATCACAGCATACTTCTGGATAGGCTGGAAAACTGGGTTGGGCTGTCTGGCATGGTCCTTAAATGGTTTAGATCTTATCTTGAAGACTGTATTTGTATGTGCCGATGTATCAACATAACAGACGACTAATGAATTTTTTTTTTTAAAAAGTATTATTACTTGTCTATAAATCACTCAATGGACAAGGACCTCATTACATTACAGATATACAAACTGAATACAAACCTTACAGATCCCTCAGGTCTTCAGGATCAAGTAAATTAGAAATTCCAAGAGTTCAGTCAAAGCAGGGTGAATCCGCCTTCAGCTACTGCACCCCTCGCTGCTGGAATCAGCTTCCAGAAATGATCAGATATGCTCCAACATTAGGCACATTCAAATCAAAACATAGTTTAGCTGTGCCTTAACTGAATGAGCGCTGTGCAAAAGACGCCACAAGTAGGCGCGGCCAACCGTCTTCATTTTGTTCGCGCGTCATCGCACCCACATCGGGATACCAAACAAGGGCAAAGAGGCGGAGAGTGAGCGGAGCTACGGACACTTGCTGGCATTTTGGAAGAATGCTTAATACTTCATTACCTGCGACTTGTTTGTGTTCTGACCACATGTGCTTGGCTATACACTATATCAATAAAGTGTTTAGTCTTTTAAAACACTGCTGTAACACACTGAGCTACTAAACATTGTTCTTATGACGTTTTTCTACAGGAGGAAAACGCGAATTACTTCCAAACACTTTAGATATAGTCTGTGTTAGTAAATGCAAGACTATTGATGAGATTCAGCATAGCAATGTATGACAAGATGACTGTTCTAGAGCCTACAGCTAATCAATCTGTCAGATTCTGGAGTGCATTACAGCTCTAAACATAAATGTAAATGATAAATGATCTTATATAAAACAAATACATTTATAGAGATGGTATATAAGTATAAAAGTTTACTCACATGGGAAACAGAGGCCACGTGAATGGTTTGTGAGCACAATTATGTGCACACAGCATGCCATATCATCTGATAATTGTAGAAAATAAGTCCAAAAGGCAGTTGACTGTGTATAGCCACATAAAACAGCACAAAAATAGGATGAATATGCAAAGTTCAGTGGCTAATCTGCTGGAGTCAGCTGAGGTGAAGTGATGGCGACCAGCGAGATCTAGCTGTCACTCAAGTGGCCACGCCCTTAATTATGCAAACTTAATATGACTTAATATAAAGGAAACGGACGAGTTATAAAAAAATTCACCCCCTCACAGTTGTCGTGAAAGGTAATATTAGCTGTATGAACCAAAATTGTTCTTTTTACAGGCTTTAAACACCCTTTCTGCTGTAACGTTGGCCATTCTAACAGTGGGCTCAATTGAAATTTGCTCCATATGGAGCCAGGACTTGCAGAATTTCGATGAACTGCAGTTTCAGTTACTTCCGTATTGGCTTCCTGAGGGAGAGCGGGAGGTTGCCGCTTGGTTGGGACAGATGACGAGCAGTGAAATGAAAGTAGCCTTTAGAGAGCTTGTTAAAAATGTTTTTAATGTTTGTGGTCAAGGCAACTAGCATGAGACCAGTGTCCATATATAACAAAGCAAACTGAACTTACAAAGCACTACATGAAACATGCCCGTGGAAAACATGGTAAGATTTGAAGTGTCCTCTAACAAAACAAGTGCCATTGTTAGAGGATGTGTTCATTTCCATAAATACAATGCAGCTGATTTGAAAACACATTGTGTTTTTTTTTATTCTACATCATTATTAACAATAACAACTGAATAATAACTATGTATTATTCCAGACGCAGCTATCGCTGGAGAATGAATCCAGTGTCTCAGTATTTACCCTCTCTGGTCTGGATGAAACGATGGAGAACAGATATGTGTTGTTTTCTTTAACTGTACTGTTTTATCCACTAATGGTGTTTTGTAATGTCACTGTTATAGTCGCTATAATTTCACATAAGAAGCTTCACGAGCCAATGTATGTGTTTATATGCAATTTGTGTGCTAATGCACTTTTTGGCACTGCTGGCTTCTACCCTAAATTCTTATATGATTTATTATCCCAAGATCATGTGATTTCTTATGCTGGATGTATGATACAGACATTTGTCATTTACTCGTACGCCTTGTGTGACGTTTCAACACTAACAGTGATGGCTTACGACAGATATGTGGCAATATGTAGACCACTGGAGTATCATTCAGTAATGACCAGTCAAAGGGTTGTTGAGTGGATCCTTTTCTGTTGGCTGGCTCCATTATTTTGCATGTCTTTGCTAATTGTATTATTATCTAGACTCGTTTTATGTGGCTCCACTATTGAAAAGTTATACTGTGAGATTTGGGCAGTGGCAAAGCTGTCATGTTTCTCGAACACTGTAAATAATGTGTTTGGGCTCACTGTTATTCTGGTCTACTTTGGACATGGTGTATTGATATATTGCTCGTATTTTCAGTTGATTAGAAAGTGTGTGAAGTCAACGGAGGGCAGGCGTAAATTTATGCAAACGTGTGTGCCGCATCTGCTTTCACTGATCAATGTAACTGTTGCGTTGTTGTTTGATGTGTTGTACAGTCGTTTTGGTTCCAAGAATGTACCACACAGTGTGCGCAATTTCATGGCTCTTGAATTCCTACTCATACCACCCATTTTAAACCCCCTTATTTATGGGTTAAATTTAACAATAGTTCGCCAGCAAGTTATTAAACTCTTTTCTAAAAATAAAGTAGGAATATAAAAGACTTCAGTCTCACCACATGGAAATAAAAATTATACACAAAAACCCAGTACTATGGCTGTACAAGCTGGTTCATTGGTTTAATATTTCATTGTCAATAATGTTTTTAATCATTCATTCAATTTCTTTTCGGCTTAGTCCCTTTATTAATCTGGGGTCGCTACAGCGAAATGAACCGGCAACTTATCCAGCACATGTTTTATGTAGGGATGGCTGACGTGAAGCTGACGTTTCAACACAGTGTCGAGATCCTGAAGCGCAAGTGTTTCAAAACACTGCACCGAAGCATCATCCGAAGCACCTAAGTCACGTGACTAAAGTGTTTCGAAACACCTGGTCATGTGACTAAAGCGATTCAAAGCATTGATCACCTTAGAAGCATTTCCAGACCTGCCGAATCTCCATTTGGCTGCCAAGGTTGGAAAATCACGTCTCATATGGCCTAGTGGACTGTGCGTCGGCACTATGTTACTATGCTTCAAATGACTTTTTGGGTTCGAATCCCGACAAATACTCTGAAATCATGGTTTTATGTGTTTTTATCATGTTTCTGTTTTGTGGATCCTAAATAGGATACAGCTGCTGTTATGCCATCAATTTAGCATCATTTTTGTAACACTGTAAAACAATAATTAATATTTTTACAGTACTGTGATAGTTCGGTTTAGGGATTGGGTAGACGTTAATAAAATACAATAAATGGGAAATTTTATGAATAATATAAATAATTCTTGATAACTTCAGGTCACAGTTTCTGATCTAGCAAAAAACCTGTTTTAAGACCAAAACAAGACACAATTTTTCACAAATTGTTTATTGGATATCAGACCAATGTTGAAACAAAACGATACAAGAGCAAAGCATTACTAACTGGTATTAAAGCATTTCAAAATAGCAGTATGAGCCTGAATTCGAACCCACCATTCCCGGACGCTAGTCAGACACCTTAACTGCTCCGCTACATTATTTAAAGACCAAAGTTACAAAGTGCTGTTTCAGTGCAATACATAAAAATGAGTGGGGTTTCGAAACGTTTCGAAGCTTCGACACATTTGCTTCGACTGTTTCAGTGTTTCATGAAGCCTAGCTTTGCCCGCCACTAGTTTTATGCAGCGGATGCCTTTCCAGCTGGAACCTATCACTGGGAAACACTCACACACTCCCATTCATACACATACACTACTGAATGTCTGGACTGTGAGTGAAACCAGAACACCCAGAGGAAACCCTCGCGAACATGCCAACTGACCCAGCTGAACAGCGGCTGTGAGGCAACAGCTCTACCTACTGCGCCACCGCGTCGCCCCTCAATAATGTTTTAATAATGTTTCTGCAATAATTTTGTTATATATATATTTTTTTTATAATTTTTAAATCATTATTTTGTCTATAGTAGCTTAATATCAATATGAAATTCAACTCGTGATACCAACAGTGTGTATTTTAGTTGTTTCTTTAAGCATTTGGCTCACTCAAGATACAATAATTTAGAGTTTAATAAATGTATAATTATCATGTTTCAAAAATCAGTATCAAAAATACTTGTTCATCAAGATTGCCATAATCATTTACTTATTTCTTTCTGAAATAAGCTAATTCTTTTTGGAATAATTCTAGAATATTTTAAGAAATGGAAATAATTGAGGGCGACGCAGTGGTGCAGGTCGCTGGTTCGAGCTTCGGCTTGGTCAGTTGGCGTTTCTGTGTGGAGTTTGCATGTTCTACCTGCGTTCGCGTGAGTTTCCTCCGGGTGCTCCGGTTTCCCCCACAGTCCAAAGACAGAATGAGGTAGGAGAGGAATGAGAAGGAGAATTGGGTAGGCTAAATTGTCAATAGTGTATGAGTGTGTGTGGATGTTTCCCAGAGATGGGTTGCAGCTGGAAGGGCATCCGCTGCATAAAAAGTGCTGGATAAGTGGCCGAAAAGAAAATGAATGAAATAGACCACACACACACACACATTTAACACTTGCCATAAATTGAGTTAATTTTGGTCGTCTTTCTTTGACATACTATCAAGGGCTCTTAATATTCCAGTGAAACCCTGCCCAATAATAGCAATTTTGATTTACCTCCTAATAATGCTTTATATAATAAGTGCCATATTAATATTATTGCTTTCGCCTCATTGCTAGCCAGTGGGCAAATATTGCTAAATTGGAAATCCCCATGTGTCCCTGCAAATCTTTCCTGGCTAAAAGACCTAGGCTGTTTATCAATTCTAACGGGCTTGCGTTCTTGTGGAGACCGGTCTTGCCAGGTGTCCTCGGAAGAACGAACTCGGGAGACCGCAAGGGCAGAGAACACGTCCTCTGAGAAATGAGATGCTATGTTCTTCCCAATGGTCACGTGAACTTCACACCTTTTCCACATTACAGCATTCATTCAACGATTTATTGTTTTTCCCCTTTTTAAAATGTATACTATGTATAAAAACATTCTAAATATACGTTGCACAATATAAATAAAACAGATTTTAATATAAATTTTAGCACACAAACACCCTTAATGTTTTTATTCCTTTATTAGCATGTTCATGGTGATGTTTATATTCACTGTTTCATTTAGGGAAACTCCTGAGGTAAATAAGTTAAATCTCTGAACTTTAATAATAAATCTAAATAAAATGCTGCGCTTCCCACCTCCAGTCGCAATGACTTCTGGGAGTTCTAGCGCGAGTTTGATGCTCAAGTCTGCATAGGTGCGTGCTCAATATCAAGATCACATCCAGGAAGTTTCATACGTCCTTTGTTCTTGCTGTCTTGAGTATTGGAACTAAGCTTTGCAGCTGATGATGACGTTACACGAGAACACGAGGACGCAAGACCGCTGAAGAACGCATATTGAGAAAAAACCCTAATGTCTTTTTTGAATTTAGAAAAAATGAAACACTCTATTAGGGACACTGTCAGTTTATTTTATAAAATGTTGAACCCTGTGATTTCTTTTGTCGAAACCTTGCCTTTTTTTAGATTTAAATGCTTTTTAGATTTTAATTTATTTCATTTTTATTTACTCTTTTTGTGGGGTCAATTTGGTTTGGGTTAAGGATAATGTTTCAGTTGTTTACATGACTGCATTTCATTATTACAATATGTTCAAAACCAGCAGATTATACTATTCAGTTTCCATGTCTTGTACTTACTGTCATTAAAGTTTCTGCTTAATAAAATATTATAAAAAAAAAAAAATAAAGGCAACTTCAAGCAAAAAAAAAAAAAAAAAAGAAATTTAAATAATTTATTGGGACTTGAGGAGTTGCGCATTGATGGATTTGCTCTTCAGTGTTTGGACTTCCAGCAGTGAAAATTGATCCACACTGAAATTACCAAAAATTTTCAAACTAGACTGACAAATTTTCAATTCGCCTGAATTACAATTTACTAGGACTTTGTTAAGCTGCTTTGACCCAATCTACATTGTAATGCTGTTCACACCAGGCGCTATTTGCGTGTAAATAGACGCGTGAACATTTTAAATTTACTCACTTCATTCACACGTCATTCTCGCGTCATATTCACTGCGCAATAGATGCAGATTTGCGTCATGGGTGGTGCTTCTATCTGCCGGTGACTGTAGCTTCATTGCTAAATGAAGAGAACAGCTGTGTTTATGTGCTTTATGAAGGCTGATAAACTATGATTCGTTTGGAGCTGTGTCCACAAGATCCTTTCAAAGGTTCACCCAGTTCTGTGAGTTCATAAACTCCTCTAGAAACAATACCTGGATGATGGAGGCTTTCAGCGGTGCTTCCGACTGAGCGAAGACCAGTTAGATCAACTGTTGCCTGTTGTCAGCAGAAATCCCATCATAATGAACTACCTCAAGACATGGGTAATATATAGCTTCAGCAAACTGTTTGGAAGCATTAAAAGTGTCCAAGAAGATGTCCAAAATTGTCACACGTGATGACCCAGAGACTGTTTAGTAGAGTGGTTGGCAAACTTTTTAGACCCGAGGGCCACATCAAGTTTTGCATACCAAGTGAAGAGCCACATGTCAAATACTTCAAAAAACAACTTTTATTTATAGCGGCAGTATGCATGGAACATGTAATATCAGACAGAAACATGTCACTTAAATACAAAACTAATTTATTATTATTGAGTTAAATTTACAAGTCAAATGAATTTGCACTGCTTTTTATATTTACTTATCAATCATCATACAATAATAAAATATTCCCTTATAAAATATAATAAACATGCAATCATTTTTACAGTGGAGAATAGAAAAGATATTGTCTGATAGAAAAAAATATCATATTAACACATTAAAAATAATTCTTAAAGTTTACTATTCAGTCAGATTTACAATAATCTAATTTGCACTGCTTTTAGAATTTACAGATCAATCATAAAACTTGATAAAACCACAAATCTTTGATAAAGGAACTTTTTAAAGTGGATGTATGCATGGAAAATATATTCAATGACAAAATTAACACATTTAACTAGCAATTATTATACAATTTGAGTCAAATTCACAACAATCCCATTTGAGCTTGTATTAATATGCCAACACAATCTCACGGCAATTCGTAACTTTCTGATTTAGTGGCTAATTCGTACAATTTAGTACGATTTGCTCATCCCCCAATGACAGTTGGGTTTAGGGGTGGAGTTGGGTGCCACGCCTCCTTTTTAAAATCATACAATTTTGTACGACTGAACTAGTACGAATTCGTACGAATTAGCCACTAAACTGGCAAAACGTAAAATACTTACGTTTTCTCGTGAGATCAGGCCGAATATGCTCATATCAAACATTATAAAACTATGAGATAAAACAAAAGAAGAATCTTGGTCTTTGTTATTTCAAGTCATGTTTTTATGAGTGTGTTAATGTGGACAATGAGCCTGAAAATAAAGGTACATTGATATCAACAGCAACACTCTCGCAAAATACCAAGCTGATTCAGTCGTTGCCTACCGACATAAAAAAAGCGCACTGTGCTCCTTTTTTTCTTGTCCCCTTAGGTTGTAGTCTTTAAAAACAGCAATACTTTCTTGGCATATTAGTCTACTGCTTTCTATCCGATATTGGTGAATAATTTTGTTGTTGTCTATTCTTCTTTAAACACATAACATTCAGAGTCCATTTATTTTTGCCCGACTCATTTTCAGTCATTAACGGTTGAGTGCAGTTTAATATCCAAGAATGTGTTCTAATTCTTCTGGTTGCACTAACTGTACCGCGTGCAATACTGCCATTAAATGGCGTTCACTTGTATTGCATCATTAATTTACTTGTTCTGAAACTTAACCGTTGCTCAGAAGCAGCATTTTAAAAACTCCCTCGCGGGCCGGATGAAAATGTTCAGCGGTTCGTAGTTTGCCCACCTCTGATTTAGAAGCATGTCATTGATGAGAAGATGACAGATATTTACTGTATGATGACCAAAATGGTCTTAAACACCCAGCAGGCACAAGACGTCAAAATGACGTCAGATTGACATTGTATCCCAACGTCATAGGGACGTTGCATTTTGTTTGGAAATACAAACCGGTTTGACATCAGACCAATCAATGTTTGACATCCAACGTAATCCAATCAAATATCAACGTCAAATAATGTTACAGCTTGACGTTGTGTGGACGTTACCAATATGACGTTGGATTTTGGTTGCTATTCCTTATGAATAAATATCAGTATTTGACGCCAACATGACGTTGGTTTAATATATTAGCTCGACAATGGATTTTGATTACTTTCCAACACAACCTAAAATCAACCAAATCTCAGCGTCATTTGATGTCATTATTGAACTTCAACACAATGTTGTCCTTAGACGCTGCCTAGGAATTGAATTTTAGCCACCAGACATCACAACTTGAATCTAACCCAATAATAACATCTTATGATGTGTGCCTGCTGGGCAATAACTAAATGCACTACAGAATGTTACGTTTACACATACACAAATAACATGTAAACGCATCAGCTTTCCACAGCGTAATACTCACTACGAGTACGAGGAAGGCTTTGTGCCGAAACGTCTGTTTGTCTGTTATCACCCGTAAAATGTAAGAAAAAGTAAAAATAAAAACATTATGAAGCAATTGAGTGCGAATCATTACCTTCTTTTGAATAATATTTACAACAGATACCTTTACTTTACTTGCACTACATTTTAGGCAAGTAATAATACTTTTACTTAAGTACGATTTTTCAGTACTCTTTCCACCACTTGATCACTACTCGCTATTCTTGAGTACTTTTGAAAGGGCTACTTTTTACTCATACTTTAAGTAATATTTACTATAGATACTTAAACTCTACTCGCTCTACATTTTTAGGTAAATAATAGTACTTTTACTTGACTATGATTTGTCAGTACTCTTTCCACCACTGGTTGTAGGCATGAAAACTTCCTGGTTTGGTTTATGCAAATTAAGCCACAGCAGAGAGGTCTTCAGAGACTTGCTTAACCCTATAAAAACTAGCATCTACTGGCGGCTCTTGGTTCGTCTAAGACAGAACAAGACGACTTAATTCTCAGCATATACTGTGAAGATGAACTGATTTCAGAGAGGTATTTCTGGTAATGTAACTCCTTAATTAACACATATAGTAATTCTCATTCAGATGCATTACCTGTGGCTAACCCAAAGCTGTGTGAAAACGATCAATGCTTGTCTGCTCTTATCTTCAGGTCAATGAATTCATCCGTTGCTTGACAGAAAATGGAAAATGGAACAACTTTTTACTTGATGTTGTTTGAAAATATTGGGTGCACGAGATATGCTTTGTTCAGTTTGGGGATTATTCTGTACAGCGCTATACTATTATTCAACTTCCTTGTTATTCTTGCGATATTTCTGGAAAGAACTTTACACCAGCCCATGTACATTCTGATTTCATGTTTGTCCTTTAACTCAGTGTTCGGAACTGCTGCTTTTTTTCCAAGGTTACTGACGGACTTGCTGTCGGATACACACTTGGTGCCCCGTGAGGCTTGTCTTTTACAGGCTTTTGTCATTTATTCCTATGCATCAAATGAAAACACGATATTGATGTTAATGGCGTTTGACAGATATGTAGCAATATGTAAACCCTTACAGTACAACAGCATAATGACTCCCAGGAATTTATCGGTTTTAATAGCGTTGAGCTGGATTTATCCGATGCTTTGTGTTGGTATCGCTGCCATACTAAATGCCAGACTGACCATGTGCGGAAACAAACTGTGGAAAGTGTATTGCCACAACTGGGAAATCGTCAAGCTCTCTTGTGCAAGTACTATCATCAATAATGTGTTTGGCTTTTTTATTGTGACCACAACTGTTATCATGCCTTTAAGTTTTATATTATACTCATATGTTAAAATTCTGATCATCTGTCGAAAGAGCTCACCGGAGTTCCGGAGGAAAGCCTATCAAACTTGTATTCCACACATAGTGATCCTTTTGAATTTCTCTGCTGCTCTTTTTTGTGAGGTCACTTTGAGCCGGGTTCAGAATTTGGAGCTCCCTATTGGGCTGTCCATTATTCTTTCGCTGGAGTTCCTTATTGTACCACCAATCCTCAACCCTCTTATTTATGGTTTGAATTTTCCAGAAATACGCAAAAAAATTATGTGCATTGTAAAAACATGTAAATGATTGTGTTTTTGATGTAATGAAAGCTACACTGTGAAAAGAAAGTCTGTTGACGGACCCTTTTCACACGCCTGTTATGACGCTTTTAACAGTCATAATCTTAAATCCTTGAAAGTTTTTAATATTTAGACTTTTTAAAAAATTGTATGAACATTTATATGCATTTATGAATGTATTATATCGTCTTTGCGTCAAATTACAAAAAACGAATTTCACTTATGCGAGATGTTTGTGATGCAGCGTCTATGGGGCTGAGAGTAAATTTGACGTTAGTCTCACACAATTTTTTTCCCTTTTTCTAAAACTCTTAATAACACCATTGTGGCGTTTTTCTTTTATAATTTCAGCCAAATAGGATTGTAAAGAAATGATTTGTTGTATTTGCTGTATAAGTTTACCCAGCTATGACGTCTTTTGCTACTGAGAGACCTGCAAATGTGAAAAGGGTCTATCAACAGTTTCTGCATTTTGTGAATCAAGGATTTTCTGTTTATTTACAGTTGTGAGTTGCTTTATGAGATGTTGATTTTTGCTCTGTTAACTTTTGATGTTAAAAATTCAAATCTAGTTTAAAAAAGCGACTTTTATCGACATTTTAGTAGTTTGAAATATCATTTTTAAGACATAAGTCAGTTTATACAGCGTTTTTTTCCCTAATATACAACACCAACCCAGACATTATATCACTTTAAATGATTAAAAATGTTAATAATAGTCACTTTTTTGAAGGTTAACAGTTGTTGGAAAATCTAGGCACCATAATGCAGATCAAAAGCATAAATGAATGCGGAAAATTTTTAAAAGGGAATCACAAGATGTTGAAAATTTTTAATTTAGGGACATTTTTACAGTGCATATGTAATGATATTTGATTAGCATTGGAAGAAGCAGAATTCTGTAACTACTACAATGGCCATAGCAGTGATACTGACTGTTCTGGGCCGAAATGAATTTTTGCAGGTCAAATTTTGCATTCAAAGCTTCTGTTGAGCTTTTGAAGGTAACTTTTAAACGTCTGTCATCTTTTAAAGTCTTTACATTAAAAATGCTATCTTTTTGTAACATAACTTGCTTTACAAGTTACTAAACAGTGCATACATCACTTTGTCCAGCAAGTGGAAGAGCAAACATTTTTTTCACCGCAGTGAAAATGTTTTTTTTTTTTTTTTTTCTGAAAGGCATGTATTATTAGCCCCCCTTTGAATGTATTTTTAAAGATATTTCCCAAATGATGTTTAACAGAGCAATGAATTTTTCACAGTATGTCTGATAATATTTTTTCTTCTAAAAAAAGTCGGTCCCACTTTATATTGTGTCCTTAACTAATATCTACTTACCAAGAATTAATAGTTTGTTACAATGTACTTATTGTGTAAATACATGTATTTACTGTGTACTTATGCTTGATTAAATACATGTATGTAATTACATCTTTAATTAACTTCTGTAATTACATTTGTAAATACACTGTTGACCATCCCTTACACCTTAACCCACCCTTAAACCTAGCCATACCACCAAACCTGTCCGTAACCCAACCTCTATCCCAACTCAGAAGCACCACAAGTGTTCTCAAATACATAATAAACACAGTAAGTACATTGTATTTATTTTTTTGATGTAAGTACATAGTAGTTAAGGGCACTTAATATAAAGTGGGACCAAAAAGTCCTATTAGTTATATTTTGGCTAGAATAAAACAGTTTTTTTTTTTAAAAACCATTTAAAGGTCACGATTATTAGCCCCTTTAAGCTATATATTTTTTCGACTGTCTACAGAACAAACCATCATTATACAATAACTTGCTTAATTACCCTAACCTGCCTTGTTAACCTAATTAACCTAGTTAAGCCTTTAAATGTCACTTTAAGCTGTATAGAAGTGTCTTGAAAAAATATCTAGTCAAATATTATTTACTGTCATCATGGCAAAGATCAAATAAATCAGTTTTCAGAGATGAGTTATTAAAACTATTTTGTTTAGAAATGTGTTAAAAAAAAAAAAAAACTTCTCTCCGTAAAACAGATATTGGGGAAAATATACAGGGTGGGCTAATAATTTAGACTTCAACTGTATATATTGTTGTTTTGCCTAATTAAACACTGTTATGCACTGACCTCAACCCATAGATAAACCAGATCTTACCTGTAACATAAATACTATGTTATAAAATCAATAAATTCAATGGATTTAAGAAAACTAAGAAAACTTTATTTACTTAAAATTAAATAGAAGTCCAACTCCATATTATTAACAATTAGTACTTGCAGTGGAAAGTTTAAGGTTTTAATTTATGTTTGTGGTTTATGTTAATAATTCAAATTTCCAATGAAATCAAACTATGAAAGTCATTACCTGCAGTTTTCACGCTGCAATGATGGTTATTTCAAAGTGTGTAACCGAATATATATATTTTTAATAGTGTTTAAATTAAACATTTAATTTAATATGTCAAAATCTGACATTGCGATATTTAGTTTTTCTGCTATATGAATAGCATTTCACCAAATGACCTGAATGACTCCAATTGGAAAGCGTTTATCATTTTAGATCAACTGAGGTAATTTTGTAGCAAAGTAAATTACACACAAAATATAATAAACCAATTACAAGCATAGACAAATACAATAGTCAAAGATAAAAGTCAAATGAACAGTCCTTTATGGTTTTTTGGTGAATCAAACTGTATTCAGGTAGAGTAGTTGAACAATCAAATCGTCACCTTGCAATTATGAGGTTCTATCTGACATTTTTGTCAAAATTTAGTTAACATATTCTTATTAAATGACAACTAATTAACATTATGGGATGTTTTTTTCTTTTTTTACATTTTAAGACTTTTTATTTAAAAAACAAATGTTACACACACTGTTTTCTATATGCAATGCAAAAAAGCTCAATATCTCAGAATCATTCAGAACGCAGATAGAACCTTTTAATTCTAAGGTTACGAAATGTAAAACAACACTGCACTGTAAAAAAAAAAAAAAAAATCTTCCTGCCTAATTTTTCTAGTTGCATCAAATAAACTTTTCTAGTCGTCTTAATTTATATAAATTAAAATGACTAAAAATATTAGGTTAAACTTTCTATAACTTAAAAAAATGTACTTGAAATCTAATTGTAATAAATTTTACGGCCACCTGGCCGCCGGGAAGCAGGAGGCAGAGAACCAATGAAGTTTTAAATAAATTTTTAATGAGAAAATAAAACAAACGACGGCAGCTTCTCATGGAGACTGCTGTCAAACTGAAAGCAAAAGTAAAACATCATGTCCGGGCCCGGTCCTCTCTCGGCCTCCTCTATCATTGTTCCTCCTTTTATAGTCCAGAGCTCCCTCCGTGGGATTCGAGGCCAGTGTGCTTTACAGGTGTTTGTCATCTGCGGCGGTCAGTGTATCTTTTGGTCATTGGATTTTCATTTTAGAAACAGATCTTGAAAAACAAGTCGTTTTTTATTTTAGTTTTTGAATTTTGAAGCGTTTTTGAATTTTAAAATACTAATTTGTGCATTTCCTACTTCTGTGTGCAGCCATGCTGCTGTTGTAGATGATGTATTCTGAGAAATTTTCGTACTCCTTGGTTTCGACTGTGGTGCCGGAACAAGCAAATATCAACGTAATTTGACACCATTATTGGACGTAACCTAAGCCAATATCTCCCAAACCTTAATCTCACGAAAACAGAAAAGCTAGAAGTTTCTGCCAACCCGACTCCACATCACAACTTTTCAATCCAGATAGACGGGGCAACCATTACTGCATCCAAAATGGTGAAAAGCCTTGGAGTAACGATTGATGACCAACTAAACTTCTCTGACCACATTTCTAGAACTGCTCGATTGTGCAGATTCGCACTCTACAACATCAGAAAGATCCGACCCTTCCTATCTGAACATTCAGCTCAACTCCTTGTTCAAGCTCTTGTTCTTTCCAGACTGGACTATTGCAATTCCCTTCTAGCCGGGCTCCCAGCTAACTCTATCAAGCCTCTTCAGCTGCTTCAGAATGCAGCAGCACGAGTGGTCTTTAATGAACCTAAAAGAGCACATGTCACTCCGCTACTCATCCGTTTGCACTGGCTGCCAGTTGCTGCTCGCATCAAATTCAAAGCACTGATGTTTGCTTACAAAGCGATTTCTGGCTGCGCCCCTTCTTATCTGCTCTCACTTCTGCAGATTTTTAGGCCCTCCAGATACTTGCATTCTCTGAATGAATGTCACCTCGTGGTTCCATCCCAAAGAGGGAAGAAAACGCTTTCCCGAACGCTCGCGCTCAATCTGCCCAGTTGGTGGAATGAACTCCCTAACTGCATCAGAATGGCACAGTCGCTTGCTGTCTTCAAAAAGCGACTAAAAACTCAACTATTTAGTCTCCACTTTCTTTACTAATATGCAACTCCCTCTCTGACTCCTCAACTAACTACACAAAAAAATAAAAAATAAAAAAAATTTACTAATGCTTTCCTTCTTAGACTTTACACACCTGAAACTTGCCTACAGCACTTATCCATTGTTGCTCTAATAGTTGTGTAAATTGCTTCCTTGTCCTCATTTGTAAGTCGCTTTGGATAAAAGCATCTGCTAAATGACTAAATGTACATATAATATTAACATTTTATGATGTTGTGTGCCTGCTGGGTTCACTTTCATCAGCGGCATCCCCTGCTCCTAGTTAACATGCCCGATCTGTTACACCGATCTGTTCCGGGACCTCTCAATTTAATAATTAAGCACTGGCCATACGCCTTCACGCTAAAGAGAATTGGGACACCCCTACCCCTACACATGAACACGCAAAACGAGGAGTATAAAAAAGATTCTGCACTCATTTGTGTTGTTAGATAATAAATTTTATATTTCAAAAACAGGGTGACGCGGTGGCTTAGTAGGTAGTGCTGTTGCCTTACAGCAAGAAGGTCGCTGGTTCAAGCCTGGGTCAGTTGGCATTTCTGTGTGGAGTTTGCATGTTCTCCCGTTTCCTCCGGGTGCTCCGGTTTTCCTCATAAGTCCAAAGAAGTGGTACAGGTGAATTGGGTAAGCTAAATTGTGTGTATGGGTGTTTCCCAGAGATGGCTTGCAGCTGGAAGGGCATCCGCTGCGTAAAACATATGCTGGATAAGTTGGCGGTTAATTCAAATGCGGTGACCCCAGATTAATAAAGGGACTAAGCCGATTCATCCATTTTAAATGATGTTTTGACTCATGCCTTTGCACAAACTGGTACGCAAATTGCATTGTATCATTAAAGTGAAGGGGAGTGGGATGCCACTGAATGCGATTTATCTATTGTGCCTGTGTTAAATAAAACAGAATGTGTTCTCACAATAGCTGCAGTAAACAGCAGTGAAGCAAACACAAATTACACAAGAACAGCCAAAAAATGTTAGGTCAGGTGCATGATGGAGCTTTGATTATGGCTGGGAAGCATATAAAAAAAGCTAACTACTATAGGCAAACTGCTTCAAGAAAACCTAGGCAGAGAAAGCACATACGCTTGCTGCATGATCCACTAGCTACACCTGGTGGTTGTGAACTGACGGCATAAAAATCAGTCACTTTGGAGTAGGGTAAAGCCGCAGGCCTGGAGACCCAACTGCACGCTCAGACCTGCACTTCCAGACCTATCGTTTTCTCAGACAGTGCCACCTGCTGTTGGGTTGGGTGAAGCAGCAGGTACAGAGACCCGACTGCACACTCAGACCAGCACTTTCTAGCAAGTAAACTTCCCATAAAACGTTCTGCTTTTCATCAACAAGTGCTGTTATATTGGAAACTGATATTTAAACATAGTTTTAGCCCACATAACACATCTATTTGGAATAACAGGTTTATTTTGGCGAATAGAACATCTTTGGTTGTTGATGAATGGTGGAAGAATGGCATAGGGTTAATAACATATATGGATAATTCAGGAAATATGTTGAGTCATGATGCTCTCTGTAGAAAATACCAAATAAGTTGTTCTCCTAAAAGATATGATAAAATTATTAAGAATATACTATTGCAAATGGTTAACCTAGTACAAAAAAAAAATATATAAATATATATTCAACCATAAATCCCAAAATAAATGCTCAAACAAATTTTTAAAAGATTATCTAAGTGTTGTTTTCCAGGACCTGTTAAGAGAGCTTTTATTTTGTCTCATTATGATAAGAAAAATATGATATTAGAAAAAGATTTCTTTCATATCCTGTTAACTCTAAATGTAAAGAAACGTTCAGTTTTCCACTTACAAAGTCCGCCATGTAAATAGCAAATGCGCCATGGCGTGACGCAACCGACTCTTAAAGGGAATGGTAGAGGAGACTCTGATTGCTTTATTCTCCAAAATACACCCACAACTCATTAAGAGAATAAGCACAACACCGTAAGACCATGCGCCGCTGTGCAGAGCAGAGTTTTTTGTCCTTAAAATAGCAAAAGTGGATTCGGTCATGCTCTTTTTAAAATTGTCATTTACAGAAGTTTTCTGATGACTCTGCAATTGTAGGTTACATAAGGAATCATGATGAGAGTGAGTATAAGTTGCTTTTAAAAAGTTTTGCTGACAGGTGTGAAATGAATTGTCTTAAATTAAACACTAATAAGACCAAAGAAATGATTGTTGATTTTAGTAGACATCCATCACAAGCGGTGCCCATAGTTATACAAGAGTCAGAAATTGAGATTGCTTTCGTCATATAGGTACCTGGGTATATATATGAACAACAAGCTCGATTGGTCTGAAAACACAATCCAGGTGTATAAGAAGGGTCAGAGCCGCATTCACTTATTGAGACGACTGAGGTCCTTTGGTGTGTGTCAGACACTGTTAAAAACTTTTTATGACTCTGTGGTGTCTTCTGTGATTCTGTATGCTGTAACCTGCTGGGGAGGGGGACTGTTGGAGAAGGAGAAAAACAAATTGAATAAGCTTATAAAAAGGGCAGGTTCTGTTGTGGGGTGTGCACTACCTACCATAGAAGAGATTGCACAGGATCGAATGCTGGACAAATTTGTCAGTATAATGAACCACGATAGTCATCCCCTTTTTGATACAGTCCAAGCGTGTGCAAGCTCTTTTAGTACAAGATTAATTCAACCCCGGTGTTACAGAGAAAGATACAGGAAGTCTTTTTTACCAACAGTCATCAGATTGTATAACCAAAGTCATACCAGATGAATTGTGCTGAACTTGAATTAGATATTAAATATGGACAAGTGTTTACTCGTTGTTTTTGGAACCAAGGTGTGCAGTATGAAATGTAATTTTATTATTGTTTTTATTTGTATGTAACTTATTTATCTATTTTTAGTATGGAGAGCTCTGCTGTGACATGTGAATTTCCCTCCGGGGATTAATAAAGTCAAACTAACTAACTCTTGATGCTTTTACACCATGCGCTTTAGACTTTACGCCTAGATCGTTAAAATAGAGCCCTAAAGAGTGACAGTCACCAAAACGGCACAATTTGGATCAAAGCCTAAAAGGGTCAGTTTCAAATAGTCATAAAACATTATTTGTTTGGTATTTTGAGTTGAAACTTCACATACACAATATAGGGACATCAGAGACTTGTTTTAAATCTTGTAAAAAGGTTATGTCCCCTTTAAAGCAGGACTGTGTGATGCAAAATGATAGAATTTCCTATACGCTTCTGCAGACAAAGAACAACACATTACTAATACAGCAATTTATTTGTAGAGGGATGTACACATAATATACATTTAAGGAATGTCACAGTTGCACTGCAAATAAATAGTGTACTTGAAACAAGGCAAAAAAAGAAACTGGTACATGTTACACTCTACAAAACATCTCTTCCTTTGGTTTTCTCATAACTTCCTCAAAAATAAGGTACGCTGTATTTGAGCCTTTCGACCAGTGAAAGGGTAAAATGCCAATGTATCACTCTTCAAAACAATAATATACTGCACATTTCATTTCATTGAATAAATCTTGAATCAACAATGCACTGAGGATGTTTGAAATGCACTTAGTGCCACAATAAAATCGCAAGAAGGTTATTAAATGGCACAAAGTCATTGTTAAGACAATGACAAACTTAATTTTTATTTATTTATATTTTTTTAGTGAAGAAACTGGCAAAATAACTGGCTTCTTTCAAACAGTTTGATGAGCCTCTCTTTTCTAAATGATCTTATAAGTTCTTGTTTAGGATCAAAATCCTTCTGGTCTTTATTTATCAGTAGAGTGAAACGCCTTGCTTAACCTGAATGCCGCTTACAATTAACTGAAACTTGAAGGATGTGTATATATAACCCACACAAATTCAAATATGCCTATTAAGCTATGTACAGCAAAAATCAGAAGCTTCGAAAACAAAACGTCCATTCTCTCTTCCATTCATTAACTTACCCTGTGCGTATCCAGCATATCAAAGCCAGCAAAACTTAAAGGGACCAACAGGATGCTGCCCATCTTGACTCCTGATTATCAATGCATATTACACACTACATAAAGAGTACAAGCATCAAAACATATAAGAGTCTTTTTTTTTTAGAATATGGACACAGGTTTATGAGAGCACAACACGCATACATGCTCACAGAGCTTTAAAATTTAGCAGCAGTAGCTCTCAGCTACACATCTGAGAAACAGACAAGGGGTTAAAATAATTTCTACAAATGAGTGATCTGGCGGGCCTAATAAAACAGAATTGATAGTAATAATGCAGCATCGGGTACTGAACTGAAATAAAAGCATTGGAGATTTTCCTTGCTGGGATAAACTTGTTTCACTGTGATAAATAAATAACAATAAAAAAGAAAAGAAAAAGATGACGGCAATATTTCTTGCCATATATAATCCACCAAATGAATGATCAGTTTTCATTTCTTTTTGAGAGCCATGAGTTGATTGTGATTCTAATTTCACAGTGCTAAAACAACATTCACAGGACGGTTTGCTGACAGGTCTTTGGGACAGGTTTTTACTGGAGTTGCCCATGACAAATAAAGCTATACTGATCTGCCAAGGAGATCGTTCTTGTCCGGTTCAAGAAACTCTTCAACCAGGGCAGCTGCAACTTTTCTTAACTCCTCGTCCAGGCTAGAGATATCACTGCAAAAACATGAAAATAATAAGTTCAAATTTATTATTAAGAGTTCATTTTATTTTACAGATTTTCCAATAATCTATTTTGAACAGCATTTATGCTTATGTTAGTCTGTTTTCCCTATCTGGAGGTTTCCATAATCCTGGACCAGGCCGTATCCTGAGCAGATGCTGTGGTGGTCATGAAGGAGTGGAGAGCATGAGACTGATTTCTGAAAGACTACAGTGACAGACGTGTCTGCATTGATCCCGTGGGTTAGCCTAATCACCTGCTGGTGACCTACTCAGACCTGCAGCTTCTCCACAATGGACGTCCAGCGTTCTCCAGCCTTGGGTACCTAGACTAAAAGTTTGGCCAAAGGACAAATGGTTGTGCCTAACTGAGCCTGGTTTCTCTCGAGTTTTTGGTGAATTGGTGAAGTTTTGTCCTTGTCGCTGGCTTGCTTGGGACTTGTGGAGATGCACATCGATAGATTTGTTCTTCAGTGTTTGGACTTTCAACAGTGAAATTTTAACCACCCTGAACTGAACTAAACTGAATTTCAACTCTGAAAACTGGACTGACACAGTTTCAATTTACTAGAACTTCTATGTTAAACTGCTGTGACACAATCTACATTGTAAAAGCGCTATAGAAGTAAACGAGAATTGAATTATCTAGAACAAAAAAATTGCTTAGGGTTTTGTTGAGTTGAGTTGAGATCAGAATTATTAGCCTTCCTTTATATTTTTCCCCGCAATTTCTGTTTAACGGAAGGAAGATATTTTTTCAACACATTTCTAAATAAAAATTTTTAATAAATAATTTTTTATAAAAGATTTCTTTTATCTGTCATGATGACAGTACATTATATTTTATTACGTCTTTTTCAAGATATGAGTATTTCTTAAAGTGCAATTTAAAAGGCTTAACAGGGTTAATTAGGTAAGTTTGGGTAAATAGGCATGTCATTGCATAACAATGATTTGTTCTGTAGACAATATTAGTAAAACTTTTGTAAAAAATATTGTTTAAGGGGGTTAATAATATTGACCGTAAAAAAAAAAATTCTAAAACAGCTTTTATTCTAGCCGAAATAAAGCGAATAAGACTTTCTCAGGAAGTTAAATTATTATAGTAATTTTAGTAAATAAAAGTTTATTGCACTGTTAAACATCATTTGGGAATACCCAGCCTGATCTCACGAGAAAACGTAAGTATTTTACGTTTTGGCAGTTTAGTGGCTAATTCGTACGAGTTCAGTCGTTAGGAAATGTACGATTTTAAAAAGGAGGTGTGGCACCTAACCCCACCCCTAAACCCAACCGTCATTGGGGGATACGCAAATCGTACTAAAATGTACAAATTAGATCGTACGAATTAGCCACTAAATGAAAAAGTTACAAATTGCCGTGAGATTGTATTGGAATACCTGAAAAAGAAAAACAATTCACAGGAGGCTAATAATTTGACAACTGTATACATGTATGAATGGAAATGCATTAGACAAACTATCAAACATGTAAAAAAAAAAAAAAAAAAAGAATAATAATAATAATAATAATAATAAAAAATTATTCTTAACCTCAACCTTATCAGAACCAGGTGTAATCTTACTTTTAGAATGAGGTTTAATGAAGCCAACCCAAAGACAGCACCTTACTTGCACTTCTTTTACAATCACAAATCTGTAGATGTCAAATTGACTATGGGTATGTATAAAATACATTTGGTCTTTAATCATACCATTTTTTTATTCAAACAAATGGTACCACTTTATTTTGATGGTCCATTTCAGTATGAGTAGACTGTCAGTTTAATATCTGCTGATACTGTTCCTTCAACAGACATTTAACTGGCTACAAAAAACATTGCAAGTACATATCAACTAGCCCTAACCCCAACCTAACAGTCTACTTATAATCTAATAAAAATTAGTTGGCATGTAGATGCAATGTAACTTAAAATCAACAAAAGGACCATCAAAATAAAGTGACCAAACAAATAAGCTCCTGATCAGGGAGTCAGCCATTTTCAGGGCTTAAACAGCAAGTTCTTCAAGTAACCTGAAACATTTGCTCCCTGAATTGTACTACAATGCACTGTAATAAGCATCAATGCTCATCATTAATAGAAATTCTGAAGTTCAAAACAAAAATCATGTGAACCAAATCACCAAACATAAAGACAAATGCTAAATGTCAAAGGTTAAAAAAGCAGTTTTGAAAACCTCTAACAAAAAACACACACCGTTCTCCTGGTGATGCGCAGAATTCTGTGTAATACTTGATCTTTGGCTCGGTTCCACTGGTCCTAAGTGTGGCAACGATGCCATTCTGAAACGTGAAGGTGAGCATTTGGCTACTTTTTGACAATGGAAGGACCTGAAGAAGATATTAAAAGAAAACTTGTAACAGTCTGAAACAATGTAAGCTGTTTGAAATGGAGTCGATGTGCTCTTACGTACACATTTCTTGTCAGGCTGACTGCTGTCGTAACCAGTGGTCACATCTCGGATGTGTGTGATGCAGTAATCGCCACATGACGTTGGATACACACCCTGGCCTCCAAAGTTGCGTAGGCGACTAAAAATTCTATGAATAGTGGGTGGGTCATTGCAGAGGACATAGGACGTTCGAGAAATGTGATACCCGTATCTACAATAAACAGATCAAACATACACAATCAGAGTTCCATTGGGAAGCTACGGTAGAGTACAACACTAAAATACTTCACATTTTTACTCAAAGACTTTGACAATTAAATAAGGTAAAAGTAACCCTCATGTCTTTGAAATCCATTAATAATTTGTCTACTCTGTAATGTCTACAGAAAACTAACAAATAATCATTTGTTTATTGTATTATGCAAAATGTCTCTCCATCCATTGAAATTCTGAAAAATTTTAACACTTTAAAATATTCAAAAAGAGTCTAAAAATTGATTAAATGGAAATTGACTGATTTTAATCCAGGTCTTCTGAGGTGACTAGACCACTTTGTGATATTTAGATTCCTATTTATTAGTGCTGTCAAAATTTGTGCGTTAATGTATTCGATTAATTTGAAATATTTAATGTAAAAAATTGTACAATTAACGCAGTTGCATTTTTTTTATTTCCTGCTGTGGCCAGCGTGTGTTTAACGTGCAGAGAAATAAGAGTAAGACCAAGAAGGAAGCGCTTTTAGAAGAAAAGTTTCAGTATAAAACAATTAATGTCGCATTACCAGGCTATCCAGCGTTTCCTCCAGAGTTTCATCTAATTTCAAATGTTTTATTTTTAATCTTTTGACTTTTGTTTTAATGGAATTTGATACCACATGCCGAATGGAAAGAAAACACTCCGCATTTCATGACTCGGTGGTCCTTTAAGGTAATCAAAAAAAACTAAAATCGCAGCTTACATGGTAGACTCTTAAGAGTATTATCGTAATCATATTAAAATTGGAGTATTGGTGTCCATGTAAACGTACTCAGTGAAAGTGCCAGATGATATTGCAAGCTGTCAAAGACGGCGCATTTGTCTGCCTTTAAGATGATACCATGCGCCCTCAAATGTTTAATTAAGTTTGACGTGTTTCCCTCATAAACGCAAATTTTGTAAAGTGTCTGCTTAACACTGTGTTAGAATCCTTGTGAAATACAGCCATACTTTAGAATGCTTAGTTTAAGCAAAGTTTGATAAACGCGATTATGCGTGTTGATAAATCTGAAGGGATCCCTTGCTCACTGGCTGCGCTGTCCTGTGTGCGCTTTGTGTGTGCGCGTGCGAAACAAACGCCTAAACGTCGCTGACTACATAGCTGTTTAAATGTTTAGAGATGGTGTGACTAAAGTCCCTGTAAGAATTAGGCTTTGGTGTGACAACACATACCTGTAATGCATATGCTGATTCAGTGATCCTGTTAGTGAGAGACTGTTCTCACACTCAGGTCACATCATTCAAAAGAAAAAGTCCACATTGTCCCCCGATAATGTCAACAGACTGGACTGTCTTAGCAACTGGCTGAATGTAAAGGAGGACTAAGCAAAATTGTTTCTACTTTATAATTAGTGTTCTCAACTCACAGCAATACAACTTTTCAATGAGTGCAATTGTTTGTATTCAATTCTTTATTATTATTATAATTTTCCAATTTCCATATTTGCAGTGCCTGTATTTTGGCATTTTTTTCAGTCCACTTAGAATTAAATATGGAAATACATTTTTTCTTTATTGGCATTGATTGTTTTTAAAATTGAAATGGCATTAACATGCCTGTGTTTTTTTTTTTCTGTAATAAATATGGCTGTCAAGCCAGGATCTTGATGGTTTATTGTGGGTATGTTGTTTACATAAAGAAAACTGTGTTACAAGTTAAACAAAAATTCTAATAAACAATTATATTTTGAATTGAAATAGCTTTTTGTTCTGCGTTTATGTAAATTTTACATTTGAATAACCAAAATTACAAGTTTTTTAAATGTCTTTTAAATGTGATTAATTGCGATTAATTGCTAAAAAAAAAGTGTGATTAATTAGTTGATTTTTTATTATTGATTGACAGCACTACTATTTATGTATAAACACTGATTAGTCAAATGTGAGGTTACTCTGAGGTTAAACACTGTTTGCTGGTCAATATGGGAAAACAGCCTAAAATAAGTCTGATAATCATGTAAAATCTGTCCAAAAGACCTGGATAATTAATGAATATAAGTTTGCACCTCTTTTTAGAAAAGAAATTTGTCATATTTGAAAGAAATAGCTTAAAGACATTTCTTATGGGTTTGGAATTACATGAGAGGGAGTGGATGGCAACAATTGTCTATGGGTATGAACTGACCTTATAACAAACAAGAGATACTCACATTTCGTAGATGTTACATAGTTGTTGGTTCAAGGAAAGGTTTTTGGTGTGTAGATAAGACGCCATTTCAGCCACAACAGCTGCTGTACTGACTCCATCCTTATCAAGGACCATGTTCCCACACAAAAACCCTGACATCAAAACAAAACGAGACAAAATATTATTGTTCGTCAACATGCTCTGAAATAACTTGACGGTGAGGAAATGACAACATGTTCCCAAACTAAAAACCATCTGAAACAATCTCCCAAATTTACAGAATAAACAACTGGTCAGTCATCATGTGTATCTGTAGATGCCATGGGCTTACCAATGGATTCTTCGAAGGAAAAAATTACTTCCTTTCCTGCTTTTTTTAGTTCATGGATTCTGTTTCCAATCCATTTAAAGCCAGGCAATGTTTCCTAGAGTAAAGGAGTAAAAATAGCAAAGTAAGTAAAAAGTGAAATGAAGTAAAAATAGCAAAGTTTAGAAAGAAGTTAAACTATTAATTAATGGACTTTAATTAAACCAAAATCTTTCACCCATCAATGACAATTTGTGAAGTAATTGCTCAACCTCATGTCATTTCAATCTTAAGACACACGTTCATCTTTAGAACACAAATTAAGATATTTTAGATGAAATCCCTCATCTTCTATTGACAGCACTAGTCCTGAAATGTTTAAAGTTCAACAACATTGTCAAAATATTTCATTTGACTTTGGTGGTTCAACTGTACAAAGCTCAATCAATGATTTTTGTGCACCAAAAGCTACAAGAAAACTTAATTCGCCGATGTCTCCTACATCGTCTCCTACATCATTTACCTACAAGGTAAAGCCTGAAGACCTGACGAGAAAAATAAGATATAGGCCAACAGAATCGTATTCATGTTTTTTGGCACACAAAAGTGTTTTTGGAGCGTCATATGATTAGACTGAGGTCACATGTAAAGTTTTTGATTTCTTTTCTGAACATTAAACGTCTCAGAACTGTTGCTGTCTATGGGGGATGAAGGAGCACTCTGATTTATTCTAAAATACCTTAATTTGTGTTCTGAAAATAAGCAATTTTTTGGGGTATTGAAACTATATGAAGGGAATTAATGACAAAATTTTCATTTTGATTAAACTAATCCTTTAATTGCACCGCGTCAGTATTCCATATTCTAGTTCAGAACGGTAAACCGGAACCTCCAACGTGCAAACAGCGTAATCAAAGATTCAGGATTGCAAATATGTGTGATATTCCAACAAATCCATATCGTTTGCAAATATTTGTAAAATATAGTGAAATTATAGCCGGCCTCTTGTGTTCCTTCTCGACTTGAATTGATTACATGCTATGCCACTTCACTATGTCACACTCATGATCTGATTTGTTGCTGAATAATCAGTTAGAGAGTTCTCTTCAACCAATGGCCCGGCACAGATTCTAAATGCTGAATCGGGCCAATGAGCTCCAGCGTTAACCTGACAAAAAGGCAAAGTTTGGTACAACATCAAATCAACTAGCCAGATGAAGTTGACCAATGAAGCCCAATGGTCAACCGTTGGCTTATTGTGTCTTGGCCCTAAGATCATCGCAAGATATTTAGAACTTCATTATTTACATCAAATTAACAAACCTCAAAATGGAAGCCCTCGATGCGTGCAAAGGCCTCGAGTATTTTGGATGAGACAGTGGTGGCCAGCATATACACTCTCTCAGTGTCTGCTGGGTCAGGGTGTGCTTCCTTCCAGTTAAACAACATCCACCAGCCAAGCAATGCTGCCAATTCATTCCCTGTGAACACTTTCCATCCGCAACTGGCCATAAAAACACAGGACACTAATTATGAGCCACTTAACTCAAGAGTTCAGAACAATTACAGTTAAGTGGAACTAACATGGCTACATTTACTGCTAGGGGCATTATTGAGCACAGGTTCACCTACTTATCATTCTGCTCTGCAACAGCCAAGCGATCTGCATCAGGGTCTGTGGCTACAACAATACGGGCTTTTTCTCTTTCAGCCAAACGAAGAGAAAGCTCCTAAAGCACAATCAGGGCAACAAAAAAAATGTAAAATTACTACAATTTCCTATATCGTGCAATTACCAAGAGGTTATGATTTTGATAGCTTTGGCACCTGGAAGAATGGAAGGCCTTTATTGTTTAAAAGAGTTAGTGCTTTCTAACAGAATTAATAAATATAGCACTAATCAGGCAATCTTACCATGGTCTTAAAAAGGGTAGATAAAGTACAAAGTAAAAGTATTTTAAATAGTAATTAATAAATTTTTTTTTCATATATTTGGTATTATTTAACTAAGAAAACAAATCTTACTAAGACTGACTCTCCTTCCTCTGGGTTAGGACAGCTGACTGTGGAAAAATCTGGATCTGGATCTTTCTGCTCTGGGACAGGAATTGGCGGCGGGAAACCAAACTGCTGAAAAGCCCTCTGGACATAGTTGTGACCCACACCATGGAATGATGAATGGACAAACTTCAGAGGAGACTTTGCGTTAAGTTCTCTGCAATCAGAAAAAACAAGATGGCGACGATGAAGATCAGTTTTTCGTTAAGGCAAGCAGTTTTCAGCATTAATATCGCAATGGCACATCCGCAGTAGTCACATCGCAGGATCTGCAATGTCAATTCTGCATTATAGTTGAGTAGGTAGTAAAAACAGACGATCATAGAGTAATTGCAAAGTTTAACCATACAGTTAAAATTGTATCATATGCATGTGACTGTGCACATTTTAAGCCATTTTAAAGTATTCAGGCACAGGAAATTTAAATTTTAGAAACTTCAAGAAACATTAATTGCATTTACGTGAAGTATATATGCAACGAGGGGTGGCACGGTGGCATAGTGGGTAGCACTTCTGTGCAGAGTTTGCATGTGCTTCCCATGTTCGCATGGGATTCCTCCGGGTGTCCCGGTTTCCCCCACAAGTCCAAACACATGCACTATAGGTGAATTGGGAAAGCTAAATTGTCCGTAGTGAATGTGTGTATGTCCCGGTCCTCCAGATTGGAGGTTGGCCGTTCGGCCAACTACCCACCGCGTCAAAATTCGATGTAACGAAAAACACTAACATGCTGCGGCTAAATATAAACGGTAAAATATATATATATTAATTTTACATTGGTCGGCACAATGGAGCAGTGGGTAGCGTTGATGCCTCACAGCAAGAAAGATTGCTGGTTCATGCCCCGGCTGGGTCAGTTGGCATTTCTGTGCAGAGTTTGCATGTTCTCCCCGTGTTCGTGCGGGTTTCCTCTGAGGGCTTCGTTTTTTCCCCACAGTCTAAAGACATGCGCTACAGGTGAATTGAGTAAGCTAAGTAGTCTGTAGTGTATGCGTGTATGTCCTGGTCCTCCAGGTTGGGGTTGAGTGTTGCGCTAAAGACCCCCCTCGTAAATATCAACTTCAATATAAATGGCTATGAGTGCAAGTATGTATTTATTTTACATTAAATTATTCAATTTGTGTGCCTGAATACTGTTAGACTCCCAGAGAAACAATAATGCATTTATTTCATTTGTATCTTTGCTTTACTGTATTTATCATTGCTTGTGATTTGGTTTATTACATTTGATGCAGATGCGCTCCACTACAAAATCCTGTTATTATGCAAAATTGTCCTAAAATAATTAATTTTTTCACAAATAGAGCTATTTGTTTCATCTGTTAAAATTATAGTCAATATCGCAATATGTACTGCAGAAAAATCAAATATTGCAATGTCATTTTTTCCAATATCGTGCAGCCCTATTTTAAAGCAATTAAATTTCAACAATATTCAACACACTCCTATATGTATAGCCCTATAACAAGGACTTAAATTAAACATTATTCTGACTTAATAGACTGTTTTTCAGTATGTAATTAAAATAACAAAGAAGAATGTTTAAAAAAAAAAAAAAACAATTTACCATAATAAAAAATTTAAAATCGTATATAAATTAATATACACTTATCGGCCACTTTATTAGTTACACCTGTCCTACTGCTTGTTAACGCAAATTTATAATCAGCCAATCACATGGCTGCAACTCAATCCATTAAGACATGTAGAAACGGTCAAGACGATCTGCTGCAGTTCAAACCGAGCATCAGAATGAGGAAGAAAGGTGATTTACAGTAAGGCTATACTCACACTAAGTACAATTGCCTCGAACCGGGCCAAAGCACGCTTGTCCCCCCTCCCGTCTCCCCCGACGTCCCGCACTCACACCACAATTGGGCCTGGGCACGCTTACGTCATCGATGCTGCGCTGTTCAGTGAGAAGCGCTCTCACTCAGCAGCACAGTGGAGATTTCTCTAGTTATATCGTTTCAGTCGTTTGATATGCCGTCAAATATTTCACCAAACAGTCCTTAGGGATGCGGGGACACGCAGTCAGATATTTTGCCGAACAGATCCGCCACTTTTGGTGCTCATAAACAATCATAAAGCCCTCGTGCTGCAGGAAGGTCTGCTGAAGGTGCACAGCTTTAGTGCAGTGAGGAGTTTGCGTCTTTAATAAACTACGGCAGTTGGCGTTCACTAAACACTCAACAGTAAGAATAATTAATAAATCCATATGAAACAGTCCCTTAAAAGTCACGTCACGCTTTCGGTATCGTGCTTTGGTGCGTTTTGCACTCACACAACAAGCATACTGCGCCAAAGCCCAAGTGATGCGCGCTCAGGCCCAACTCTTCCAACCGGGCCAGGGCCGGCCAAGTGAACCGTGCTTGAGCCCGATCCAGCGCACTCACACTTCTCAAACCATCCGGGAAACGGGCCTGGGCACGGTACGAATGACATAGTGTGAGTAGGCCCTAAGTGACTTTGAATGTGGCATAGTGGTTGGTGCCAGATTAGGTATTTCAGAAGCTGCTGATCTACTATGATTTTCACGCACAACCATCTCTAGGGTTTACAGAGAATGGTCAAAAAAAAGAGAAACTACTCAGTGAGCGGCAGTTCTGTGGGAACGAATGCCTTGTTGATGCCAGATGTCAGAGGAGAATGGCCAGAGTGGTTCGAGCTGATAGAAAGGCAACAGGTACTCAAATAACCACTCGTTACAACTAAGGTCTGCAGAAGAGCATCTCTGAATACACAACACGTCGAACCTTCAGGCAGATGGGCTACAGCAGCAGAAGATCACACCGGGTGCCACTCCTATCAACTAAGAATAGGAAACTGAGGCTACAATTCGCACAGTTTCACCAAAATTGGACAATAGAAGATTGGAAAAACGTTGCCTGCTCTGATGAGTCTCGATTTCTGCTGTGACATTCGGATGGTAGAGTCAGAATTTGGTGTCAACAACATAAAAGCATGGATCCATCCTGCCTTGTATCAATGGTTCAGTCTGGTGGTGTAATGTTGTGGGGGAGATTTTCTTGGCACACTTTGGGCCATTAGTACCAACTGAGCATCAATTCAACGCCACAGCCTACCTGAGTATTGTTGCTGACCATGTCCATCCCTTTGACCACAGTGTACCCATCTTCTGAAGGCTACTTCCAGCAGGATAATTCGCCATGTCATTAAGCATGAATCATCTCAGACTGGTTTCTTGAACATGACTATGAGTTCACTGTTCTCAAATGGCCTCCACAGTCATCAGATCTCAATCCAAGAGACCACCTTTGGGATGGTGGTGGAATGGGAGATTCACATCATGGATGTGCAGCCGTAAAAAAATTGCAGCAACTGCATGATGCTATCATATCAATATGGACTAAAATCTCTGAGAAGTATTTCCAGTAGCTTGATTAATCTATGCCACGAAAGATTAAGGCCATTCTGCAGGGAAAAGGGCGTCGAACCTGATACTAGTAAGGTGTATTATAAAGTGGCCATTGAGTGTATTATATCCTATAATAGCAGATGTTATTTTCTTTAATATTATTTTACTTATTTACGAGAGAAAAAAAAAGTGTTTATAACATTTAATTAGTTTTTTTCTTGCTCTCAATTGATAATTGTTTTCTATTGATTGTTTAATTAAAATGTTTAGATTTTTTTTTATTAATAAATAATCGAGTCAAATTCCTAAAGCAATTTGTTAATGCGTAAATACTCAAGTAAATTAAAAAAAGCAAATACATTTTTGCAGTGATCTAAAAAAAGAACTGTAATGTACTTAAAAAATGTCACTGGTATTGCATTACCTGATAAAATGTTGAGATTTTGAAATTTACAAAATCCCACCATAGTGACAATTTAATTTGACCTTTTATTTTAGAAATTATGTTAATAAAAATAATAGTAAATTAATAAATTAAAATATATAAATAAATAAAAAAAAAATAAGAAGCTAAAAATGTACACTAAAAAACACAAACGATACTGTATGATATAACTGCATATGACACTTAATGTCATTAAGCAACAAAAAAAATGCTTTAAAAAAAAAAACTAAAATGTTTATATTTGCTATTGCTAAAACCGCTCTTCCTAGTACCTTAAATTGTAGGAATGTATAGTTTAAACACACTTTTTTTGTTTTAGTACAGGTGAGAGACTGCACCTGTGGAAGCAGAGAGTGTTTAGCTCTTCCATGTACCAGTGGCAGACGTCCTCCAGTGGGTCTCGCTTTAGCAGGCTGTTCTCAACCAGGTCCTCATTCCAGGACTCAGCCCAGGGTTCAGCACTCTCCTCAATGCAATGTAAGATCTCCTTATCATGCGGCGAGGCTATCTGTGCGCCATTGTGCCAATAAACCTAAAGAAAATCCACAAGCTTGAGCTAGATCACTTAAACATCTTACAAATCACACTTCAGAGGAGAACACAAAGCCTACTGATTGTATAATAGGTTACCTAAAAGTGCTATTAAATGTTGTTTAAAGCTCCTTGCAACAATGATGAGAACAATGCAAGTCTAAAAACCTTTCAAGAAGCAACAATTAATGTAATGTATAAATGTATCAATTCAAGCAGCTGGACTGGTCTATATTTCATTATATGATATAACATCTGTCAGCCTCCTCCTCAGGTATTCTGAACCTATGAGAAGTGCAGTACTAATTTCAGTACAAGTTCTGAAATTATTGCAGTGTTTCCTCTAGGATTTTTTCCTTTTTTTTTTACACAGATCTACCAACTGCCTGTGGCGCTATTTCAATGACAAATGTTATGAGCGCAGTATTAGAAGTCGAGATCGCATTTATGTAACAGCCTTCGAGCATGTGAATCTATTTATTTGCACGCCGATTTCCTCTGCTCGTGCACAAAACTTCTTGCACGCCCCCTTAAATATAAGCCGCTTCAAGAGCGTGCAGATCTTCTTGTGCGCTCTCAAATAAACACTGCTGAAGTGTGATTTAGTGCATTTATGTAACGAGTATGTCTCCAGTATTTATTAGATTTGCTAGGAATATTTATGAATGTCTCCAATAGACCTAGAGAGCGGTATTAATGCGTCCTGAAGTACAGTGAAACGGCTATACGTCGTGTCTGCTGGCCTCAAGAATCACAAACCTGTCAGTCAGTCAGTCAGCATGTAACCTTAAAGGGTTAAACAAATGACGCACAGCACTACTACGGTTACAGAAAAGTTTGCTCTGTTATAATTCAATTATCTTTTAATACGTTTTGGTGCTATTATTACCCGCTATTAAAAAAAAAAATGTTTTGAATGAGAAGCTATAATGTAGCCGTGGCGGGATCAATTTTGGCGTGGCCCTCAACATGGAAGAATGAATGTAGCGGAAACCATGGATTGTACGCGTTTGTATCAAATTTTCTCTTCGAACCACCAGGTGGCAGTCTTTGTACTTTTATTTCGGAGTGCAGATCGCATAACTTTTATTATTTATATATATTCAAGCTACCAGAACTCTCAGAAGAGTTTTGAAGAACGAAACTATCCTGGATCCTGTCAAATCGTCAATAACCGAATCCAGCTAATTGAGTAATCCACATACAAAGAATGGACCCCAGGAGTTCACTGTGTGTATGCATTCGGGGAAGGTGTGTGTCTGTCATTCTTTACTGACCCAATAGGTGCAGAGAATAGTGACAAACAGTCGTGTGTGTGTGTGTGTGTGTGTGTGTGTTTGTGTGGAATATCCTAATTGCAAAAAGTTTTACTTTAACTCATGAACATTTTATTCAAACCTTGTGACAAACTGGGGTATTAGACGCAAATAAGGAGTAAGGACTGGTGAGAGTGTTTTGGAATTTAATAACACACGCCAAATGGAAAGAAAAAAAACTTCCGTGTTTTGCGATATGTATGTGTGTGTGTGTGTGTGTGTGTGTGCGGTCCTTAACACTCAATTCGAGCATCATCAACCGCGCAGCATCAATCACGCCACAGGATAGCTATTTATATATATAGTATATTTGCATTAACTTAACATGTAAATTGTAAATCACTCACGCTTAACGCTTCATCTGCATCCGTGTGTCGTGTGAACGTACCAATAGAGTGACTCATTCTTTCTCAAATGTTTGTAGAAGCTGCCTGAATGGCTAATGCTTGATTTTATACACCTGCGGCCATGAAAGTGATTGTTACACCTGGGTTCAATGATTTGGAGGGGTGTCCCAAATCGTTTGGCAATGCAAGTTTAAAAACTATTTTTCAGTGAAAATGGGGCTGCGTCCGAATCCGCATACTTAAATACTATAAAGTACGCTAAAATCCGTATGCGAACCGAGTAGTGTGTCCAAAATCATAGAATTCGAAAATCAGTACGCGAGAAGTATCCGGATGACTTAGTACTTCCGGCGAGATTCTGGAGTGCGCATCCCATGCAGGCTGCGGTATCCCATGATGCCCCCCGCGAGAGAATTCATGAATCGGATGGAAGCGACGCAACTGACGAAAGTAGGTCACGTGACCATGACAAAATGGCCGATGTAGTACGTCCGAATTCCATTCATACTCTACACAATCATACTGCATAAAAGGTACTTTTCTAACGTCCGAGTAGTACATTTTAATGTAAATGCAGTACCTACTGAGCAGTAGGCGGTTTTGGACGCAGTCTGGGAGTACAAGATAATTTTTATTTTTGCTAGAAATTTTAGAACTGTATTTTAAGCAACTTTTCTGTCAGTTTTTAGGCAATGTTATTTTCTAACTGTAATGCAGCAGACAGCTCACCTTGTATCCATTGTCCTCTTTTCTGTTATGAGAAGCAGTGATCATGACTCCAGCTGCAGCTCCATACTTCATCACAGCATACGGCTGGGAAAAAAAGATGTAAAGATCAGCATCAAGAATTTGTCATACTGCTCATATACAACTCTGTTGAAAAGAGAGCTTTAGTTCTTCTACTGTGAATTAAAGGATACATCAATATATTTTTCTTACCACAAATGGGGTAGGCACATACGTAGAGAACAGATAGACAGGAACATCTTTACAAAGCATAACAGCGGCAGTCAACTTTGCAAGTCTGCAGATAAACCAAAAGCAAACAAGAAATGTCGATATTTAAACTCGTTTTAGACAAATGTAGTGTTCCGTATAGACTTAAATTAACATTATTGTAAACAACATTAAATCAAATCTTCCCGTTTTATTTATCCATCTAATAAATGGAATATTGCATACTGCATTTACATACACAATTAGAATATCAGTCAATGTAGGGCTGGGCAATTAATCAAACGAAATGTATAACCAGTTATAAATTAATCAGTCAGTCATTTAGGTTTTTTAATTATTACTGACAATACTTTGCCATTAAAACATATCACCATATATGAACAAACAGAGCGCTTGAGAGTTTTCATAATATCATGGTGAGTGCATTGTTCATATAGGCATTAATGTAATTACTAAGACTTATAATGGTAAAGGAGCTGTAATGTAGCAGCCCCATGGCATCAAAGAAGGAGGCAGAGAGTTCTCACTGATGCTTGCACGGTGATTTATTTTAACAGTATGAAACACTGCAATGCTTCACTTGTCACCGTGTTGACAAGAACACCGTTAAACTATACAAACCGGAAAAAAAAAACTAAGTGTAAACAATCACAAGAACGTAAAGCATAATATACACAGACATTCACAATACAAACACAGTGCACAATTCAATAAACAACATCAAAGTACCAGCAAACAATTAAACAAACAAACATACCTCGTTCCACTTAGCCATAAAGGGGGCGCTAAATTGTTCTCATTCGTTTAGCTGCTGGTGTATGCTGCTCATATTTATTTTCAGCGTGAGGCAACAAACACCTGTTACACACCGGCCAATGCTGATTATGAGGTGCTGGATGGGAAGCTACTAAGCCCAAATTGCTGCTATATGGGGCGTCTGCAGACTTGGATCCAGGCAGTTTTACGACCAAGGCAGTTTTACGCCCCACAGCTTTACGCCCCTGTTGTTCCTAATGCGTTCAGTAGGGTGGGATGAAAGATACATGACCACATAATACATTTGAAGTCAAGGCTCTCAGATTATTAAATGTCCTGTTAATAAATATATATAATTTCAATTAGATTACACTAAATATGAACGCTAGATTAATGTATCATAAAGTGAGTTATAAACTCACTATAAAATATGCAGAATTGATACACTCACCAAATAATTCCAGATTTGCAAAAGCTCTATTGCAAATTAATTTAGATTCATTTAATTAAAAAAATTAAAAACACAAGTTGTTGGATACTGTAATGGTTAATTGTAGCCTAGCTATACGTTTTCATATAGAGATATGCATTTGTTGTATTGTTTATATATAACTGCATTTTGAAAATAACAAAATGATAACCAAACAATACAGTGTAATATGGAGTAATGATATGCTTTGATAAGAATGCAGAGGTATTGTTACAATAAATATTATAAAAAATAAGGGATAAACAATATGATTGCATGTGCAATGCAAACTTCATTGGTAATATATAAAATGTACTGTATAGCTATATGAACAAAAATGAGCAGACCATTTATAATTGTGAGTTTCTATATGCATTTATGTATATATGATAGTTTAATTGTTTTTTTTTTTTTATAATTATTTTTTAGGGGTTTTTCACCTTTATTTTTGAAAGGACAGTAGAGAATATACAGGAAAGCATGGGGAGCAGAGAGAGGGGAAGGATCGGCATAGGACCGCGAGGCGGAATCGAACCCAGGTCGCCGCGAGCACCGGAGTGCATATGTCGACGCACTAACCACTACACCACTGGCGCCGACAGTTTAATTGTTTAAACTAGAACAGGATTGTATTATATTGATTGTAATTGAAAGCAATGCAATTTTTCAATTTAAAATAAAATCAATTAAATTTTCAGATCTGTTTAGATTTATTTCAATATTTAAGAAAGTCAAATTTGGAGGAATAATGTAGTGTAGTTGAAGTGTAGATTTGGCTGACAACCCAGACCATGCAAGTGTATTGTCTAATCTATGAGAAAATATATATCTTTAAATAATTATAAAATATAAAATAATTACTCCCTTGCTGAGACACAAAGGTACAAGAAAATTAGCCTACATAACACACTTTCTTATGTAGGTTAATGTTCTTTTACTCTTTTGTTGATGTATAACATGTAGCTGGCCTGCACATAGTTAGCTAAAATTGAGTCAAACTAACACATTGCTGTTATGCTACACCAATTTGTTTGTGTTGACATACACTCATGTCGACCTTAATCTAATAAAACAAGGTTTAAGTTTCATGTTTGCTAATGTTTTAAACACGTATTTAACATGTCGCGTTTGGTTGGGTGTGATAAAGTTCTGGAGGCTTAAAATAATACTGTACTGCCTCCCTCTACTGGACACAACAGGAACAACAGGGGCGTAAAACTGCCTAGGCCGTAAAACTGCTTGGGCCGTAGATCTGTCTGGATCCAAGTCTGCAGCCTCCCCCTACTCAATTGCTGGGCAACTTATAGGCGTTGCCCTCTAGTGGTGACTTAAGGATAGGGAGGGTGGTGGTCATTACATGTAACATTAGCTGTTTTTATTTAAAGATCCAAATTAAACTTAAATTTGATATTAAAACTGGAATATAACATACAACCAAGCACCATTTCCACTCAGTGAGTCAAGTAAACAAAATTGTCACCTACTCGTGGCAAATATCAAAAACAAACATTTAATTTGCTAGTTAGGCGAATGAATGCAATCATGGGTTTTGGAAGATCACAGTGCTAAAAATGAATACACTCAAATTGTTATGTTGAGAGAAAATATTACATACAATTTTAACAAACAGGAGAAAAAAAAAATCAAGAAAAACATAAAATATAAAAAATTTAAGTTGAGATTTTGTAGTTTGTAAACTTATTTTGCAAAGACTCTAAACTTTTTCAACTGGATATAAGTTTAAATAAGTGTTTTCATTTAAATGCACCAAAATTCTTTGCTATATTCACTAAGAAATAAATAAAAAATTAACTTTCAAAAGCGGGTGTTCTTATTTATGCGGAGCACTGTATTTGTTCATCTGAAAACAAAGTCAGTTATTCTCAGTTGACAATATGCATTCTGTGTCAGAATGTCAAATTGTTCATATGCGCATCAACCTGACCAAAAACATTATTAAAAGAGAAGGCAAGCCTCACATACGTCAAAATAAATCAGATTTTTTGTTGTTGGTTTATTTGGCATTGGACAGGAACCGAGTGGATTCCAAGAACCACGTCACGATCATGTCACTTCAGCAAATCAGTTCGAGCGAATGCAGATAATGGAATTAATATTCAGTAGCCTGACAGATAATTAGTAGTGATGATTTTTTATTTTTTTACTAAACTATAACTTGTCAAGCATCACTCACTCACTTTCCTTCAGCTTATTTGTTAAGTTACAAGGGGACGCACAATACATAACCAAGTCATATCATGAAAAGGAGAAAAAAATGTTATTTACTGTTTTGGTAAACCGTTAGCTTTGCTTGCTAAAGATGCTGGTTATTTTCCACTCTTGACAATGAAATATTCATTTCTGTTGGTTTATTTCAGTATTTAATAATTATATATTTTTTTGCAATAGTTACAATAAAACTGAAATCTGACCTCTTTTCAAAAGATGACTTCAATTTCAAATGTTGATTTTAGTTTAAAGTATTCTATTTAATACCACAAATGTGTTTTAATATTAAAAGGAATAGAAACATGCTCTTTCATTAGAAAAAAAGAACTTTAGTAGTTGAGTATAGTCACAGTACAAATGATAACAAAATAAAACATAAGGAAAAAGAAGAATAAATTAATAAATGCATTGAAAATAGAATAATTATTTTAAAATAATCAAAATTGAGGTAATTCAATTATTCAAAGTGTTGATTTTAGGTCATATCGCCCAGCCCTCTGTCAATGATCTCAATGTAATGATAAAACACACAATATACAGTATTTAATGCAGAATGGGTGAGTGAAACATTTCGACAGTAACCTCTAACTTGTTAGCTCTCCTAACTCTAGAATGTGCTTTCAGTACATAAAGAATGCGGTGATGAATGGGCAGCATATGCCTGAATGAAGCGCTATTGTTTAATACAGGAAGCGAGAGTGTTTTCTTTTATTTGAGCCCTTGTTCCACAAAAAAGGCTGTTTTGCTGGTGCATTCTGCAGGCGATTTTACCGTTTGCTGCAAGATCGTCTCATGTTCAGTTCTGTTGACAAACCGAAAATAATGAAAAATCCAAAAATATTATGATTCTCATAGAAAACGTACTGATTTAAAAAACTTAGTTATTAAATGTTTCTGCAACAAAATGTTGCACTGAGCAAGCTAACACACAACACACACACACAAGCAGTTAAATAAATGAGGAAGCATGTTGTGGACATAACACAACATCTAAATCGTCATCTTAGCATGTCAAAGTCAAATTTATGCATATAAAATATATTTCCCAACAAAAAAAGTGTGGCTAGTGAAAATGGCGAGTGGCTAGTAATGTTGGAAATCTACTAGCCACAGTGGCTGGTGATCAAAAAAGTTAATGTCAAGCCCTGATTACAACTATGTTTGGCTTTTGACAGATTATTTAAAATATGTGGCTAAGAAATAGCTATTAACTTTGAAAATTAAAAAAAGTGAAAATTTTAGCAGGGCAAGTAAAAATCGGAATCACTGGCCCAATCGGCTTATTAGAAAAAACCCTTAGCATTGAACCATTTTTAAACAAAGCAACAAGGCACTATATGATCAATTTAAAGAATTAAAAGACTATTTCTTCTGTGTCTATTTTATATTTATGAACGTAATTAGATTATGTGAAGTAATTAAGTTACTTTTCAGAGAAAATAATTAAGAATTTAATTAGAAATGAATAATTAAATACGTTTTTGAAGTAACTTGCTCTACACTGCAACAAGCACATATGTCCATATCTATAGATAAAATATTTGCCTATGAAAATATTTAAAGAACAAACAATGAAGTCATTTTGTTGATGTAGGTATGAAATATGTCAGTGTTTGAACACTACAGTGTATTTGCATGAAGTCTACAAGACATTACCGTTCACTGGTGCAGCCACTGCTTGCTTGGGCACGAGTGTCATAACCAACCACCAGCCCTCTCGTTTTCAGGTCAGGGAAACATTTGGCCAAGTATTTGTACAATCCCTACAACAACAACAACGAAGGACAGACAGACTTATCATCATTAAAAAAACAGAATGCACCACATATGGCCTAGATCCTGTCTAATAACATCAACAATCCAGACACAAACAAGTCTTTGGGACATTGTGTGTCCAGTAGCAGTATATCAGATAACTGTGCAGTTTGTCACTTTAATATTATTGGTTTAAATTGCCGTTTAAGAAACATGCCACTTTATTGCTTATCGTCTTATAATATTGAAAACTCTGAATATTGAATAACGTCCGCAAGATGTGCAGCACCTGAAACTATGGATACTGAAAACCTGTGCTGGCATTTCTCCGGCGGTGTTAATATCAGTGGTGAACAGTGGGAGAAGAGGGTTGCATTGACAATCCGACACAAAGGGCAGCACATTAAACACATTTTATAAGCGATCAGAAACTTGTTAAAAACTCATGAAAGAATAAAGTTACATTAAAACCAAGCACACCATTGTTTTACTTATAAAATTCCCAATAGGTTTGATGTGTCAAATGACCCTCTTCCAATTGAAAAAAAACAAAGTTGGATCCAAGATGGCCGACTTCAAAATGGCCACCATGGTCACTACCCATCTTGAAAAGTTTGACCCCTCACATATACTAATGTGCCACAAACAGGACATTAATATCACCAACCATTCCCATTTTGTTAAGGTGTATCCATATAAATGGCCCACCCAGTAGAATTAAGACATGGAGTATATTAGTGGCGTTATTGAAGTAAACATTGTAATCATACTATTACCGTCATGTAGGACTTTTGTCATATTTTCTGACAAGATCCACACATCCGGCTATCAGTAAAGAGCCACAGACACAGACAGACAGACTCACACACACACACACACACAGACTCTCACACACACACACACACACACACACACACACACACACACACACACACACACACACACACAAAGACTCACACAAACAAAGACTCACACACACACACACACACACACACACACACACACACGAAATGCGGACGTTTTTTTCTTTCCATTTGGTGTTATTAAATTCCATTAAAACAACACTCTTCCACCAGTCCTTACTCCTTTTTCGCATCCAACACCTCAGTTGGTTCATGAGTGAAAGTGAAACTGCCGAACAGCAGTTAAAGTTACCCAAAATTACATGAAACTCCGCAGGAGACGTGGAAAGCCTTGAGATGCAACATTCAAAAAGCCCTTCACGTAAACACTTTAATTATATTATTGTCTATTTAGGCAAATAACTAGATTGCTGATGTCCATGTAAACTTAGTCAGTAGTGTCTTCAAAGTAATTGAAAGATCCAGATGGGCATCCTGCTGATTTGATTCAGAAGGACTTTTTTTGTCAGACGGCTCACCGGTTTAACTTTCATTCACCATAGGCTTGGGCGGTATTACGGTATTATGGTATACCGCGGGATCTAAAAATAGCAACGGTGTCAGTTTCAATATTGTTATACCGTCATAAAATATTAAATATCCTTTATTTAATGCCTACAAAAACGTATGTGTGGTTTTCATCACGGGACAGTGTGGAGGAGAGAGGGAGAGGGAGGGGGAGAGAGGGAGAGAGAGGGGGAGAGGGAGGGTGGCATTATTCTTTTAATATTCAGCTTCACCGTCGCCCTAATGCCAGATTGTGAAAAGAAGTGGCGAAACTAATCTTGCACAGCCTTTATCTTAATTTTGTTATTGCCAAAATACCCGTCATCATTTAGAGTTTATTTTAATTTGATTTGTTAAGCAAGATTTCTGTTCTTTGGTGTGTTGGAAAATTTAAAGGCTAAGTGTATGTACCCAGGCCTATATAGAGTGCTGAGATGTTACGATGTTACAGAGGACTTTATTTCTTTGTTCCAACTTCCAAGTGGCCTATAGTCTACGTTTGTTACGAATAAATTATGTTAAAACATATAAATGACTCATTCTTGAAAAAATGCATTAGAGCTGTGTGCATGAGCACACTTGAATAATGCCGGGCTGTAAACGGGTTCGGGCTTTATAAAGCTGTAAATCAAAATGTACCTGTCGGACTCGGGACCTATCGAGTATAATTTTTATGGCCCGATTACGGCTCTCTGCATTCCCACTGCAGTACCGCGGGAGCCGGCCAGATATCTTACGGTGTGGGAGTAAATTTCTGAATAAATCGCAGGAGAGATGTTTGTGTGTGTTTGTGTAAGAGAGAGAGAGATGTTGTGCGTCACTTGCCGCTCTCTCTCTCTCTCTCTCTCTCTTTTTGACCGCGAGCCTAAGGTTGCATAGAAGGTATTCAGTTTCTGAATGGTTTAGGCTCAAGCCAACAGTTTGTTGACGCTGTCTGAGCCTTACGTCATAATTTTTTTTTATTACGCCGGTAATACCGGCTACCGGGGTAAAATATGGAGGAGGTTTGATGGTATCAAAATTTGGATACCGCCAAGCCTAATTTACCATCATTATTTTTTAAAAAGCACCGGTCCATTTTATCTGTGTAAATTTTACTCGAATGCATTAACTCTAGAGGTGCCTGATAGTTAGATGCGGAGCTTACATTAATCAGATTGACTCTAGTGAACGCATAAAAATAGTCATCATAATTTACTTGAGTGCACGCCTCAAATTCTAATGCCCCCTTGGTGGGGTGCTCCCCACAGTTTGATAAGCACTGGTCTAAAATATAAAAAATTTAAATAGATTGATTTCACTTCACTCTTGTTGTTAATAGGACTTTTACATGGTTGTTATATTTTTCCATTGTAAAGGACTAACTGCGAGCTGTCAATTGCGTATTGTGAACCTGGACCAACCTGTGTAGACTGAATGATAGTCAGGTCATTAATGCGAGCAAACCCTGCTCCCATCGCGGCTCTTAATCCAGCGGTTCCAAACGTCATCCTGGAGCACAATCTCCTCCTGAGCTCCACCACACGACCCTCTTGCACCAAAGACTCGATTTGTTCCCGCGTCAGAGGATTCTAAAAATACAAAAAGCAGTGTTTTACATGTTTTCCAAGTAGCCAAAGGATCATACAGACATTAAAAGAATCCGTATGAAACAAGCTGTTGGTAAACAGTCGTTGCACGTGCGACTGTAGTCCAGTTGGTTTTGATGAAGAAAGTGTGACAGCTGGTAAACGGAATCTCCTGACCTCCCGTCCAACTCATTAAAAGGGACCACACTACAATCAAGAACTGTTTGGCTGTGAATTAAAGCTGATAACATTAAAAATAATATTACTTTTTTTTTTTTTTTACACAGATCAATTGTTATACTTCACAATATCTCAGCGTTCTTGGAATGGAGAAACAGCCTAAGTTTGACACCAATGTCTTCATTCATTCATTCATTATTTATTTATTTATTGCCATGTCAGCTACTAAGGCTATTTTCATGGCAAGAGCATTTCAGTAATTAACAAACATCAACAGTAAAAAATAAATAATTGAATATACAGGTTTAAATATGATTTTTCTGGTTAATATATGTTAAAAATTCTAATACTTTTTCTGGTGTCACTTTGTTAAAAAATGTCCTTAAGAGAGTTCTCATTATAAAAAGTCTTTCTGGAGTCATTAAAAACAGGGCAGTCCAGTAAAATGTGTTTTACGGTCCATGGGGTTTTACAGTGCAAACATTGGGTAGGGTCCTCATCTTTGAGTAAAAAGTTAATCTTGTATGTCCAATACGACATCTGGTAAAAATGACTTGATCAGCTCGTTTCTTAAAATGTCTTATACCTCTGTGTGTAATTTCGGGCTGGATTTCGTGTAATTTATTGTTTTCCAGAGTATCCCACTCCTCTTGCCACTTGTTTAAAATATAATTGTTAATAAAAGGTCTCATCTCTGATGGAGAAGTTTGACATTTGTTCACAGCTTGTTTTAGAGCAGCTTTAGCAGCTGCATCCGCTCGTTCATTCCCTGAAAGTCCAACATGTCTTGGTATCCAGCAAAAAATGATAAGGTAAAATTTGTTTTGTAGGTGGTAAACTTTAGTTAACATATTTTCAATCAAGGGATGATCACTCTTTGAAAATTCCATACGTTGAAGGCATGATTTAGAGTCTATAAAAATAATGGTTTTCTTTTGTTGTGGATTTTCTATAAACTCCAATGATAAAAGTAGTGCGCGGGCTTCAGCTGTGAATATGGGACATCAATGTCTTAAAATATCCAAAATTTGCAAGAGAATGATCCTGGCTCAACCTCCTTTTAAAAGTGCTTATACTTAATTTTTTTTTTAATTAAAAGGCTAATATATGAATCAGCAAGGGCCACATATTCAGCTCAAAACGTTCTTCTTTAACGTTCTACTGAAGAAAAAAAAAAGTTACCTACATCTTGGATGACCTGTGAGTTAGCAAATTCCCAAGAAATGTTCATTCTTGAGTGAACTATTGCTTTAAGGCTGATAAGATACATTGGTTTATATGATAAACACAGTTAATTTAAGCTTTTGTTCATATGTAAACAATGATCAATAGAGTGCACACTATTAGTGTACACAGAACACATTGCAGAAGCTTAAGCATGTTACGTATAAGGCATTCCAGCAGTGTGTGACTCATGCTCAAGGTTTCTTGTTTATATACAAAAGGGTATGTTGTAATGTTTCAAGCTCCACATCAGCTTTGGTCTGATCATGTACAATTGTCTGCTGTTTTGTACCTTATTAAATGTTTATGTCATAATAATCAAAATATAGTATTGCATTGTTCCATTTAACCCTCTTCCGCACGGTGTTGCCATGGTCTTAAAGAAACAGTGGCAACATGATATTTACGTTCATGTCCCTGCCACTGTTTCTTTAAGACCAACATTGATTTTTTGTTGTTGTTGTTGTTGGAAAGAAAAGGCCTTAGTTTTAGCCAATGATGTTCTTTGGTTAAGTCACATGACATGCAGTGTTTTTCTGTAGCGTAATTTCTGACAGACTGGCGTTTATAGTGCATAGGATCAGGAACTGATTGTGTTAGCGCAAAAAAAAAAAAGCAATCATCCAAAACATGCATCTCTCACATGCCACGTTTTAAAGGATAGCCTAAATTCGTGTCCGAGGGCTGCTTTGAATAGAATAATTAAAAAAGCACATTAAAGACTATAAACATAAAATAAAACATTCACACGGGCGCTGCTTTCAATTTTAAAAGAATCAAGCAGACTTTAAAAAAATCAAATTTGCAGAAGATAAATGACAGGAATTTTGCAAAAATAAATGATTAAACATATCGGGACAGTTAAGAGAACATTTTACTTTAATATATTTCTTTGACTCCAATACAACAGCTTAGATTATGAATGACGGAGTGTAAAGCCGTCTCTCTTGCATGTTCAGCAGCGCGTCGTGCTGTTTGTGAATAAGGAGGCATAGAGAATGCACTATTTTGTTCCACCTCAAGATATTTAAATAAAAACTAACACCGAACTGCTCATCACGCTCAAAAAAAGTCAAACTAAAATGCACAACTTGTTGGTTGCACCTACTGGATGCACAATGAAACTATAACAGGCCATTCTTTTAATTCGGTATTGGTGAAGTAAGTGAACCAACCGCAGATGCTTTGTCATGTTGGTCACGACACTTTGCTTTATAACTGATTAGTTTATTACAATAATTACTTATTAATATTTACACATAATTAATAATTATACAATTATTAGATTTGCCATCGTTCTTCACCACATGCATTCACCCTTTTAAGCACATCTTGAGGTCCATATCTAAACAAATATGTAGATTATTATTAAAAGTGCTCTCCAGCGGCGAAGTTCCTGACAGAGTAGGGAGTGAAAAAAATGTGTATGCAGAAATTAAAGAAGACGAATCTAAATTTTTATTATATAACAAGTATCAGATTCTTAGTTTCTAATCCCCGCCCAGTTTTTAATTACAAGTTGTGTTTTTTTTTTTTTGTGGCTGTGAAGTTTATTAAGAATATGAATATATATATATATATATATATATATATATATATATATATATATATATATATATATATATATATATATATATATATATATATATATATATATACACACACACACACACACATACATATATACACACACACAAAGAAATTATCGTCATTTGGACTGTACGATTAATCAAAAAAAGATCATGATCTCGATTCGACCCTACATGCGATCCAAATTCAGCTTTTTCTATGATTCAGCCAATTATATTTGCAAGGTCAGGAGAGAAGAAAAGGCGGCTGCAGAAGTCTTCACAGCAACATTGACATCTTCAAATGATGTTGAAAGTGTTTTTATAAAGTATAACTCACCCAAAATGTCATTTCTGTCTTTATGTAATAATGTATTCGCGGTCGTGAAATCACACGTGAGCTGACACACGGTTTATTTACTGCCGAGAACGCACGAGCACGCAAATGACGCTTACTATAGTGAACACAACCTGCATATGCTGTGAATAACAGGTAATGAAGTTGTAAATAACGTTCAGTTTGTTGCACAGAGCGATCGTTTGAGGGCCGTGCGGGAGGTTTGATTTGCATGTATATGTGTTTTTTCTCACAGTGACGGCAGCCATGAGACGCACTAGGAAGTGAAAGTGAAACCTGTGCGCACATCATTTAAATGATCATATGGCATTGTAGTGTTATGATTACGACACGCATTTGATATGTTTTTTTCTTTATAGCAAACAAAAGAGTTGTGCATGAAAAAACGTTAACTGTGTCAGTATAACAACCCTAGCCTATATATAATGGAACTATAATGCTCTAATAATGTTATCAATAACAGATGACAAGCACATGTCTCAAACATCATAATTAAATTTTATAATTATGAATAGTTATATTCTAATGTCTTATTTTTACTGTGAATTAACAAACAGGACATATTGAAAGTCTGTTTAAGTCCACCATAATACAAAAGTTTGCATTTTAAGCAACAGTAGAGCTACACATAGGCCTGTTATTGTTGTTGTTTACCATACGTTTAAGAATTAACAATAATAATAGGCAAATCATATCAACCTTTATTTTACATTTACAGAACCGTGAGAAAGAATCGTGATCTTGATTGTAAGCAAAAAAAAATCGTGATTCACATTTTTGCCAGAATCGTGCAGCCCTAATCGTCATTATTTATCGTGATTAACATTCTGAGCAAAATAATCCTGATTATACAAATCATTTATACTGGTATAGCGCCCAACTCTTTAATTATGAAGCAATTTGTGACTTTTGTTTTTACGAAGCATAAACCTAAGACATAAATAGACATCACAGTAATGTACCAAAGCTCTATTAGGAGGGATTTTAAGGACAAGTACAATTCTGGGACACCTCTGGCCACAGCTATTGATCAGATCAAAAAAATCTATATTATAAAAAAAGAAATAAAAGAGGACAGCTACACACACTCTCTCCAGCATTTGCTTTAGTATGCCAGCAGCAGTATTGAGTCTTTGACTCAGCTGTAATGCATCTAATCATAGATCTTTTTAAGCAGTCATGGTGGAAAATGAATAATTCCTTTTTTTTCCACTGAACGGAGCTTATCTCTGTGGCCTAGACAGAACAGGTTTCCGATTAATCCCAACTAGCTGAGCCACCCAAATATGTGAACACAAGAATGTCCCATAACATTTTAAAGTACACAATCAGTAAAAATACCACGCAGGCAACCCACACAAAGGGAAATGTCCCACTTTCAGTTTATTTTTGCTGAGCTAATGGCTTTTTATTACAACTGCAGGCTGACAGCTGGTTGCTCTGTAATGTACTTCTATACACACCAGTCATCCAGAGCTGGCGGAGTTTGACATTTGCAGGAGGAGGTCAGCCAGACATGCTGTGTGACTATATAAATGTGCCTGCACAAAGAAAAGAGCTGCAAAAAGTTCTTTTAACATAACAAAATCATGTCCAAATTCTGGACGTATGAGGGAAAAGCACTAGATTCGCTCTTTTAAAATGTACAAATTCTCCAAATGCAAAAAAGAAAGTATTACCACATTTTCAGGACATGTAACAACACGTTTTTGCACAGATGCTACATAAAAAGCCATTTCTAGAAGAATCATACTTTACCTAATTTATCCAAAGATTCCTTTTTGCTTCAGTAGAACATTAAAACTTTAGATTAAACAGTGAACTTTGGGGATTTATTCAAATGCAAGTACAAAAGAACTGCTACAATCGGACAAGTGTATTGATGTTGCAGCATACAAAAAAATAATAAATAATTTACCACATGCATCCTCCCTCTCCATTGGGTGTAAACACCCTCAGGGTGAAGGTAATGTTGAACATAATGTTCAGTTACTTGCTCGGACCATTTGTTTGGCATCATAAAATGTTAGTACATCACTATACAAGTTCTGAAAACGATTGTTGTGTTGCCTGTTTGTTTATCCAAATACAGTCATAAATTGGACTTCATGAATCACCAAGGACAATGATTTCAGCTAAAACTATTTGATTCAGTTTGTCAGGAACCAATCGGCAACCTGCTGCTTTCCCCCATGAAGCAAATACGGAAGTAACAGGAACTGCAATTCATCGAAATTCCACTAGTCCCGGCTCCATATGGAATAAACTTCTATTGAGCCCACTGTTAAAACGGCCAACTTTACAGCAGAAAAAAAGATCTTTACAGCCTGGTACAAAAAACAATTTTGATTCATACAGCTAATATTATCCTTCATGACAACTGTGAGCTCAAGGTTCAAGCCTCGGCTGGGTCAGTTGGCCTTTTTGTGTGGAGTTTGCATGTTGTTTTCTCCGGGTGCTCTGGTTTCCCCCACAGTCCAAAAACATGCGGTAGAGGTGAATTGGGTAGGCTAAATTGTCCGTAGTGTACGAGTTTGAATGAGTGTGTGTGTGGATCTTTCCTAAAGATGGGTTGCGGCTACAAGGGCATCCGCTCCGTAAAAAACGTGCTGGATAAGTTGTTGGTTCATTCCACTGTGGCGACTCCGGATTAATAAAGGGACTAAGCCGAAAAGAAAATGAATGAATGAACACTTGTAAGTTTGTAACCACAGCAAATATATTTCTGTCTAAAGCTTTATCTTTTAAAACATATTACATATTTATTAAAATGGTAGTTTTGTCCCTGCTCCTCCCTAATTGTGAAAAAAAGTTGATTCATTCAGCGATGGGCATGGGCCAGTATAAGATTCTGATGGTATCATTACCTTGGACAAAAAAATATCACGGTTTCCCGGTACTGTGATTACTGCTCTAAAATAAGTTCTTTTTAAATGTCTGGGTAAAAAACAAAAACTTTTTTCCGCTTTGAACACAGTATATTTTATTTTGAGAATCATTTAAAATATTTTGGTGCAGTAAATATGTCAGGCTAAATACTTCAATTGAATCACTGACTTCTGCTGTCTTCATTAGGGTGCTTTCACACTTGGTTCAATTGCCTGGACCATACCAAAGTTCGATTGTCCCCCCTTGCCACCTTTTAGGTGATGGTCACGAAAGCAATGGAATGACGTCCGCACATCGAGGTCCTTCTGCTTTTACAGAAGCTTTTGGCTTTGGACATACAGAAAGCGACTCTCGTTCATCTGCCGCAAAAATATTACAAACATTCAGAACGTCACACAGTGTCTGCTGAAGCTGTTTTTGGAGGAGACAAGCAGAAATGATTACTGTGTTTGACCTGGCTCAGTCCCGCTTGTCACAAAGGTATAATACATGACACACAGGCACACGCATGAATGAACGATATGAAAAATATAGTTTATCGCAAAGTTGGCAGTGCTCTTCCGTTATTTGGCTGTTGCTAGGTGTAAAGTCACGAAAGCAAAGCGCCAAAATGGAAATACGTCCGCACATCCTGGTCAATTTGCTTTAACTGAATCTTTTGGTTTTTGACAACCAGAAAGCGACTCGTGTCCATTTGCCGCAAAATATTATAAACATTCAGAACATCATAGTGTCTGCAGAAGCTGTTTGTGGAGGAGACAAGCAGACATCACTGTGTTTGCCGTGGTTCAGTCTCGCTTGTCACTAAGGTATGAAACGTGACACACACACATGCACGCAGAAGAAGAAAGAACGTTATGAAAACGATAGTTTGGCGGTTCACTTGTTATTTGGTACGATTGCATTCACATCAGAAGTGAACCGTATCAGAGTTGGCATGAACTGTACCCTTGACAATCTCTTTCAGGCGGACTCGGGTACGGTTCACTTGTGCGCACACGAGTTCAGAAGACACGTTTACACTAGCTAAACGTACCGTACTATGACATCAAACAAACCCAGGAGCAGACCAAAAGTGCTAGTGTGAAAGCACCCTTAAGCCTGGTTTATACTTCTGCGTCAAGTAACCGGCATAACCAACGGCGCATGCAACGCACGTAGCTGTGCATTTATACTTCTGCGCCTTGTCTCTGTTGGTCTGCAATACCACTTCCAAAACGCTAGTTGGCAGTGAGGTGTAAATGTGTCTCTGTGTCGAGTTTCTTCGCTGCTGTTTTGTTCTTTCTGAACGCTCCCTGAATGTACAAGTAGCTCAAACTCGCTCATTTTGAAACAGGAACCGGCAGACGTGCAACAACTTTAACTATGAGGTAAACAAAGGACTCCGCAATTGTAAACAATCGCTCAATTGGGCTCGCGCGGCTCTCGGTCCCGCACAGACTCGTCAGCGCTACCAAGCCCACCAATCACAGAGCTTGCGCTACGCGTCGTTGCGACGTGTAGTTATATTTTTTGAGAGGTGCACGTCAGCGACGCCAACGGCCACATCGTAGGGCTATGCGTCAACACCTTAGCATACGCGTGCGTTTGACGCAGAAGTATAAATCAGCCTTAAGTTTCAAAAACACTGGTTTACCATTTAAACTGCATGTCCTAAAAAACTTTAAAAAACAAACAAACAAAAAACACGTTTAAAAAAGCATACACATACCTTAGGAACAGTATTACCAACAATTTTGGTGGTTTCAAAACCTTGACCTTTCCAAACCACGGTATACCTTGAAAACGGTGATCGTCCCATGCCTATTCAGCGACAACTTGTGACAGTCCCCATGTAATTTATCGAGGCACTTTGATTATTCGGTCTAAAATCACCTGTAAGTATGACTTCAATACAAGTTTGACTGTAAACAATGTTGTTCTTTTGACAGCTATTGGCTGCTAACACGATTACACTATTCAGAACTTGCAAAGAATACTTTTCTGAGAATATATTATTAAGGAGAAAGTCCGAATGTGTGAATAGAACACCAGCTTTAACTTAATTCTTCCCTACTACAGTGGATCATGTACAGTAATACCAATTAAGGTACATATCAAATTACTATGGTATAATGCCATGACTGTACAACTGCAGCTCAACATCTGAATGACTGAAGTCGCTGCAATGCAGTGGGACACTGGATGTTCTTAAAATGTTACTCTTTACAACACATGGCTCATTTAAGACATAATAAAGACAAAATACAACATTTGAAACATCTAAAAGACTTTGGAAATGGAGTTACTGAAAATAGCAATAACTGGCAACATGTCCACACACCAGTCATAATGTCAGTAATGTGAGAAATGGATGTTTAAAACTAGCTGAATTCTCACCTTATCCCAGGTCATCCACTGACTGACCGCTTTGTCCAGCACCGGGTCGCCAGTAGCACTAAGACACTGTGAGTTCGCGTTGAGGTCTCCGTTGGACCCCATTTCAGCGGCAGATCCAGACTTCTAAGGGGGGAACTTCAAATCCAGCTGCTTCAAACCGGTGCGACTGACTGTTATTGCGCACAGCGTGCTCGGAAATTAAAGATTAACGGCGTGACGTCATCACATTCAAATAGGTCACATTTGACGAAGGCTGCAAACTATCAAGTCAACTCACTGCTGTACACGCGTTTTAAAATAAGACAACTACATACACGTACTGTACGTCGCGCCAGCTTATCAATGTCCACAGACCGGATCCCTTAAAAGTTGTTGTTTTTCTTCTACTGGCTAGAAAATGACAGAACCCTACGTGCACTGCAGCTGGAGTAGTTCACTTTTAAGCTAGCAGCACTTCCTCAGTGAGGGAGCAGCTGGTGGAAGAGTTAGCATTGGCGTATTAGCCGAGTGCGTTTGCTGATGATCGGATGCAGTCCGTTATGAACACACGTCACGTCACTAAACACATGTGTAGGTATATTTCTGTATCTGTAAAAGTGTCGATATGGAATTCTGTCATAAATGAACTGCTGTGTCAATCAAACTATTTACCGAAGCAGCAGGAACAACTGAGGTGTGTGGGTTGGGCTTAGATGGGGGATGCTGGGAAATTGAGTTCTGTTATGGAGTAGACCCCGAAATGTTTTTTATTTTATTGATAATTATTAACGTTTTAGAATTATAGCACTACACTATTTTTATGGAACATGCATAATATGCAGTACTTGGTATTTATGTCTTTATAATCTTATATAATCAATTAATCAGTCAGCTTACTCAGTAGACCTCTAATCTTTTACAGTATGATCTAATTTCATTTGTAGGTTTTGAAATGGCAAGTTTAGTGATAAAAACTGAAATCTCTATGTACAAATTATGTATTTATTGTAATGTCTTTACTGAAATAACTGCGGGATAGTTATCCAAAAAAGTGAAATCATGTCATTATACTCACTATTTACTTGTTTCAATCCTTTTAATTCCTTCTTAATTCTGATAAACAAAAAAGAAGATATTTGGATAATAGTAGTAATTTTTAATATAATATCTGTATAATCCATTATACTTCAACAACACCATATTTATCTCTTCTCTCTGATGAGGTCTGTTTGTTTCCTTAAACTCAGTGGTTGTTTTTATTCATTCATTCATTGTCTTTTTGGCTTAGTCCCTTTATTAATCTAGGATCGCCACAGCGAAATGAACCGCCAACTTATCCAGCATATGTTTTACGCAGCGGATGCCCTTCCAATTGCAACCCATCATCACTGGGAAACATTCATACACACCCAATAACACACACAATGTGGACAATTTAGCTTACCCAAATCACCTGTACCACATGTCTTTGGACTTGTGGGGGAAAGGGGAGCACCCGGAGAAAACCCACAAGAACACGGGGAGAACATGCAAACTCCTCACACAAGTGCCAACTGACCCAGCCGAGGCTCGAACCAGCAACCTTCTTGCTGTGAGGCGAGGGTGCTACCCACTGCAACACCATGCCCGGTTGTTGTTATTTATCTATTAATAAATAATTTATTTTCCCGGTCCTTTAATATTGTAATATATAATAAATTTGAACATCTATCTATCTATCTATCTATCTATCTATCTATCTATCTATCTATCTATCTATCTATCTATCTATCTATCTATCTATATATATATATATATATATATATATATATATATATATATATATATATATATATATATATATATATATATATATATATGCGTGTCTGTGTGATGTATGTAAAATTTGGCCCGGGACAACAGTTTTTTTTTTTTTTTACATCTGGCCCTCGGCCCAAAAAGTTTAGACACCCCTGATGTAGAAAAATAAGAACAAAAGAACAGCCACTTTAATAATTAAGCATTCAAACAGCTGAAGCTTCTGAACACCATACCTCACTTCATCTTGAGAATCGTAGTCTGTAAACTTGTCCTGACCATCCATAATACTGTATGTCTGAAAATCAACTTCCAAACTGAGCACATTCAAGCAGCACTGTATTTAAAATTTTAATCTAATTTTACTCTTTCTACTTTGATGATACGCATAATCATGTAAATAATAATTATAATAAAACACAATTTTGCCCTTACCTTATGCTTTGCTTGTGCTCTGTAGTAAAGTGCAAAATCTCATTGGCTTATATAGGCCAGATTTCATTTTTTTTTTTTCGACATTTATTAACAGAACGTACACCAATAAAACTGAATTGTGCTGTTCATAAACTGAATAAAAGTTAACAGATTAAGAGATGAATGAATTACTCATTGTATGTCTGGAAACTCCCGTAGTTCATATCAATTCTAAGGTTTATAACAAGTCTATTTTTTTTCTTTTGCCAACAAGTTGATCAAAGCAAACATCAGTAAACCTTTGAAGTTCATTTTCACTTTTGTTTTGCTTCTCTATACTTTTCTTTTGGACTGACCTTCACCAGCTGCAGCTATTCTTCCATTTATCCATAATTGCTAACCTGTTTTAATAGATATTTCAATTATACTGTATACTATAAATAAATATATTTTGGTTAAAGTTTTAGTTGCTTAACTATTTTAATGTCTGTACACTGTTCTTTTAGTTTTAGTTTGGTTAATACATCATGTTAGGCATTTAAACAGTTTTACATTCACTGGCCACTTTATAAGATCAGCAACTCAATACATTTAGGCATGTAGACATGGTCAAGACGATCTGCTGCAGTTCCAACTGAGCATCAGAATGGGGGAGAAAGGTGATTTAAGTGACTTTGAATGTGGCATGGTTGTTTGTGCCAGACAGGCTATGTCAGAAACTGCTGATCAACTGGAATTTTCATGCACAACCGTCTCTAGGGTTTACAGAGAATTGACCGAAAAAGAGAAAATTTTCAGTAAGCGGTTGGTCTGTGGGCACAAATGCCTTGTTGATTCCAGAGGTCAGAGGAGAATGGCCAGACTGTTTGGAGCCAATCAAACCTTGAGGCAGATAGACTACAGCAGCAGCAGACACTACTGTCAGCTAAGAACAGGAGACTGATGCTACAATTTGCACAGGCTAACCAAAATTGGACAATAGAAGATTGGAAAAACGCTGCCTGGTCTGATGAGTCTCGATTTATGCTGCAACATTGAGATGGTCGGGTCAGAATTTGGCGTCAACAACATGAAAGCATGGATCCATTCTGCCTTGTATCAATGGTTCTGGCTGGTGGCGGTGGTGTAATGTTGTGGGGGAGATTTTCTTGGCACACTTTGGGCCCATTAATACCAATTGAGCATTGTGTCAATGCTACAGCTGACCTGGGTATTGTTGCTGACCAGGTCTGTTCCCTAGACCACAGTGTGCCCATCTTTTGATGGCTACTTCCCGCAGGATAACGCGCCATGTCATTAAGCGCAAATCATCCCAGACTGGTTTCTTGTTCATGACAACGAGTTCACTGTACTCAAATGGCCTCCACAGTCACCAGAGCTCAATTCAATAGAGCAACTTTGGGATGTGGTGGAACGGGAGATTTGCATCATGGATGTGCAGCCGACAAATCTGCAGTAACTGCATGCTATCATGCCAATATGGAGCAAAATCTCTAAGGAATATTTCCAGTATCTTGTTGAACACATGCCACAAAGAATTATGGCAGTTCTGTAGGCAAAAGGGGTCCAACCTGGTACTAAGGTGTACCTAATAAAGTGGCCAGTGAGTGTATATAAATAATCTTTAAATTTTGTTTATTTTCAAATAACTTATTCTATTACAAACATTTATATTTATATATTTATGACCAAACATTTTATATTTCATGGCTTTAGTTTTAGTTGTTTGTTTTATAACTGTAATAACCTTTGCTGTCGTGTCCCAATCTTCTAAATGCTAAAACACGATTGAATAGATAGACTATAGCAATTGTTTGAATCCTCTAAAATGCATAAATTGATGAAAAATCCAATGCTTGTTGTTGTGGAAGAAAGTTTTTCAGATGTATACAAGTTCTCAGCTTTGTCCGAGAATATCATGTGATCACTACTGTTCAGTGCTATAAACTGAAGTCATGTGTTATTATAATTTTGCTAAACGCAATAAAATACACTGAAATACACTTCAGCAGTCATTGTCACATTTGGTTTTACTTTCTTTTTTTGTTTTTTACTGCACTGCATTTCATTATATGACAGAGTAATCCAGCAATATTAAAATGACCTGTGATTGTGGAATTAACAATGTAAAGGTTGACATATGAAGTATAATGGTAAACTTTATTACACTCAGAAGTATTCACAACAAGAAGACAAATGGGCCATACTATAGGGCAACAGGGAAAAAGCTTTTGTATGAAATCTTCTATGGCACAGCTTGCATGTCCAAACTCGATCCTGAAGGGCCGGTGTCCTGCAAAGTTTAGTTCCAACCCCAATCAGACACACCTGGGTTAGCTAATCAAGCTCTTACTAGGCTCTCTAGAAACATCCGTGCAGGTGTTGAGGCAAGTTGGAGCTAAGATCTGCAGGACACCGGCCCTCCAGGACTGAGTTTGGACACCCTTGCACTACAGTAACAATTTGTAACCTGCTTAACAGTACATTTCTTTAATATATACAGTAACCTTTAATTCACTTTGCTAGAATTATGGTAATTTACCATAAACTTTCGAGGGTTTATTAGGAGAATGGTCAGGCAGGCAACGGTCAACAGGATCAAACAGATGTGTACAGGCAATCTAGAGTCATTCATTCATTTTCTTGTCGGCTTAGTCCCTTTATTAATCTGGGGTCGCCACAGCGGAATGAACCGCCAACTTATCCGGCAAGTTTTTTTACGCAGCGGATGCCCTTCCAGTTGCAACCCATCTCTGGGAAACATCCACACATAAACACACACACACACACACTACGGATAATTTAACCTACCCAATTCACCTGTACCGCATGTCTTTGGACTGTGGGGGAAACCGGAGTACCCGGAGGAAACCCACGCGAACGCAGGGAGAACATGCAAACTCCACACGGAAACACCAACTCAGCAGAGGATCGAACCAGCGACCTTCTTGCTGTCAGGCGAACGTGCTACCCACTGCACCACTGCGTCACCTGCAATCCAGAGTCAATGTCATTAAATAGGCAAACAGTCAAAAGGCAGGCAGCAGACAGAAATAAACAATACAACAAAGCAAGGGTCTAACAAGGCAAGGCAAAGCAAGGCAAACACGTTGTAAAGTTCACAATACAGAAAAACAAGATTGCCCAATATGTGTGTGTACACTGTATTTATCGTCCATGTAATCAGTCCATAATGATCCTCTGGCTGGGTGTGTGTGCATGTGTAATCAAAGTGAAACAGGAACCGGTGAGTATGAAGTGCATGACGGAATTAGTAGTTCATATAATTGCGGATTTGTAGTTCTTTAGCGAATGGCGTGCTTACCAGCAATCTGCAAGGATTAGGTCGCTGGGGATTGTGACAGTCATTATATGGGGCATAAGAGTAAGACGTGTGTTTGGATGGACCACACTTCATTATTATTGGTCATTTATTTGTTTGCTGGACATTAGAACTGAATTTGGAAATAGTTTTGAAACAAATCTTTGCGCTTAACAAATGAAAGGAAATGTGTAGGCTAATGGATCTCTTCAGTGGTGTGCGTACAACACCATTTCCTTATTCACGCAAGTAAAGGAGTAAAAGTAAAGAGAAAGTAAAGAGGCTGAATGGAAGAGGATCGTTCTTTATCCTTGCACTGCAGATGGTTTGTTTAACTGTTTTCTTGCTCGTGACACATTCAGTTTTTCCTCTGACAAGGTCCAGCATGTAAAAAGCAAATGCACCATGGCGTGTCGCAACTGACTCTAAAAGGGAATTGGAGATTGGTTTAATGCACGTTATACTCAAAACACACCCATAACCCATTAAGAGAATAAGCACAACCTTGTTGAGCTGAAATCTTTACAGACGCATTCTGGGGACACCAAAGTCTTCTCTCACATCTTGTAAAAAAGGTAAAATAGGTGCCCTTTAAGGTTTTTATTATTAAGGGATAACAAAATACAAAACTACATAGCCCTGTGTAAAAAAAGTGATAAAAAATGTACTTAATTTTGGTTCAACCCAAGCTCATTCTGGAAACATAGCCCCGCGGACGTTTCTGGAGACCGTGATTTACGTGGCCGGAGGTACGTAGGGCCGCATTAAATTTTTTTCGAGCAAACGCTGTGGGGCGGTGTGGCGCCGCTCTGCTCCTCCTCTTCGCTTTTCCGGCTGACGGCTCGCCTCCGAGTGGAGGGCTTTCCCGATGCAACCAGTTTGTCCGCTTAGCTCACAGCGTTGCTCTCGGTGGAGTGGAGGCCCCAGAGGAGGAGGAGCCGGCCGCGGGAACGACGACCGGGATCGAGTCCGGGGAACAGCAGTTCCAGAAATCAGGTAAGATGAAAAACAGAATCCGAAAAATAAGATCGAGAACGCGGCGGGATCCGAAATTGCGGTCAAAATCGAAGACGAGGGCTTTTGCTTTTTTTTTTTCTGGACGGCTTTTGCAAACCGTCGCTTGGGTTTAGGGAAGGAGGAAGAGGAGGGGGAAGAGGACGGTGACCGGGTCGGCCGATCGGGCGGCTTTTCGCGCGAGAACAGCACGGGCGCGAACGGCCCGCGTTCCTGAGAGGCACCCCAGACGCGAAAAAGCGCGCACATCGGCCTCTCGCGGATCCTTGAAAACAAAAAAAAACGCTCAAATACGTACCTCTCGGGACGTATCTCGCGGTCCCCAGAAACGTCCGCGGGGCTAAGTTTCCTCAATGAGCCCGGGTTGTTTTGGTTTATGATACCATAGTAAAATGTTTCTAGCCCCCCACCCAGGTCTGATTACCGTTTACACAATTACACTTAAATCACAAAGTGAAGTAGACCAAAAGATCCTCAAAAACAAGACATAATGTCAAGCCTTTTAAATAATTCATTTGATTGCTTTTGCTTTTTAATCATTTTAGCACAGAGCTGCAACACACAGTCAGAAGATAATGGAAGAGACGTTCTCTTTTTTGAATAAGTGTATTTCATTAAAAAGGATCAATTTAAATATTTAATGCAGTCTGTTAGCAATAATATTATTGCATTTTCAATGAGGGACATTAAAGTAAGTCGCTTTGGATAAAAGCATCTGCTAAATGACTAAATGTAAATGTAAGAACTAAATCTCAACAGATATTAAAACTAAAATTCTGCATTTATAACTAGGCTATGTAACTAGTAATTATTTATTTCTGGATGCTATCCATATTGTAACGTGACTATATTCATGAAATCATAATAAATGGGTTAACATCATTTATCCTAAAAACACACACTAATGAAACACTTTCTTAAAGTCATATAAGCTTTATTATATCCCAAGTAACAAACTGAATTTTTTTTCTCACAGCAAAATCTGTCGTTACAACCTCCAGTGGATAAACATCAAGGTGAGTAACAGAGAGAACTCTTATTTTATGCTATTAAAACAAGGCTAGCTTCAGAATCAAAACATTTTTTAACTGGGTTATTAGCAGTCTTCCTCATTTGCAAAAGAGATGCTTAATAGTGTCTTCAATAAATTTCGTTCTTATGTTGAACACAAAATATATTGTGTAGAATGTTGTAAAGCAGAAATCATCTGCACACTGTGGTTTTCTTGTTATATAATATGTATGTCAATGACCCCAATTGTCCCCATGATTCTTCAGAATATCTTGTTTTGTGTTTTATTGAAAAATAAATCAATAAAAGTTTAGAACCACTAATGTTTTGCCTCCTATAAGGCTGGACTAAACAAAAGTTATGACTGCATATACAGTTGAAGTTAGAATTATAAACTCCCCTGTTTATTTTTTCCCCCATTTTCTGTTTAACGGAGAGTATTTTTTTCAGCACATTTCTAAACATAATAGTTTTAATAACTCATCTCTAATAACTGATTTATTTTATCTTTGCCATGATGACAGTACATAATATTTGACTATATATTTTTCAAGACATTTCTATGCAGCTTAAAGGGGTTTAACTAGGTTAATTAGGTTAACTAGGCAGGTTAAGGTAATTAGGCAAGTCATTGTATAACTGGTTTGTTCTGTAAACAATTGAAAAATATAGCTTAAAGGGGCTAATAATTTTGACCTTAAAATGGAGTTTAAAAATTAAAAACAGTAAAAACAAAATTCTAAGAGAGTCTAATAATTTTGACTTCAACTATGTAAAATGCTTTTTTGTTTGTTTGTTTGTTTGTTTGTTTGTTTGATCAAGAAAGTTGAGCATTGGCCATATATTTAGTTAAAAGATAAGTTATAAATATTGTTGAGTATTTGACATCTCTAAAGATCTGTTAAATAAATAATTTTAAAAAACATTTTAAAAATCAGTGTTAAATCAAGCCTGAGGACTAATATAAATATAAATTACTAATTTAGCTGCTGCTTAACTTTTTATAAATACAATTATTTTCTCTCATCTTATTGTGCTACAAGTTAGTCTTATATAAACATAAATATACTAATATCAATATATATATTAGGTATAAACAAGCTGTGAACATGTATTTAAAAAGCCATGGGAGATAGTAATAGTATTCAAGATGATAAATTATTGACACTTGATAACGTTTACATTTTTGATCATTTGTGTTTGTTGTAGAAATTACTTTGCGATCTTTAAAGGACAATTTATACTAAATAGAATAGACAATTTAGATATCAGTTGATGGGTAACTGTTTAACTAAATTTACAAAAACTATTTTTCAACAATCAATTTATTCAGAATAAACAGCAAAAGTAAGCCCAAGGCACTCGAAATTTGTGGAAAATATATATATTCAAAAGCTTTTATTACAGTTTTAAGGAATAGCCATGTCAATAAAGGCTTTTAAATATATTTTTCCACATTTTTCGAGCGCCTTGGAGTTACTTTTGCTGTTTATTCTGATGAATCCCTTACCCAAAGAGCACCGACTCGTTCATTAAGCTACCCCTGAGCACTTTTTTGATTGATTTTGAATCAATGTAGTGATTCAATTATAGCTGCAGAAGGATGCCTTGAATTAGGCATGGGACGATAATCATTTTCAAGGTATACCACGATTTGGAAAACGTCAAGGTTTTAAAACCACCAATATGATCTGTAATACCATTCATGTGTATGATTTTTTTAATTTAATTTACTTTTTTTTTTTTTTTTTTTAAGGACAACCATCAGAAAAATATCCAAAGATGCCGTTTTAAATGGTAAAGAAATCTGTGTTTTTGAAATTAATGAAGACATTAGAAGTCAATGACTCTTTTGAATTATTTAGCCTGACATGTTTACTGCTCCAAAATATAATAAATCTTTCAAAAAATAAAATATATTGTTTTCAAAGGTCAAAAAATGTTTTTTTTTACCCAGACATTTTAAAATAATATATTTTAGAGTAGTAATCACAATACTGCTAAACCTTGATATTTTCATCCAAGATTATCTTACCATCAGAATCTTATACCGGCCCAGGCCTAACCTGAAAATATCAGCTATATAAAAAATTACCTTTAAAGTTTAGCTTAAGGAAAATCAAATATGTAATCAATTATTTGCTTTTAATTTTATTAACTAGGATCTGATATTTGATTACTTTTTGTCATGGAATGTGGTTAATTTTGTAACAATCAAAATCCTGCCCAGGGTCTACAGATGCTAATTAGCTTTCTAGCTAAATCTGGCAAAGCATGTCATGTTGTAAATCATTGCTGTACAAATATATGAAATAAACTTAACTAAACTAATCTAGATTATTGTGCAAAGAGGCAGTTTAAATACCAAAATCATACGCCAAAGGTTCTGCTACGAGACCAGGACTCTAAGACTCTTGCTAACCCTACCCATATCGCTAGTTACAAGTTATTGTAAGTATGTTAACTAACACAAAATATTATTAATTTATCACTGTTGCTAAATCGTTACTATATTAAAAAGCTGCCTGATACGCTGCAGCTAGTCATGTCAACATACTGTAGTAATTTCTATAGTGTTATTGAACCATAGGCTACCATAGTAAAGAGTATTATAGTTACAACAATTTGTTATACAGCAAACTGCATTAACTATAGAAAACTGTGGATTATCATAGTATAATATTCCTGATAATTGTAGAAAATTAGAGTATTGGGTAATTTATATTACTATAGTTGTTGTCTAGCCATAGCAACTGTAGAATTACCAGATTTAATTAAGTACTTTACTATAGTATGGTTCAAAACACTGTAGTCTAGAGTGACCTGATGCTAAATGCATTGATTTGCCTGATATTTAATAAAGCTGTCTCATAGTCTGGTGCTGATCAGTTCTTGAGCTTGTGTGAGACGTTCCAGACGATGCTTCAGGTCAGCTCTTATGCGTTCCCGCTCCGAGTCTTCACTCAGCAGTTTGGGCACATCTGCTCCGTTCCTCAGTTCTAGCATCTGATGGCGAAGTGTCTTAGCTGCATCTTTTAGCATGAAGAGGGTTATCAGCATTGGCACATAGTCCGTGAGGCGCTGGTAGACGATCTATGGAGAGAGAACATGAATAATGCACATGGTGATTTCTAAATGTGTGGGTGCTTTTAAATTTGTAAGTGTTTTCTGTAGCTTTCGTGTAAGGCAGGGATGTCCAGACTCAGTCCTGGAGGGCCGGTGTTCTGCAAAGTTTAGTTCCATGCCCCATCAGACACATCTGGGCTAGCTAATCAAGCTCTTACTAGGCCTTCTAGAAACATCCTTACAGGTGTGTTGAAGCAAGTTGGAGGTAAAATCTGCAGGACACCGGCCCTCCAGGACAGAGTTTGGACACCCCTGATGTAAGGGATGTCGGCAGTTGTTATTGCAGATTATTACACAGCTGTCTGGAATACTTGATTCTGATTGGTCAGTCGTGTCATTCCAAGATATGTTATTCCCTGATAATAACCCCTGAAGCTAATAACACAGGCTCACCTGGCTACTCCAAAAAAGCAGCTTAATTGTCAGCGAACATGTTTTCTTCCATATGCTTGCAAGTCACGCAGCTGTTTTTGACTGTTTGGCCACCATCTTGTGTCTAAATAAAATGTAGATTAGTGTATGCTTCATTCAGCTGTTTATGTTTACTCAGCTTTGCCTTTGAATAAGGAATAAATAAATGTTGTCTAATTTGTTTTATTGTTACGTTTTGTGGCAAGTAGCTGTCTAATAAGTGGAATAAAGTACATCCAGGCAGTTGTTTTTCGCAGAATAAAGTCCTTATACAACAGCTGATAAGCCTGTCGAGTGAAAACAATGGCCTGGATGTATCTTTTTCCGCATACTAGACGATTACTTGCACACAAAACAAAAAGTTGACACAAAGTGCGGTTTATTTATAAACTAATTTCGAATGGATCATTTGCTTATGATTAATCCTGGCTGGTCCCGCATCAGCTACAAATATGACGCCAATTAGATGGATACTAACTCACTGTAAGTAATAATAATAATAATATAATAATAATAATAAAAATTTATTTGTAATGCGCTTTTCTTAGACTCTAAAGCACTAAGCAACCAGAGTTTTACACTTTAGTCATCTTCGTCTTGAAGACGAAGACCTTCCACCCCTATTTCTCTTTCTCTTAATAGGGCAGCACAGCGGCCCAGTTGTTAGCACTGTTGCCTAACAGCAAGAACACCACTGGTTCGAGCCATTACAAGGACAGTCAGCGTTTCTGTGCAGACTCTGCATGTTCTCCCCGTGTTTGCATCGGTTTTCCCTCGGTTCTCTGGTTTCCTCCCACTGTCCTTAGACATACAAAATACATAAATTCACTAATCCAAAGCTGCATCATAAACAAACTCTTAGTCAGCTATACCTCATGGCTATTCCTTACACATTCACAAGCAGGGGAGTTCTCCATGCCTACCAGAGCTCAAACTCCCCTATCGCCCTTCAAATAGGAGGGAGCCCTGGGCTCGAGCATATTCTGAGCTCAGTGCTCTCTCTCTAGGTACAGCATGTTAAACACGCTTTATAATCAATCATCAAGTGTGAACTGTTGAAACATTGTTCTGGGACATAATAGTTTATGAAGTCTTAATTAAAGTCAAAGCTGACAGAAACAAAAACCACTGATGGAGCATACACTAACCTATATATTATTCAGTCACAAGATGGCGGCCAAACAGTCGTCAAAAACATATTCATCTGTGTGAATGTGAACATATTCGCTGACAGAAGATTTGAAGTAACCGGAAGAACCTGTGTTATTAGTTTCAGTGGTTGTTCTCTGGGAATATTATGCCTTGAAATGTCACGACTTACCAATCAGAATCAAGTATTCCCGACAGCCATCCAATAAGCTATGTTACCCACCTCATAATAGAGAACCATTTTCTCTGTTACTAGATCTCTTGTATCCAACATTGCACAGCCTTTAGAGTTAAAAACCATGTCTTCATCATACTGATTCCTGTCGCTAGTGTTTAACCCCATCTTCGGAGGGATGTCAGAGTCATCCAGTTTCTTTTGCAGCACTTTGTCCTGAGTGAAAACCAGCTGCTCCATATTAATGAACTCTTTGATTCTCTTCTCCGCTTTGGCTTCTTGCTTTGACTGAATGTCATTAATCATGTTCTGAGAAGAAGAACATGATACATTTAAGTCAATAATAACAATATTAATAATGATATGAAGAATTATTGTGATTTTACTTACAGAGATAATGTATCTCATTGGAGGGTACTGGTCAAATGACAAATAACAAGCCTCCCTGAACTTATTTTGAACAATCTCTGAAAAAAAAAAGGTCTAAATTTAACAAGTGATTTAACTTGAAGCACTTCACACAGAATGTGTTTTTACTTTACAATATGCCACTCTTCTGTTGTTTTTTCATTTGATGGACGTATGTAACCATTATGCTGCGTTCACACCAATCGCGCACGCGCGTCAAGCGCGAGTGATTTACATGTTAAGTCAATGCAAACGCGCGAATAGACATCCTGCGGCGCGAATGAAGCAAATTGCGCAAATGGCGCGGGGCGAATTGAGCGTTTTGCGCATTTGACGCGGTAACGAGCGTTTCGCGCGAATCTCTCGATTTCGAAAATCTAAACTTCAGCGTACATTCGCGCCGCGTTAACCAATCAGAAGCTTGGTCTTGAGGGGGCGTGATTGTGACGTAGAACCTGTTGTCTGTGTTCCGAGGGAAATCCTCCAGCCTTCACCGACAACAGTTCATCAAAATCAGCTTGGCTCAGTCAGAAGCACCGCTGAAAGCCTCTGTCATCCAGGTTCAGTTTCTGGAGGAGTTTATGAGCTCACAGAGCTGGATTCACCTCTGAAAGCATGTAGTGGACGTATCGACGCTGTTTTTCAGTCTTCATAAAGCACATAAACACTGTTATTTTCTTCATGAAATCCATGTTAGCCATTTATGAAGCTAGAATCTTCGGGTAGACAGAAGCCCCGCCCATCACGCGAATCCGCGTCTGTTCTGATGTGAATTTGACACGCGAATGAAGCGGGGTTTGACGCGCGTATGAAGCGAGTAGACTCAAATGTTTACGCGGCTATTTACGCCCGAATAGCGCGATTTATCCGCACGTTCCGCGTCTGGTGTGAACACAGCATTATGCTGACATGCTGCGTCTTTTGAAGTTCCCAGCACTGTGTTTGAAGGGTGCTTTCACACCTAGATGTTAGTTTTGGAACCTGTCGTGTTTGCCCCCTTAGCTTGATTTATTTGGACATAAATAAAACTCACAATTGCACTTGGATCCACGCCAAAACAATTGGTCCGAGACCGCCTGAATGAGGTGATCTCGGCTCGATCGAAACAAATTCTAGAGTGGTTAAATTGTAGTAAGAAAGCAATACGATTCAACGAACAAACAAATCAGACTATATCACAGTGTATTATGGATATGTTATTAGCATATATATGGCTATAAAAAGAGTGAATGATGAGTAGAGGTATCATTCCTAATAGTAAAAGTGTGTTTATGTCGAATAAAAAAGTGAAAGTGTGCTGTCTAATTGAAATAATAACAAAATTCAAAATGTCATTAGCGCCAATTGCCTAGTGGTAAGGGTTAGTGCATCAACACATAACACCGAGGTGCTCACAGTGACCCGAGTTCGATTCCCTGCTTGAGGTCCTTTGGCAATCCTTTCCCTATCTCTGCTCCCCACACTCTCCTGTCTGTAAAATCTCCACTGTCCTATCTAAATAAAGATGACAATTATTATTCATTCCTAAAAAGGTAATTTTATAATGTCATTAATGTTTTGGTTAACTCGACCTCTTATGTAGAATGTATATATATTTTACAACCCTTGACAATTAAAATAAGGCTATGTATGAGCAATTCTTTTAATTTATATTTGATGATAACTGTCTGTGGGTGTTACCATTTAAAATGAAAGTACACCTTTTTGCTTATAATTTCTAATTTCTTACATATGATAGCTGAGCAGAATCATGGAAAATAAACCAATCTCTGACCAATGTGAGAAGAGTTTACACTCACGTCAATTGTTTTTAACTATTCCATTTAGAAACTTTGCTGTATAAAAGTGAACCACATGAAGAACAAAAAGCAAGATTTTAACTATTTTAATCCCTGCTTCAGAACAAAACAATCGATCTACAGGTGAGAAGGCACCCTTAGATGTCCTATTAAGTTAAAAGAACTTCCAAAGCAGTGAACTAATCAGAAGAATTCAGAAGTGGGACAAACGTTGCAAGTTTCTGCCGAAAAATCCAGCTTAAACCAGCATAGGCTGGTTAGTTGGTTTTAGCTGGTTGGCCAGCCTGGTTTTTAGAGGGGTTTAGGCCATTTTCAGGCTGGTTTCCAGCCATTTCTAGCCTGGTCTTAGCTGGTCAGGCTGGAAAGTGACCAGCTTAATCCAGCTAAAACCAGCTTGACCAGCCTGGTTTAAGCTGGACATAGCTGGTTTTGGCTGGGCTCCCAGCCTGGCCAGTCTGGTCAAGCTGGTTTTAGCTGGTCATCTCCCAGCCTGACCAGCTAAGACCAGACTGGAAATAGCCTGTAAATGGCCAAAACCCCTATAAAACCAGCCTGGTTAACCAGTCAACCAGCCTAGGCTGGTTTAAGCTGTTTTTTTTTCAGTAGGGTGGCACTCAGTGGCTGTGTCCAGATGCCATTGTGCGTTTTGCTATGCTTTATTTTTTATTTTTATTTTCAGAAGTCCACACTATTGCTTGTTACTAATTGCAGGTTTTGCATGCTGTCCTGGGAGAGAACCCTGACCTTGGAGATAATTGTGCCCAGTGCTCCTGCCTGGTCATTTAGTATGAAAGGGGGTCAGGTAGGTCTCGAGAGCTCCTCCGGTAACGGAGGAAAGGGGGAGATGGAATGGATGGGGAAACTCTTCACAAAGATTAGGGAAGTAAGTTGAAATGGGTGATTTATTGTAGGCTTGGAATCATCTGATTGGTTCATTTATAATTGTAAATGAGAGACCAGCTGTGATCAATAGTATGCGCATAGCATAGTATGCGCTCCTCTCGGAATTAGTTTATAAAACTGTGTTGCGTCTCGTGCTTTTAGAAGCAGATATGCATTCAGAGTGATTGAGCCCTTACAGTTACCAACATGACCTGTCACTTGATTCGAACTGGACATAATGAAACCCTCCATACCTCGCACATCATTCAGCGTTTCCATAGCCGGCTCCTGAAGGGCTGCCACGTGGTTTTGGATGACACATTCATATTCGCAGAACTCACTGAATGTCAGCAATTCTCTGCCACGATGAATCTCATTATACTTCTCTATCATTTCCGTCACTCTTTCTTTGACTAAATGCGTAAGAAATAAGAAAGAGTACAGTTAATGGATTATGGTCGTCGTTCTAAGGAAAGAAATAGTTTCAATTGGTAAAATATCATCACTTACACAAGACCTCGGTGCTCCTCAGATGGTTGTCCCATTTTCTGAACACAGGACGCAGGAGTGTGTACAAGTTCTTGTCTTGTGAATGTCCTGTTCTGCTCAGTTCATTTATTTGATCGCTGAAGTTCAGTATAATCTTTAGAAGAAGAAGAGATATTCTAACTGTCAGAACATTACACTCTACTATCTTTACACTCCACTCACTGCTGGGTTGTTTTAACCCAGTTCTGGGCCAAATGTGGACAAACCCAATGCTGAGTTCATTATTAAAAAATTTGGTCCCACTTTACATCAATATTCGCTATACTTGTGAACTTAAATGGTAACTAGAGTACTACCGTATGTAACTACAGTGTGTGTACACACTGGTACATAGTATTTACTTCTGTAATATTGGTGTGACTACACACATGTAACAACCCACTGAATAGTATGTGTGGGTTCAAATGTTCAAAGGTTCAATCTCTGGTAAACTACCCTTTTAATGTGAATTACTGATGTGATTCTACAATTTACCTTAAAACAACATATAAACATGGCATTTGTTTATTTCTGTATACACTTATACTTTTTTTTGCCAGAAGTTTGCTGTTGTTAAACAGTCGCACAAATGTTTAGGTTTAATATTTGACAGTTTTTTGTGACTATTTAACATGGAGTGGACAGTTCCTGAGGATTTACCCTGTAATTACACTGGTATCACAAGGTAAAACCTTTTAATGCAGTGTTAGTTCTGCCATTCCTATTCTAATACAGTCTGGGTTATGGGTGTGTGTTTGAACAGACATACACACATTATTAATAATAATAACATCTAAAGATGGCAATCTTGGTGGTTTTTTTTTTCCAAATACAACTATTGTGTAACATTCATTCATTTTTCTTGTCGGCTTAGTCCCTTTATTAATCCATGGGTCGCCACAGCGGAATGAACCGCCAACTTATCCAGCAAGTTTTTACACAGGCAAACGTTTTCCAGCCGCAACCCATCTCTGGGAAACATCCACACACACTTTCACACACACACTCATACACTACGGACAATTTAGCCTGCTCAATTCACCTGTACCACATGTCTTTGGACTGTGGGGGAAACCGGAGCACTTGGAGGAAACCCACGCGAAGGCAGGGAGAGCATGCAAACTCCACACAGAAACGCCAACTGAGCCGAGGTCCAAACCAGCGACCTTCTTCCTGTGAGGCGACAGCACTACCTTCTGCGCCACTGCCTCTCCTATTGTGTAACTTTCTGTCTTAAATGAGCATAAACCATTAAGAAAGCAATCGAATGCTTTCATTATAACATTAGATGTGGGCATTTTTAAAATGACACCTCTTATTTATTATAATCAAACGAAAATCCAAATAAATGAGATTCATTTGTTCCTCTTTAATCTGAATGTGTAAGTTAAACTGTGAAAAAAAAGATTAATGAGATTTTGTTAACTTGATTTCTTTATATTAGCTATTAATTTTAATAAGCTGAACATTTTGCTAATTTATTTGCTGCTAATGTATACTACTTATTTTTTCTTTTGTAAACAATAATAATAAAGCATATTACTGATGGTTCAACAATTTATTTACAATGAAACAGCTGCAGAAGAACAGATTTAGCAATTTGGGGATTTTTTTTTAGGTGGGAGGGAGGTCCCTTATTATGGTGGGCATATCCCTTATTATCACATCCCAATGTTGACAGGTATGCCCTGGCTACCCTACATATGAAACTTTCTTTTCCCCTGCTTCCCTGCAAGTTCAACTTGAGTACTAAGCGAGTGACCAAGAGTGTGATGTGAACCCAGCATTAGAGCTCTTACCTCACTGAGAAAAGGTCCCATTAGCTCTTCATTCATAGGTGGACCCTGATCGTAGTTTTTAAGTTCTCGTTGCACATTGAGGACTTTATTCTGAATCTCCTCAGTCAAGGTTGGAATTGATTTCTGTGACCATAAGAAAACATATTTTATATTGAGAGAAATGTGAATGGCAAAAAAAACAACAACATCAAACATAGACTCAACACTGAACATGGACTCAATAGCCTATCAACTATAAATCTTTTCTCTTTTCGACTCCGACTGCAGAGGCTAAGTTTTTTCTGCTGTCATATATTGAACGAATGACTCAAAACTCGAAGAGTTGAGAGATACACTAATCAAATGTCCTTCTGGCTCATGCTGCATATATTAAAGTTGGACTGAAATCAAAATTAGGAATGTTTATTCTGCTAAGTATATAGTCAGTCTTTAATTGAACAGTTTTTCTAAAAGTAAATCCAGTTAAAACTGTTTATTTTGGTAGCCTTTTTTGAAACCATTGATTCATTCATTTTCTTTTCGGCTTAAGCCTGGTTTATGCTTCTGTGTCAAGTGACCGGCGTAACCCTCGGCGCATGCAACGCGCGTAGCTGTGCATTTATACTTCTGCGCGCTGTCTCTGTTGGTCTGAATTAACATTTCCGAAACGCTAGAGGGCAGTGAGGTGTAAATATTCCTCTGTGTCGAGTTTCTTCTCTGCTGTTTTGCTTTTCCTGAACACTTCCTGGATGTGCAAGTGGCTCAAACTCGCTCATTTTGAGGCAGGAACCGGCGGACGTGCAACAACTTTAACTATGAGGTAAACACAGAACAAAACTTTCCATCAGGAGCTCCTTCACGGGACTCCACATTTGTAAACAATCTCTCCATTGGGTTCGCGTCCAGCTCTCGTCATTTGCGCCGCACTCGGTTCCGCCCAGACTCGTCAGCGCTACCAAGCCGACCAATCACAGAGCTTGCGCTACGCATCGTTGCAACGTGTAGTTTCAAATTTTGAGAGGTGCACATCAGCGACGCCGACAGCCACTGCGAAGGGCTATGCGTCAGCGCCATAGCATATGCCGGCGTTTGACGCTGAAGTATAAATCAGCCTTTATACTTCTGTGCGCTGTCTCGGTTGGTCTGCATTAGCACTTCCGAAACGCTAGTTGGCAGTGAGGTGTAAATGTTCCTCTGTGTCCAGTTTCTTCGCTTGTGTTTTGCTTTTCCTGAACACTTCCTGGATGTACAAGTGGCTCAAACTCATTTTGAGGCAGGAACCGGCGGGCGTGCAACAACTTTAACTATGAGGTAAATGCAAAACAAAACTTTCCATCAGGAGCTCCTTCATAGGACTCCACACTTGTAAACAATCGCTCCATATGGGTTGCGCCATTTGCGCAGCTCTCAGTCCCGCCCAGACTCGTCATCACTACCAAGCCGACCAATCACAGAGCTTGCGCTATGCGTCGTCGCGACGTGTAGTTACATTTTTTGAGAGGTGCATGTAAGCGACGCCGACGGCCACAGTGTAGGGCTATGCGTCAATGCCGTAGCATACCCGTGCGTTAGACGCATAAGTATAAATCAGCCTTTAGTCTCTTTATTAATCTGGGGTCGCCACAGCAGAATGAACCGAAACTTAGCCAGCATATATTTTATGCAGCGGATACCCTTTTAGCTGCAACCCATCACTGGGAAACATCAATACACCCTCATTTACACACATACACTACGGTCAATTTAGATCACCCAATTCACCTACCACATGTCTTTGGACTTGTGGGGGAAACCAGAGCACCCGGAGGAAACCCACGCGAACATGGGGAGGCACACGTTATTAATAACATTATTAGTATTCCCTATTATCTTGCCTTGATATGATCACCCAGTTCTCTGGTCAGCTTGAGGGCCAGACACTGTGTAGATGCATTTCCATCAGCCAGCAATGAGCTGTGAAGAAAACAATGTAGAACATTCTTAATTTCCTATAAATGCAAACAATTCGTGAATGTTGTTTCATAATGTTTTAATGTAACGATCAAATGATAAAAATACCTGAAATAATGGTGGCTCCTGAAGAAGTTCTGTTCGTCCTCCATGGCTTTTTCAAAAGGGACCCTGTTATTGATGTCGCTCTGACCACGACACCGCACAATGATGTAGCCCTTGCTCAGAGGAATGACTTTTCCCTGGACAATGTTCAAAACATCGATCTCAGCTCCTCTGTCAATGAGGTCTGGTTTGGTGAGAATTGCTACTCCACATATTCAAATAGCAGAAAAAAAGATAAAGAGATAAAGGTTAGATGTTAGGGTCTACATGGTAAGTAGCAGGGCTTTACATTAACACCCGCCAACACGCCAAATGAATTTCGGAGGTGGCGGGTAGGACAGACACTCCCACTAGCCACTTTGGCTGGTTGAAAAGAATTTTCCCAGATAATAATTCTTAAAAGCAGGGTTCGACAATAAGGATGGTCCAATATGCATGCACAGGCTATTTTAAAATCGAAAGGCAACAAGACTGACAAAAACAATTGCGTTTGCAACTTCATGCAAGCAAAGCAGGTGAATACCGTGCGACTGTTTATAACGCATGCATGCTCCCGTTTCCTTTTGTGTAGCAACTGTGTCTAGAAACACAACTAATGCGATCGGTTCTCTTTCAAATAGACTGAACAAAAAGGGAGGAACATGCACCCACAGTCTTGCTGCTTTCAAGATTTCCAGAGTTGACTTATTGTAAGCAGCGCCAGTTGCTTTCCCTTTGTAATGAAGTTCACGGCCCTTTGGCCGCCGTTAAGAAGGGGGCGGAGAACCAACGCAGTTTTAAAATATTTATTTATAACATGAACGGCAGCTTCTCATGGAGACTGCCATCTAAACCAAAGCAAACGGACGGCAGCTCCTCACAGAGACTGCCATCAAACTGAAAGCAAAAGTGAAACAACATGTCCGGGCCCGTACCTCTCTTGGCTTACTCTGCCATCGTTCCTCCTCTTATAGTCCAGAGCTCCTTCTGTGGGATTCGAGGCCAGTGCGCACCACAGGTGCATCCACTTACCTCATTCTGTTCACACGGCTCTCGGCCACGCCCCCTCCCACACCCTTTAACCATTCTTTGAACAGATTATTTATGGGTCTATCATTAACCATATGTGTGTGATCATCATTTCGTTATCACACAGTATGTTTTTTACCTGCTTTCTTTTGCGTTAATATGGTTTAATTGTCATTTTTTACAATAACATTGCTTTAATGGGAGATTAACTCCCCATTTATGTGTAGCTAATTGGTGATCTCGGACCTTTAGCCAGGACATATGACTGTGCATATGTTTTGTTAAATAAAAAGTATTCGGTAATATTTTGCTTGTTTTGACACATTTTAAATTTGTGGCTGAAAAATAATTTATGTTTATGTTTGGTGTGGTCAGAGATAAATTGGGTAAATCCTTCATTGTGGGCTCTGAAATTTATGTGAAATAAAAACTAATCGTAATATATGAAACTCTGATCCATTTGCTTATGATTGTTGAGCAAGCTCAGACACGAAAAGTGAAATGAAAGAAGAGGCATGTAGAGATAACGCAAACTCCAAATCGAGTAATTTTAGCATGTCAAAGTCATTTTTATGTGTATAAAATATATTTTCCCAACAATAAAATTGTGGCTAGTGAAAATGGCGATTGGCTAGTAATGTTGGAAAACTACTAGCCACAGTGGCTGGTGATCAAAAAAGTTAATGTCAAGCCCTGGTAAGTAGCATAACGAAGAATTATGGTATACAAAAATAGAAAAGTGTTTGCAAACCAAGAGTTCTGAGTCCTTCTGGGTCAACTTGTTGTGCCATTCTTAGTGCTTCAGTTGTTGCTATGTCGACATTGCAGGGCACGACAACTAAAATTATGGTTTCACTTTTGTCAATGTATTTCAGGATCAGGGATTTGATCTAAAAAAAGAGAAGACAGGTTAGAAACTGAATTCTTGAAGTCAAAAAACATTGAAAACACCATTAACCTTATTTTATTTAGGCCATATATAGAGTAGAAGTCTGAATGATTAGCCCTCTGTATATTTTCCCATTTCTAAACATAATAGTTTTAATAACTCATTCCTAATAACCGATTTATTTTATCTTTGCCACGATCACAGTACATAATATTTTACTAGATAGTTTTCAAGATACCAGTATTTCACTTTGAGTGCAATTTAAAGGCACAACTAGATTAATTAGGGTAATTAGGCAAGTCATCGTTTAACGATGGTTTGTTTTGTAGACAATCAAAAAATTTAAAATAAGGTCACAATCTCAATTAAGTCCCCCAGAAAGCCTGGTCGTCCACAAAAGACAAATACAGGAAAGGACAGGATAATGTGTATAATATCGATAGACAATGTTCGGTTTCACAAATATAAGAATATATATACAGCATATATTTTAAAATATTGCAAAAAAATCAATTTACATAAAAAAAATAAATAAATAAATTATATATATATATATATATATATATATATATATATATATATATATATATATATATATATATATATATATATATATATATATATATATATATATATATATGTATATATATATATTTTTTTTTTCTCATTCATTTTCTTTTTGGCTTAATCCCTTTATTAAACTGGTGTCCCCACAGCGGAATGAACCGCCAACTTATCCAGCATATATTTTACGCTGCTTATACCCTTCCAGCATCAACCCATCACTGGGAAACATCCATACACACTCATTCACACACATACACTACGGACAATTTAGCCTACCCAATTCACCTGTAGCACATGTATTTGTACTTGTGGGGGAAACCAGAGCACCCGAAGGAAACCCACGGCAACATGAAGAGAACATGCAAACTCCACACAGAAATGCCAGTAACTCGAAATACAATTTTTTTTATTACACAGCCATTGTTTTGAGGAATCACTAAATACACTCACCTGATCTCCAATATCATCAGGTTGGCCGTTCACAGGCACACGAGTTATACCGGGCAGATCGATCAGAGTGAGGTCACACACATCAGGAGATGAAATCTCCAAAGTGATGAGCTCATCACAGATCCCAACTGTAGTTCCAGCAAGATCATCTTGTGCTGTTGAATAAAGAGATAAACAATAAAGTAGCTGTAGTTCCTATTTTCCTCTTATTTCCTTCCTCATAAATCTCATACCCCCGGTTCTACAAACAAGGTTTAAGGCTAGTCAAGATTAAATTGCCTGTTTGAGCTGTCTCAACTCAAAATAACTTGCGGTGAGATGTCTTAAAGTACGTCAGTGTAGTTTTTTGTCTATAGGTGCACACCAATAATATATGTTTCTGAGGCCGTTTTTATAAATGTGTCTTAAATAGCCTACTTTAACTAAGGCCTTGTCCTGGCTTAATCTAAGCCCTGTTTGTGAAACTGGGCCATACAGTTCAGAGGTTCATAAAAACCCCTCTAGACTATAGTTTTGTTTTGCTATCCAACACGTCTTCGAGAACTTTTTTACTTCAGTGTTTTACTTCAACTTCAGCGTCCCTCCACCACCCCAACTCCACACTATTAAATCCAATACCCATTTAAAGGGTCACGAAACACCAAAACACATTTTTTGAGCTGTTGACAGTCGTATACGTGTCCCACACTGCTAAAAACACTATTAGAACACCTATATTTCACTAAAAAGTGTAATTTGGTTGTTTTTGAGTTATTTCAAGCAAATTCGTACTTCCGGTTTGAAACGAATTTTTGAAGCTGCGTCACGGTCATGACATAATAGCGTGTATTCCAGCGTGCAGACTGGACGTCTGTGCTAGAGTGTGTCTTATTACGTCTTACAGTGTGTTGCATTATTGCATGAGTAAGGGTTGGTTCAAACCAATCAGCGCGCTCTATTGTGCAACTTCATTAATATTCATTAGTGTCACCGTGTTTACGCCACAGAGACGCCACGTTGTGTTGTCAAAACAAGCGTGAAGTGTTGCTTTTATAGTTTGCTGCCATTAAGTTTCATTTTCATTTTCTCTCTGTGAGAGCTCATTTGGATCACGTGTGGATTAACAGTGTACGCGACGCTCGACAACAATAACTTACGTGTCTAAGGAGGAACATTGTTTACCTGAGAGCTGTTCTCATTAGCAAACGCTGAGATCCGGATTCGCTTATAGTCTTCTCTTAATAAAGACGCGGCTCTAGTTGCTGGTGATTGTCCTGTCTCTACAGATTTGGTAAGTGAGCGACCAGTGCTCTTTGTTTATTCAGTTTGTTCGTATCTAACAAACTATTGCACCGAGTGTAAACATGTTAGCACCAAAACCAAACTTTAATCTCGTGTAGGGTTTTTACCGCATTTTGTGACTGGAATAACACACGCGGCTTTCTGACACTACCTGCCGTGTGCATCTAAGTTACTGGGAAATGCGGAGGTTTTTTTTCTCTCATTCGCCGTGCGGTATCAAACATTGCATGAAAAATACACGCTTAGAGCAGTTCCTCGAATCAAATATCTCGTTTGTCGCGAGGGGCATGAATGAATTCCCTGAATGAAAGAGCCAAACTGCAGTTAAAGTCCACTATTTAATAATTTGGCAAATAATTCGACTACAGATGTCCATGTAGGTTAAACACCATCACTTTCTACTGTGTGTGTGTGAATTTTGACTCTGAAACTCGCGCGTGCCCAAATAGACACTCCCACACCATCCCACTTTTCTTCCTCCGACACTCCCCCCTAAACAGAGCTGGACACGCCCACTTTTCTGACTTTTTCCAAAGTAGAGGTGTGAAAACAACCTGCTGAAACGAGGGGGTTTCATGGCCCTTTAAATCTAAGGGGGGAACGTTCTGGAGCCGGACTAGGCACTGCCCTCGGACCCTATCTCTCTTTATCCTGATTAGGGGAATAACATGAGTTAGGGTGTCTTCCCGAGCTCAGATCCCTCTCCCCAAACAGCACCCCAACAACCATATTCTATTCAGTCAAATATCTGTGACTTTGAACTCGTGAAATGCTTAGTAATTCCTTGTACTTCAGAATCATTCCTTCAGTAATTTCAAATTCCGATCGAGTCCTATTCATACTAACCTGCTCTAACAAGAGAGTCCACCTTTAATGGGTCACTGAAGGCTTCTTTGTGACCATCATAGGAAATGGTCCCTGACCATGGACCAGTTTTGATCTTCTGCAGTTTCAGCTCAAGAGGGCAGCGAGTGACAATACCTTGGTGGGGGGAAAAAAACACCAGAGTAAACACATTAAAACTAACATGCTTGAGTTTTGCCAATATTGTCAGGGTTCTGCCACTCCAGTCTTGTACATTCTTGTTTTGGTGGCAGAGTCCAGACACTAGCTCTGTCTTGTCCTGGTATGTTGTGCTCGGCTCAAGTTTTCTCGGGTCGAGTACTCATTTTGTCATTGTGTGTCTCTGTATGAGTGCCCTCGTGATCGCGCTCAGGCCAAGCACACTCCTGCTTGATGCGAACGCGCAAGGTCTGGGCGTGCTTGGGACTGTACTCGTGTTTGTTCTGTCAGCATCGCTCTGTTTCAATCTCAGCGCCGTTCATTCAACAGTCTAGTTGGTTTCGATTTCGTTTAGGCGCTGGGATGAAACATGCGTGTTGCATATGTGTGAGCACACTGTAAGGTGTTTTCATTTATCGTGTGCTCATGTCTTGCGTCTTCACCACTGTTCACTATGTGCGAGCACAGATACAGGGACATCATTTCAAATCCATGTAGATGCTATCTAAATCATTATGAATGAATATGTCGACATTAGCAATATATGCTGCCGCTTTGACACTTTCACAATAAAAATCACAACTCAAACACATCGGCCAAACAGAAAATAGACAAATATCGGCTGATATATCTAAATTGGCAATATATGCTGCAGTTTTGACGCTTTCAAAATAAAAGTCACAACTCAATCATATCGGCAAAACAGAAAAATATTGGCCGATATATCGACAATAGCAATATATGCTGCAGTTTTGACGATTTCAAAATAAAAGTCACACCTCAATCACATCGGCAAAACAGAAAAATCACAAATATTTGCCGATATATTGACATTAGCAATATATGCTGCAGCTTTGACGCTTTCAAAATAAAAGTCACACCTGTACTCTTGTTTGTGTTTGTTCTGTCGGCATCACGCTGTTTCGTTCTCAGCGCCGTTCATTCAACAGTCTAGTTGGTTTCGGTTTCGTTGGCGCTGGGATGAAACATGCGTGTTGCATATGTGTGAGCACACTGTAAGGTGTTCTCATTTATCGTGTGCTCATGTCTTGCGTCTTCACCACTGTTCACTATGTGCGAGCACAGATACAGGGACATCATTTCAAATCCATGTAGATGCTATCTGAATCATTATGAATGAATATGTCGACATTAGCAATATATGCTGCCGCTTTGACACTTTCACAATAAAAATCACAACTCAAACACATCGGCCAAACAGAAAATAGACAAATATCGGCTGATATATCTGCATTGGCAATATATGCTGCAGCTTTGATGCTTTCAAAATAAAAGTCACTCCTCAATCACTTAGGCCAAACAGAAAAATGACAAATATTGGCCGATATATCGACATTAGCAATATATGCTGCAGCTTTGACACTTTTAAGATAAAAGTCACACCTCAAACACATCGGCCAAACAGAAAAATGACAAATATTGGCCAATATATCGTCATTTACAATATATGCTGCAGCTTTGACGCTTTCAAAATAAAAGTCACACCTCCATCACATCGGCCGAACAGAAAAATGACAAATATTGGCCGATATATTGGCATTAGCAATATATGCTGCAGCTTTGATGCTTTCAAAATAAAAGTCACACCTGTACTCTTGTTTGTGTTTGTTCTGTCGGCATCACGCTGTTTCGTTCTCAGCGCCGTTCATTCAACAGTCTAGTAGGTTTCGGTTTCGGTTTCGTTTGGCGCTGGGATGAAACATGCGTGTTGCATATGTGTGAGCACACTGTAAGGTGTTTTCATTTATTGTGTGCTCATGTCTTGCGTCTTCACCACTGTTCACTATGTGCGAGCACAGATACAGGGACATGAAGCATTTCAAATCCATGTAGATCCTATCTGAATCATTATGAATGAATATGTCGACATTAGCAATATATGCTGTAGCTTTGACACTTTCAAAATAAAAATCACAACTCAAACACATCGGCCAAACAGAAAATAGACAAATATCGGCTAATATATATGCATTGGCAATATATGCTGCAGCTTTGACGCTTTCACAATAAAAGTCACTACTTAAACAAATCGGTCAAACAGAAAAATGACAAATATTGGCCAATATATCGACAATAGCAATATATGCTGCAGCTTGATGCTTTCAAAATAAAAGTCACTTCTTAAACACATCGGTCAAACCGAAAATGTACAAATATTGGCCGATATATCGACATTAGCAATATATGCTGCAGCTTTGACGCTTTCAAAATAAAAGTCACACCTCAATCACATCGGCCAAACAGAAAAATCACAAATATTGGCCGATATATTGACATTAGCAATATATGCTGCTGCTTTGACGCTTTCAAAATAAAAGTCACACCTCGAATACATCGACCAAACACAAAAATGACAAATATTGGCTGATATATCGGCATTGGCCATATATGCTCCAGCTTTGATGCTTTAAAAAAAATCTCACCTCGAACACATCGGCCAAACACAAAAATTACAAATATCAGCTGATATATCAGCATGGGCAATATATGCTGCAGCTTTGACGCTTTCAAAATAAAAGTCACACCTCGAACACATCATCCAAACAGAAAAATGACAAATAATGGCCAATATATCAGCACTGGCAATCTATACTGCAGCTTTGATGCTTTTCAAAATAAAAATCACAACTGAAACACATCGGCCAAACAGAAAATTACAAATACCGGTAGATATATCGGCATTGGCAATATATATTGCTTGACCACTGCCCTCATTTGTCACAAGGCACTAAAACACAAGCAAGGTTTTCATGTTCTTACCACTTCCTCGAGGCAGAGCCACCCCAGAGAGAGCCTCCAAAACAGAGCTCTTCCCAGAACTCTGATCTCCCACAACTGCAATGGATGGCAGACCAATGTCCTCATCAAGGCCAATGAACCTCAGAGAGTCGATCAACTCAATCAAAGGCCGAACAGACTCAAGGAAATGATTTTGGGGTCCTTCCTGAGCTTTTGAGCCAGAAAATGAGCTTTACATTTAAAAGAGAGAAACAATTATACAACAATAGAAATATTATTTGGATCTTATGATGGTGGCTCTGCAGCGGTAGAAATCTAAAACAAACAGATGCGTTTTAAGAAGAAAGAAACAGTAATAGGTATTGTAGCTATCAAACATAAATAGCATTTGAATACTACCTCTCATCGCCTTGGTAGTAATATTCTGAATGCTTTTCCTGGTTCATTGTTTGTCTGAAATTCAATTTAGAGATTCTAATCTGAAATAGGAAAAATGAAGTAAAATAAAATGAATAAAAATGAATTAATAAAAACTCAAGATCACTACACTTTAAGTCTAGCTGTAGAAATCAACACAATAATACAACATCACTACCTGCATAATTTGTGTTACCCTAAATACTGTGCCAAACATCAGATGTTAGGACAAGATACAATTTTTTTAACACATTATATTTGATTTGATATTTTTCAAGACACTTCTATACAGATTAAAGTGACATTTAAAGGCTTAACTAGGTTAATTACGGTAACTAGGCAGGTTAGGTTAATTAGACAAGTTATAGTATAATGATGGTTTGTTCTGTAGACTATCCAAAAAAAATTAGCTTAAAGGGCTAATAATTTTGACCTTAAAATGGTTTTTAAAAAATTAAAAACTTTTATTGTAGCCAAAATAAAACAAATAAGACTTTTTTCCAGAAGAAAAAATATTATCAGACATACTGTGAAAATATCCTTGCTCTGTTAAACATCATTTGGAAAATATAAAAAAAATAAATACATAAATTTTTTTAACGATTTTCAAATAGAACAAACAACAAAGAGAATCAGACAAACAAACAACCCCTAAGCTCTGCCAATTAAATAAAATTTACAAATGTATTTGTTTAACAAAAACAAAACAAAAAAAATCTAAATCAAAACAAAAGAAGCCAGAGCTCTCTTAGAAATAAACCTTTCACGGTTTGTGTAGAAAGAATTGGAGAGGTTCCCAAAGTCTCCTAAATTTGTACTGTTTGTGGTTGAGGTCAACTGTTGGATTTTTAGAAGTAGACCATTTTAGTAATATCCATTTTTTTTAGAGTCAAAAGTGTCTTCATGTCATTCAGCAAAACAAGTGAGGGGGAGAAAATAAAACGTTTTCCTATTATCTGCTGGATTGCAGGATAAACCTCTCTCCAAAATGGTTGGATGTGAACACAGGACCATGAAAAAGTGTCCCCTTACAACTGGGGTGTCCAAACACTGTCCTGGAGGGCCGGTGTCCTGCACACTTCAGCTCCAACATTAATCAAACACAACTGAACGAGCTAATCAAGCTCTGACTAAATATACTAGAAACTTCCTAGCAGGTGTGTTGAGGCAAGTTGGAGCTAAACTGAGCAGGACACCGGCCCTCCAGGACCGAGTTTGGACACCCCTGCCTTACAAGTTTTGCACTTAAAACAGAAGTTGGAACAAGCTGGGAACATTTTATGCAGACAAACCAGCCTGATCTCACGAGGAAACGTAGTATTTAATGTTTTGTCACTTTAGTGGCTAATTCGTATGAATTCGTACAAGTTGAGTCGTACGAAAAGTACGATTTTAAAAAGAGGCGTGGCACCCAACCCTGCCTCTAAACCCAAACACAATCATTGGGTGATGAGCAAATCGTACTAAATTCTACGAATTAGATTGTATGAATTCATACAAATTAGCCAACAGATCAAAAAGTTACGAATTGCCGTGAGATTGTGTTGGACAAACAGATGTAAAATAAATTCTGTGGAAAATGTTTAAAAAAAAATTCCCATATGGAAATTGAGGTACAAACAAATATATTAATAATAAATACAAAAATCATGTTTTCTTACTTCACACTTGCATTACATTACATGGATGCTTTGTAAAAATCAATTTTTGCTAGTACCAATAAAAATAAACACTTTTTAAAATTATGTTCTATCATTTTAATTGATATATAAATTAGCCATCATATTACAGGAAAACTATTAAATTCTGGTAAATGTGCTCAAATAAAAAAGCCTGAAGTGTTTTTACCTTCTTTCAGTGCTTCTTCAACACAGCCTGGAGAGTGTCTTTCTGAAACCCCATGCTGCATTTTATACATTCCTAAAGCAGGAAACATGAAAACCCTTTATTGCACACAATATACCCAAAGTATTAAAAAAAGAGGAAATAAGCAGTTGAGTTCTGTTTTCAGGTGTAATCGCACGGCATTTTTTCCCCAAACATTTCTATACCTTTCACTTTCATCATCTTTTCTGCAGTTCACATAATGCCATTTACCCCTTAAATAGTATTCATTTCACCATTCTGCTTAAAGATATTGAATATAATCAGTGGTGGATAGAGTCCTGAAAAATCATACTCAAGTAAAATACCATTACTTGCTTAAGTAGTGCAAGTACACTTTAAAAAAAAAAAAGGTTCCTAGAGGTTCTATATAGAACCTTGGGGTTCTATACTTGGCCAGTAGAACCTTTTACCCAAAAAATAGTTCCATTTAGAACCCTTTGAGTGCAAAGAACCTTTTTGATTAAAATGGTTCTATAGTTTTTGATTCATAACATAATTATCTAGTAAAGATTATAAAATAATTATAAGCTATAACACAGATATACAAAGCTTTTTGAGTCAAAACCTAATAAAATGAATGCTGTGGTCAAAAACGTTATCAGTGTACAGTATGGTGGGATTTTTTTCATTCAGGTTTGCACATTAGCACATAACTTATATTTTATATATACTTAATATTTAACATTTTTAACAAATTATTTTGTGAAATAAATAAAATAACCAGTTTATTTCTTTAGACTGTGCAGTACCATGTTTTTATGATTTAAAAATTTATTTAAAACTAATTATCATATATATATATACATACTTAAAGGTTTAACATTTAAAATACATTTAGTCTGCATATTTGTGTCCTTTATAAATAACACCTGATCTTTCATCTATGGATTATTAAAATATGTTTGGCTTTAAAAGGTTTTAATAATATCCAGGGACGGACTGGCCATAGGGAGAACCGGGATTTTTCCCGGTGGCCTGATGGTCAATCTAGCCTGCCACCATGACTCTGGCCTGCCGCGCATACACAGACTCGGTGCGGGCACGAGTGCTGCACTGCTACCTAAATAAAGAACCCTTAAATGGTTCTAAATAGAACCATCTAGCTTGAATTCGAACAACCATTTGGGGTTCTATTTAATGAACCATTAAAATGGTTCTATTTAGAACTTTTTTGGGGTTCCATATATGAAGCGCTTGATAGAACCATTTTTGGTTCTATATAGAAACATTTCTTTTAAGAGTGTAGAGTAAAATTATCTGTTTTAAATATGACTCAAAGTGTGAGTAAAAAGTAGCCCTTTTAAAAGTACTCAAGAGTAGTGACTAGTGAGTATTACGCTGTGAAAAGCTGATGATTTGCATTAAATTTGTGCATGTGTGTGTAAACGTAACATTCTGTAGCACATTTAATTATTGCCCAGCAGGCACACAACATCATAAGATGTTAATATTAGGTTAGATTTTGGTTGTGATGTCAGGTGACGAAAATTCAATGTCTAGCCAGCGCCTATAAGGACAACGTTACTTTATGTTCAATAATGACGTCAAATATCTTTTAATATAATATAAATTATAGTTAATTATTTCATATTAACGGCAAGTACTGACATTTATTCGTCAGGTATGGCAACCAAAATCCAACGTCTGACAGACGTCATAGTGGTAAAAGTAAAAGTACACATTTTTAAAACTACTTAGTAAATTACAATTCCTGAGAAAAACTACTCAATTATAGCAATTTGAGTATTTGTAATTATTTACTTTACACCATTGATTATAATACATCTATTTGTCAAAACACGTCCCAGATATCACTAGAAAATGTCATTATTTAACATAATTCTGAAAAAGTGACTAATTTGCACAAATGCAATTGATTTTTTTTACACTTTCTTTAACATAATCGTCACTTAGGGGGTCACTAAATGCTTATAAAACATCCAAAAATAATTATAAACAACATTTTACATAGTTATGAACTGCCTTGTGAGACTGCACTGGGGTAAAAATACACGAATGTTGTTTAAACGTGGTAAAAGATGCATTATTGGATTATTACACAAGTAACTGTACTATAGAACAGAAGTACTATTAACTCCATTATATTAACTATTCAACTATTAACTAAACCTCTGGAATCCGGTGTGAACGTGTGGATATTGCACATTAATGCACACTATTATTAATAGGCACTCTCACACATTTACTTCAGATTCTAGAGCAAATGTGAACAATTAATCGTTTTTCTGTTCTATAGTCTATTACACTACGTTTCGCCACTAGAGGTCTCTTGAAGCAATAACACAGACGAAGCGTGATGCTGCAATCATAGATATACACATGCAAGTTGGTGCTACTTTGCCTTATGGTGAATGCGGTAAGAGACTATTATTATCAATAACGCTACCTGTTTACCACAAAAGTTTAAAACATACAAAAAAAGTAAAAAAAAAAAAAAACAAACTAAATCTTACCTATGAAATGTTTTGTGCGTTGTTTTCTTTGTTTGCTCATTACTACACCCGTACACAGCACTTAAGTCCAGTATCTTCACGTAGTAACATTGTCTTGTATAGTGCGGTTGAATGACAGTTGTCCTGGGAGCACTGTACAAATATGGCGGCGCTATTGACGCATGCTCAGGGTCCCTATGCGATATCTAGTGTATATATCTATGTGCTGCAATGAGTGAACCAAGCGGCAACCTCCCACTCGCCCTCGTGAAGCAAATATTGAAACTGCAGTTCATCGAAATTCGCTAGTCCTGGCTCCATAATAGAGCGGATTACTATTGAGCCCACTGTTAAAATGGCCAACTTTACTGCAGAAAAAAGGTGTTTACGCCTGGTACATAGAACGATTTTGGTTCATATAGCTAATATTACCCTTCATGACAATCCTGAGTGTGAATTTTTTTTATAACTCTTCCGTTTTTTTATAATGGGTTATATTAAGTGTGCATAATTAAGGCCGTGGCCGCTGATTAGCGGCTGAAATCTTGTCATGGACATTAAATTAAGATGCCAACTGGTTTAAAAAGGCCTAGATTAAAAGAAGATGGCCAAATGTGAATTTTTTTGTTATAAACTATAGTAAAACAGCTTGTCAAAAAGAATAATAAAAATACTAAACCCTGCAAACAGATTAAATACAGGAATTAAGAAAAGGGTGCACTTTTATTATCAGCTGTCAGTCATCGCCTGCTTTTTTTTCCTGGTCATTGTGCCTTTGCCATGTGCTGTGTAAATAATACAGACAATCGGATACGGATAATCGGTCACTTTTAATAGACGATGAAGCCATTCATCAAAAAAAAAACTGATACAGTAACAAAATCAGAATTGACCATCAAGATTTGCAGCCTTAGTGAGACAGTACCAGAGCTTTTTCGCTCCGGATTTTGTATCTTTTCATACAATTTGTTTTTTGTTTGTTCATTTTTTTTGTACATTTAGTGGAACTTAGGCTTTGCTGGAAATAGATGTAAATCTAAATAAAAAGTTCAACAACAACAAAAAGGGGAAGGAAGTGATTTCCTACTCAAGTTTCAGAGGAAATAGGAATTTATTTGGGGAAAAGTTCTGGACCTCAAATGGTCATATAGGCATGTGGCAACTGCATGTCATATCACACCATATACTGTATTTTTATTGAATGCCATGTCAGCAATAACAGCTATTTTCATAGCAAAAACAATTCATTAAAATAAATACAATAAAAAATGCAAACAAACATACACATTAGACTTTTTTTTTTTTTTTTTTGCTGAATATTTCTCTAAGTTAATTTCATTAAAATTATACAAAATAAAACTTTTGCAGTTATTACAAGTCCACTTGAAATCTACAAACAAAAATTTCATTTTTCAATAACTAAGTCTTGTATGATCAAAACGACATCTTGCAAAAAATCACTTGATCAAATCTGGTCCTAAAAGGTATTAAAAATCAGTTTTTTTTTCAGGGTGTAATTTCATGCAGTTTTATTATTCACCCATAAATCTCATTCCTCTTGCCGCTTATTTAAAATGCAACCAAAGGAGGAATTTGGCATTTTATTGGCTTTTGTTTTAAAGTTTCTTTCATTCTTTTGGAAGTCTGACTCCATCATGTTGTCCAGGCAGTCACCATTGTTGGCTGCTTTATGTAAGCGGAAACAACACTGGGCAAAGTACAGTGGAAATCCCGAATAGCGGAAATGTGAACAGAGAGTAAAACCCAAATGATGCAATCACAGCGGTGAGTACAGTACAAGTACTGTGCGTAATCATTTGGGTAACAATGCACTTATTATGCACATACATTCATAATTTTACATGTGCATGAAATTACATCTGAAATTAATTTCTGTAATTATATTTATAATTACACTATTGACCCATCCCTTACACCTTAACCCATCCTTAAACCCACCCATACCATCAAACCAATATACCAGCTTAACATAATAAGTGGAATACAATATAAACACAATATGCACATTGTATTTATTTATTATTGATGTAAGTACCTAATGTGACCCAACATAAAGTGTAAGTGCACTGTTAGTATTTAAATATAGAGCATTTAACGTGTATAAGTTAAGGTAATGATTAACCTATTTGAAGTATACTGTCAATTAATTTGGCTGTAGGGTATACTTAACATATTTGCAGCTTACTTTGTTAAATTAGGGTATTTAAGCTATTTTTTTATATATATAAAATATATAATTGACCTATTTGAAGATATGTAACTGCAAGTATTTTCAGCTTAGACAGCTCCTAAATGTCATTTAGTTTAGTATGTAATGTTCAACAAATATTAAAACTACAAGTCAAGTATAATATGTAATAATTATAACTTTAAACAAATGACAATGAACACATATAGACATTTTAGAATTTTTAGTACATTTCATAGAAGTACATTACAAAAAAACTAGATTAAAGATCTTTTTAGTAAAGCCTCTCAGTGCACCATTTAATGGTATGATGCGTGAATGTGCTCCACGCTGGTTTTTGCATCTCGTTTATATACACTATGAACAGCAGCTACGCTAATTATTCTCTTTATTCTCTATTTC